CAGGACGCAGTGGCGCGTCGACGCGCGTCGCGGCCGGACGCGCTGGGTCTCTTCCCGCATGCCGCTGGACTACTATCCACTTTGATACATTTGCACCCCCGAAACAGACCTGATTTGCAACAACCGCTGGGTCGTATGTTCGACACATTTTCGACCCCTGAAGCAGCTGCAGCGCACAAATAAGAAGGTAGGTACCTACCTACTTATGATGCTCTCTTCGGCTTTTATATAAAAAATGTCTGGAGCAGCGGCTGATCCTACTATTTTTTTTTTCTATATTTCTGCCATCATGTCATGAACGTACAATGATCACGGACAGTGATCATTGTATTAGGTTTGAAGCATTTCAGGCCTGCAAGGGCTTCTGTAAAAGGATGACAGGATATGATGTAGACATTAGACTGTACGAACCACCGACAGTGCTCCGCAGCGGCAGAGATCGTCGGCAGGGGACGGCAATGCCCCCTTTGGAACAGCCCGTCCTGTCGCTCAGTGCGGTTTGTTTGTTTGTTTATTGGGGCTTTAGGGCGCGTCGACTGCAAAGGTCATTTTGCGCCCATAACGTCGCGCTAGTAAAACAAGTGTTTCAAAAGAAGAAACTTTCTAGATATCAAGACTAGAAAGTAAAAGACTTTATAAAAAAAGACAGGGTAAAATAAAACAACGCAAGAGCGTCGTAATAGACAACTGACTAGACAAGGAGACTAGAGAGGATTTGGGTCAGGTCGAGTAAATCGCTTGGAATTTGACTGCGCGGATAAAGGAAAAGATGTTGCCAGATAAAACCCAGGGTGACTCGTCACCCAGCAGGTGGCGGACAGTGGTACCCGGAGCGATGCGGCCGAGGTAGCGCGTCCGGTCTGGTTCTAAAAGTGGACAAGATAAGAGCACGTGAGCGACGGTAAGAGGCGCGGAACAACCGTTGCAAATGGCCTGCTCGTCTCCGCGGAGAAGGTGGCCATGCGTGGCATATGTATGGCCGATTCGGAGCCTGCACAAGATCACCTCGTTGGACCGGTTGTCTTGCAAGCAAGACCTCCATGGCTCCAAAGTCGGCTTCACCTCACGGAGCTTTCCGCCTCCACGTAGGCTCCACTCTGCCTGCCACTCAGAGAGAATGAAAGATCGCACAGCCGAATAAAGGTCACGCGCCGGCAATGGCAGACGTCGAGTGCAGGAGGCTGCGGCGCGGTCATCCCGGATAAAGTGTAGTCCTCTTTTCATTTGTTTTCAGTCTTTTTTCAACACTTGCCTTGCATAATTAAGGGTTCTTACAGCCAACCTAGCATTTACACAAAAGTAGCGATGCCCAATGGATAAGGTAAGCAGCTGTGCCTGTATCCTGCTGTATTCCATTCTAGGGCCACCAGGCCTCCCTTCGCCGTCTGCCGCGTCATCTACAGTAACTTATCGTTCTACCAATCGCTAGTAGAGGCGCTACAGTCGACTCTCCTGGTTCTCAGCCAGTGACGCGTCACGCATCCACCGAACTCGAAGTGGATATTTCTCGAAACGTGTGGAGTTTGGTTTCAGGTATCTATATCTATCGATATCTATATTGCAGGTTCATCAATGTTTTTAGTGGTCTGATCAACGGTGCGTTATTTGTTAGCAGTAAAATAAGAGTGGCTGGTAAGCAGGCGCGGATCCAGGGGGGGGGGGCGACGGGGGCGGCCGCCCCCCCCCCCCCGACATCCGAAAAAGGCGCCCATAGCCCGCGGCAGAGAGGGCGCCCCGAGCAAAACAGAGGCGACACAGCAAAGGTTGAGCAGAAATAGGGCGCCTCCAGCAGAAGTTGGGCTCACCAAACAGGAGAGCGACGCCCAATTGCCCATTCCCAGCAGATCAGAGTCGCCCCAGAAGCAGATGGGCGCCCCCAGCAGAAGAGGGGCGTCTTATTACAAGAATAAAAAGATGCCTTCTGTTCAAGAGGGGCACTCCTGGCAGGAGAGGTGTCCCCCTGAAGAGGAGCGACGCCCCAGCAAAAGTAGAGAGGCGCCCCCATTCCAAGAAGAAGAGGGGCGCCCTAACCGCAGATAGGCGCCCCAACAAACTACAAAGAAAAAGAGAAGCCCTATAATAGAAAAATGGGTGCCACTGGCAGAAAAGGGGCGCCCCCGGCAGCGGAGGGGGCCCAGCAGGAGAAAGGAGCCTCCAGCAGGAGACGGGCGCCCCAGCGAAGGGGGGCGCCCCAGCAGAAGAGAGGAGCCCCCTGCAGGAGAGGGGCGCCCTCAGCAGAAGAGGGGCGCCCTCAGCAGAAGAGGGGCGCCCCAGCAGAAGAGAGGCGCCACAGCAAAAGTTGATCAGAGATGGGGAGCCTTCAGCAGAGGTTGGGCTCGCCAAGCAGGATAGGGGCGGCCCATTGACAATATCCGGCAGAAGACAGACGCCCCAGCAGCAGATGGGCGCCCCCGGTAGAAGAGGGGCGCCTCATTACAAGAAGAAAAGGAGTATATTCTGCACAAGAGGGGCGCCCCTGAGGCAGCGGAAGGGCAACCCCAGCAGAGGGGCTGTGCCCCAGTAAAAGGAGAGTGGTGCCCCGCTCCGAGCAGAAGAGGGGCGCCCAAGCAAAAAGAGGAGCCCCATAAGAAGAAAGAGGATGCCTCTGGCAGGAGAGAGACGTCCCCCGCAGTGGAAGGGCGCCCCAGAAGAGGCGTCTCTAGCAAAAGATAAGTGCCCCTGCAGGAGAGGGGCACCCCAGCAAAAGTTGGGCAGAAATGGGGCGCCCCCAGCAGAATTTGGGGTCGCCGAACAGGAAAGGGCCGCCCCATTCACAGTAGAAAAAGGGACTCCCCAGCAGCAAAGGCGTGCCCTAACAGAAAAGGTGCACTCCCAGTAGAAGCGGGACGCATCAAGAAGAAGAGGGGCATTTCTAGCAAAAAAAAAAAAGGGCGTCCCAGATAAGTGGGCCGCCTACAGCAAATTGGTCGTTCTTAGAAGAAATGAGGCGACTTTAGCAAAGTGAGCCTCCCCATGACGGATTGGGCGATCCAAGTAGAGGTTGGGCGCAAATATCTTTAAAACGGCGGCAGCCGTCTTAAAGATATTTGCGAAAAACCTAGGGGGACGTGACAACGCACGGCGTGGGTTTTAAACTCTCGATTTTGACGACGGTTTGGCGCCCCCGGATTGCCAGGTCGCCCCTATTTCAACTTGCCGCCCCCCCTCCCGAAAATTCCTGGATCCGCCCCTGCTGGTAAGTGGTATGTCTACATTTTGTGACATGCATGCTCATTTTTTCGGAGATGATCTGAATGCGTTTGAGACGATTGTTGTTGTTGTAGCCGGAATGAGCGAAGCTGATGCCTGGGGTCAGAAGCTAAGTATTGATGTAACCCATAGGTACTGCAGGGATTATCAAATGCAGCTGAGGTAGCCATTCATGTTTGCTGATGGTGGAGTAACTATCCCTTCGTGAACCCCTTTCATCGTCATTTAGCAACTATTGGTGGGCGGGTCTTTGTTTTCCGTGTAACTCACACACATAATGATAAATGAACAATCGAAGTTTCAAAACCAGCATTTTTTTTCAAACAAAAAATCTATCACAAGGTATGCAATATGCATCAAGCGGGTCTGTCGCTCGCCACGGCCCACCAGTTCACAGCTGCACGATCCCGGGGCAGCGGCACCTCGTCTCAGAACGGGCCGGTGGGAATGGGGCCGCACGGCAGAGCGAGAAGGACCACCGCGAGGGGACCACAATGGACCGTCCCGGGCGCCGACCGCACTCATTGCCGCCCCGGGGGCGCAGCCACTGGCACAGTGCCAACTCTGAGATCAGCCGCCGCCTCGTGCCAGCCAGCTGGGCTGGGCACGCCCTCCTGCCTCCCGCCCCCTCCCTCCAAGCGTCCACGCCCCCATCCGCCCCGCGCGCCAGCCGACGCGAGGGGCGGGCTGACCTTCGACGCGCACACGCTAGGATTTGGTCGGAACTTATGTGGGCGGGAAGGAGCGGCCGCTCAAGGGGGAGGGGTGGCAGGGCGGGGTGGGGCCGAAGTAGGTTTTTGAAGAATAATATCGAGCGGAGTCATTTGACACGACCTGTGTGGTTTTGGCGAATACCGTCGAACCGTTGAAGATAGCTCGTCGACCTGTTAGTTATGGAGGATAGACGGTGCGGATGGATCTCCGCCCCGCCCCTCTGGGTCAAGTCGGGTGAAACCAGTTCTAACCAGTTTGAGGGACAATTTGGGCAGCATCGGGGCACCGAGCCGTCGGACTTCAGCTAAGGATAGAAAGGCAGGAATGACTCCGAGATTAAAGAATCTTGCGTTGCACAAAGCGATCTATCGTAATGGATCGTCCGTAATGGACGGTTTGTGGGACTAGTTTCCACAGCGCGGTATTCTTTGCCGTCGGTCGGTCGGTAACAACGTCAAAAGGCCTGAACTTTTTCCTACACAGCCGCGGTAACTGGTATGCTTAGCCTACGTTTCTTCCAAGTTAATCACGCTTTGATGCTGAGCAAAACATAGACACGAAATCGTGGTCAAATCGAAATCAAGCTAGAAAACTTTCCACATGTTTCGAGATGCGCCAGATTCACGTGTAGATTCATGCCACAAGACGGGGACCCAAACATTCTTTGTCCCCATGTAATCAATACGTCCTCTATTGGATGCCGCCAACCATTTAAGGATGCACCCAGCGTGCACTACCGATTCACCAGCTGTACGATGCAATCTTCCCAGATTTTCCGTGATATCTATATTGCAAAAGCTTTAAATCGTAAAAGAATTTACTCGCGAACATAATATTCTACCAACTAAGGCTCATGCGACGGCGACGGACTGGCCATTTAAAGGGGCAGTTCTCAATAACGGAATTTCCCGCACACTGTTTTTGATAGTAAAATTGTAACAATGTCCATCAATTTAGTAACTTATTAGCATTATTAGAATGGAATAATAAGAAAATGTGATACCTTTCAACTGAACTGCCACCAAAAACAATGTAATCAGCGCTCCACGACAGGGCAGTGTTACGTTATTGGCGTCAGAATCAGCTGACTCCCAGCCAAAACACAGACCAGCTGATACGAGCCCCAAGCAGAAAACGCACAAAGGACAGTGAGGTGGGTGCAATTGTGGTGCGTGTAATCGACTAGGTTTGACAGGTTTCAAAGTTGTTATTTTCTCTAAAAACTAAGCAAAATCATGTCTGCTGAAATCATGGCGGATAGCAGTGAAAGATCGATGGATACGGAGTGTCATGCCCTGGAGCCCGAGGCAAAGCGACAGAAACTTGAGTCCGTGGTCAAGCCAATTTTGAAGCCTGAAGAGGACAAACTGGAGCAGAGACTTGGTGGAATTTTGTGTTGCGCTGTCTGCCTGGATCTTCCAAAATCAGCTGTTTACCAGGTAAGTATCAACTTCCGTTTATCGCGCTTCTATGAAGTATGAAGTCATAGATGATGTGCTTGTGCTTACTCTCTGGACTAATTGACATGTCAATGTGCTTCCCTTTTCATAACGATAAGACGTGTCAGTTAGACCTTAGTAGTGTACTCAGCTTCGTAATTATTTGATAAGTAGTTTAGTAATATGGCACAATTGCGCGGTGCGCAGGTTCTCATTGAAATCAATGCACTGTGTAATGTGTTGACATTGCTGGTTTTACCTCAGAGATGTGACCTTACCGTCATTACCGGGGCATTTTGATAAGCGATGTCGTCGCTGTAATCAATAATGATACAGTTGACAACTTCTCTTTCTACAGACCTCCTATTGTTCTTCCTTCTCTTCCTTCTATCAGGCACCTTGACCTGCGCTGGCGGCACTCTCAGCTGCAGCTGGGGGAGGGGAGGGGAAGGGTGGGGCTCATCGGCGCGGTGGTCGGATGTGCATTTCTTTCCATGCACTACATTACAGGATCTTTATGGGGGTCATGCTCCCCATGACCCCTCCCCCCCCCCCCCACAGTCTGCTGCCGCCATGTTCTCCATAGGCCCACAGGCTTACCACAGTCCGTCGATTCCGTTACTGGTAATCGTTTCAGTTTGTACTTACTACTTATCAGTCTGGCTGGTGACTGACTTCCATTTTCAACTGGTTAGTGCTTAGGTAGGCTGATTTAGTATATGATTATTGGGTACTGGTTAGCAAAGATGCAGTCTCAGGCACGTCTTATCCACCACTGACATCGGTCTGCACTCCGACTCTATCGAAAGTTCAGACTACCTGAACCTTAAATCTGATGCCACTGAACTCTATAATGTCTGATGCAAACTAGCACCCAGCTGCTGAACGCATAGTCCTGTACTAAAATGCAGCACTAACATGGAAAGATAGGTAGGGCTGGACTCGAGGACATAAGCGAATACCAAACGGTTCTGTCCTGTCCCAACCATGCGGACGATTAACGGTGACAGGAATGCAGTGTTATTTTTCCCATTTCTTCCACTCGATTTGGCAATCACCGGTATCCAAAAATGCTATGACACGGAATTCGGACAAAGCTTACGGCCTATGTTCAGTAGAGAAGTTTCTAGACATGCTTTCGGAACAGCTGGACACAGGACGAGCTTGACGATCACGCTAAAATCGAACTTTCTATTCAAATCCTCTTTGTTATTTACCCACCCAGGACATGAGTATCTACCCATTCATTTATGGAAGAGGCTCCTTGGCTCAATGATAACGCTACACAGACCTCAACTCTCGCCTACCGTCCCTCTTTCGCCCTGTCTTCCGTGCCTGCTCTGTCTTCTGCAAGTGGAAGGTGAGGGTCAAAGGCGTTCATATTCCTCTCACATCCTCTCTCCTCATCTAAGCCAGCCCCGACCCTACACTCATGTGACCCATATGCCGCCCTGCACAGCCTACATTCCTCGATAACCGGACTGTGGGGCCTCACCAGCCACCGAGCTGTCAGCTCCCGGGTGCGTGACCCCCGGGGGACCGGTCCTGCATCCAGCCGACGCCCCGCCCACGGCCGGCTACGCTACTGCGCCGCAACGCGTGCCGCGCATGACGCCAAGGCCATCCGAGTTAGAGTTCTGCACGGCTGCAATTTTCCACAGCCTAGCCGCCCCACAGCCGTGGCTCCACAGCCACAGCCGCCCACAGCCGTGGCAAACTGTGGGCAGCCAGCCGTCAGCCGGCCGTGGATACTTTCAATGAAATGCAACCAAATAGTATATAATAAGTTGTTTTTAGTTGAAATATACCTATAGCCAAAAGCACATTGCAATGGGCTGTAGATTCTCAAGCTCATGAAGCATCATAGGTTAAGTGGTTGTGTATCTGGCTTTAGGCCGAAGGCCTGAAGCCTGATGCGCATCGCATGCCTACACAAGTCCCTGCAAGGGGTTAAGAAAGATGGGTAGGTAGGTGGTACCTACTACCTACATCAACAGAAAACAAACAACGAACCAGAATAGAAGCACTAGCAGTGTAGATATATAATGCCAAATCCTGAAGCATGGTTGTGGGACAGAACAACAGACCCTGATGCTTTTCATTATCAATGTTAGGTATGGAAAATGTAACTGAAGTTGATGGACTGTCAAACAGTGATTGTCTTGTCAAAACTCTTGCTTCTTTCTTACCTTGCATATTTTCTGGGGTGTGATATGCCAGGCTTGAAGCAGCCTTCTGAGCAAGTCTCAAACTAATTTGATATGCAAGGCATCATCAAAACACTAGTGAGCATCCAAGAAAGGAAAACGTTCATATATTTTGATTTTTCCAAATAATGATCTTCGCTCAAATCCCTAAGGACGTGCGAGCCACAATTGCTTCTTTCAATCAAAAATTTTACTTGAGTTTTTAATGACGTCAATAGCAAAAAAGTGGCGAAAAATTGTTTTGTGTCACTAAAAACAGCCATAAAAATTATTATTTATAAATAATTATGCTATACAATTGAAAAACTTGCTCTCAAATAAAGACTGAACATCAAATTTTTACATTTTCAGAAGAAGACGTCATTTTATTAGTAAAGTCAACAGCTCGCGTAATAAATATTGTGTTCAGGGTTTTCACCGTCATGTGAATTACGTGTTCAGGGTTTTCACCATCATGTGAAGTAAGTAAGGTTCATGCTCACTTATATTCTAATTCCATTGGCTTCGTTCATGAGCATTTTCTGTTAGCGGTCACACACACACCAGTTAGAACATAAAGCGCCAGTTTTATATTATGTAATTGGACTTGCCGAAAATCCAGAAATACATCTGAGAGTTATTTTAGATAATATTTTATGAAGCCTTTACCTGCCTTCATCTAGGCGTGATTTCTTTTTCTATTACCTGAAAGAATTATTGAACGCTCGTCTTCAATAGCTGTAAGGTGCTCTCCTAATGACCAGGTGAGATTGATTTGAGAGGAATGTGACAATGCAACATGTTGCATTTTCTGAAACTGTCAAGCTCTTAATGATGAAGGAACAATTGGTACCTATAATTAGTATTCTGTACCAGAAAGCAAACTCCCCTACAGCAAATGGTAAAACTATTACAGGTTTTCAAAGGCTTCACCACTTTCAATGTTGCTGGGCATCCTTTGCATGATTTTTACAGGCTAGACTGCTTATCAGAATGTAAGATTAAGGATTTAAAATTTTATATTTGAGTACTTAAGATTGAGCTTGAAATCTCACAGCCGTGGCCACAGCCGTAGCCGTGTTCTTGGAGATATTTGCAGCCGCCCCGGCCCACAGCCGTGGGGCTGCAGCCAGCCGCGGCTGCAGCCGGCCGGTGCAGACCTCTAATCCGAGTGACCCACAAAGGCGGGCCGCCGTGCCGTGTGGGGTGCGCCGCTCCCCCCCCCCCCCGAACAGCGGTGGGGCGTGGGAAGGGAGGGGGACTGTTGGCTGGGGCTTTGTTCGGGTACAGTGCAAGGGCTGGCCTGAGGTGAATGACTACCCAATGGCGGCGAGTGGGGTGTAGAGGAGAGACTGGTTGTAGATAAGAACATTTGAATGCGAGGATATTTACGGTTTTGTCCTCACATTGCAAATCCTTGAACATTAAATGCAAAACTAAAAATTGTGCCTTGATGAAACTACTTAGTATCCGTTACTTCTGCTTTGCGACATTTCTGCATTATTGCAGAGCATATGCCCAATAAAATGACTGACGGCTCATTTTGCATGCACGAGTTAAACCCTCACTGGAGCCAGTCGGGTGCTAGGTGGAGCCAGACCCGCTTTCAAATGCACCTGTTCCGCCCATATATAGAATGAAGACGGAAAATTGATGACGGACCATCAGACGTTCTACCCAAAATGGAATAATGGCTCATTACTTTTATTGTGATCAAGCTCACCTCGATCATGCTAGCGACACGCGACAGTGAGACACCAAAGCAGCTCTGGGCTCTATAAGCCACACCTGTGGACAGATTGGCACCTGCAGTTCCACACATGGCGCTAGATTCGTAATCTTTATTTCAGAACAGCTTTTCAGAACCAGACGGAGCACGGAGAAGGTGTCAGACTGATCATGCCAGCTGGTTCAACGCTGTGAGCACTGCGCCTCTCTCAGCTGCTTTTATGTTTCCTTGAACTTGCTCAGCCATCAAAACTAATTCTTATAGCCCAATCGTCAGTTTTGACGGTCTGGAGTCTAACTCCCGATCGTGAAGCGGGTCAGTTTCGTTTCGATACACTTTCGTGCCCCGAGGGTGGAGCGCGTGCGTCGGACGTTCGGCTGCGCGGTGCGCAGTTCCGCGGTGGGATCCAGAAGGCCGATGTAGCCCTCCAATGGCCCGGGGCTACTGGAGAGGCGCGAGTGGCTGCTGCGCCATGAAGTGGCGCCGCTGCGCCCTGAAGGCGCGCAGCGAGGGCTGATAGATCAGCGTGTAGGGATTTGTGGCTTTCAAATGCGCTCCGCTCCGTGTGACCCGAGCCGGGTTCACAACGACGCTAATCGGACTTGGCCAGCTAAGCCATCTAGAGGGCCAGCGAGGCCCGTTTCAGTAGGAAGGAATAAAGTCTAGCCCTAGTTGTTTATGGATTCTTCTATATTTTAGAAAATAACAATAAAGTACAGATGAGTTGCGAGCTAATAATATGTAGACATGTGCTCATAGGTCAAAATATATTTCAAAGTAGCATTTATTTTAAATAGAAATGCGGTATTGCATAATTTATTAGCGGTTATAGTTCCTACTATATCTTGAACTATCTTTAGACTAAATATGCCAAATCAAGCAACTTCCCTGGTAGAGATGCGTAACGAAGGGAATATTTTTCGCCTTTTATATCTCTTACGACAACTTCTAGAGTTCAGATGCACACAGTTCATTATAACATTAAAAAGTAAAAGACATTTGAGCCATAGCAGAGTCAAAATATCCCCTTATATGCAAGAAACCACAAATGAGCAGCAAACACTCGGGAACCTGCATCTCCAATCTTCATAAACCATACGCAGCTTCGACTTCTAGGGCGGAGACCCGAATCATATGTCAAAATCTGAGGTCCTTGGCCTATTGCGGGCCTTTGGCTATTGGTGGCAGATACAGACCATGAGATCATTGGGCATAGATCCTACGATTGCCCCAATTTTACGCAGTATAATGTATGGAATGATGTGAACATCCGACTTAACCACTAACTAAGTAACTACAGGCCATATTCAAACATTTTTTTACTGCTTCCCAAAGTTGAGCAGAGGGCACGTGCTACGACTAAGGGCACAGGGTAATGAACAGGGCAAGGCACTGAGGAGGGCAGAGAGCAGGACACGACAGGATACAGGGCATGACACAGGAAACTTTAGAGGGAAGGGTACAGGGCAGAGAGCAGAGAGCAAGACACAGGGTAGGGAACAGGGCAGGACAGAGAGCGGGGCACAGCCCGCAAAGGTCAGGGCAGAGAGCAGGGCACAGGTCAGGGAACCGGGCAGGGCACAGGGCAGGGACGCAGTCGGTCAAATCAGCAGGGGCTACGTCCCAAGGCGAGGGGGCTGCGTCCAAAATGGGACGCAGTAAGTGCCTTAATATATGCCCTGACTAACTAGCAAAGCTTCCGGCTGCTCGCCCACCCTCAGCATTCATTGCCTCTGAACAGATCCCCTGGTACTCTGCGTTGAAGGGTATCCCTGTGGCCTGTCCAAATGACTTCAATAAAACTTTTTGAACGGTGTATAACTCTGAATCGCCATTCAATCGTGTTACAACTTTCAACTGAACATCTCAAAAAGGTATACTGTCAAGTGTCAGGTCTTGACCAATTCACCCTTGGCCTTGGCTGTCACCTTACATACGCACATGCACAAAAGATGTGTAGCTTATCAGGTTTTGTTTATTCTTCTAGTTCTATAGCATCACAGTTAACACAAGCATTTGAGAAGTTGCACACAACATAAGAATAGGCAGAAAACAGAAATGAACCTATACACTTGTCACTTGATGCTTTGCAAGTACATATTTTACTAATTCTATTTAACACACAAACCTATTCAACATACATACTTGAAATGTGAATGCGAAACAGGAAAAACAAAGAGCCTTTCCAGAAACTGAGTCCAGAGAAGATTGCGAGTTCAAGCTGAGTTGCTATTACAATTCCCACAAATATTAACTTATTCCCTGGTGTTGTACCTATCTCTTCACTGATCACTCATAAGCCATAGGCCATAACATTTTACTTCACTTTTCATACTTTTGACTTGATGCATGTAATCAGCATATCATTTCTTGTGATATCAGTAGTGAAAAGTTAAGCCTCAAATCTGTTTTTTATAATAAGGGAAAACAGCAATAGGTTCTAGAAACAATCTTGCCGTGTGTACATTTCTGTTGAATATCTGCCCAGTGCCCATCTTCTCCAGTCCCCACTGCCCTTGAACCTGGAAAAGAGAAGGAAAGAAAAACCACTTCAGTCAAATGTTTTTAATGAAGACAACACACAACCCAACAATAAACAATTATCAAATCATCTGAAGGCATGTATGCCATCAGGTTATAATTAAATAAACTGATTGCATGCACCTTCCCAAAGAATGAAAAATATTGGGTGGAGACTTCCATTACACATCCAGCTAGACGCGTCAAAATCTTAGACGCGTCTAGCTGGACAGCGGCTGCGTCCACCTGGCAAATGCTAACTTAAGACACGTCTAGCTTGGAAGTCTCCGTCCAACAGTTAGACGCCAACTTGGACGTTGCTCAGTTATACGCCAGTTGGGCGCCAGTGGAAGTCTCCACCCTATAGTTATCTCAACAGTCAACGTTAGTTCAGTATCTCAGTCTAAATTTAGCACACAAATAACATATTTCACCCTTTGTCAATTTTAATGTTAATCAGCCTGCATGAAAAGTAAAACACGTGTCCGACAAAGCAAGATGGATTGTCGTACCTACTACTATTACTGCCATGCTGCGTGTCAGAGCCCACAAGCTAGACAAGTTTGAATAGGTGATGACAGACACACCACCATCTTGCATAAACATTTCTAAGAGTTGTTTCCCTATTAGTTGATTTATTTTATATTAAAATTTATAGAAGGTAGGTACGACGTATTGAAAGAATTATCTGAATAGCTACCATTTTAAAAGAATAATAAAAAATTGCAGGATTTATAATCATATAGTGCATAACTTCATGCAAAATAGTTGAATATATTTCAATAATAAAGTTGGTTTTAGGCATCTAAGCAATAGCTTTATGACCTTCACCTCATCAAAGCAAAATCACCATCAGACAAATACATACTTCGAAGTTCAAACCCATTCATTACAATACACACCTTAGAAACAAAACTGTCAACAAAAAAGTATCGTAAACGCAAGTAATTAAAATAACCAAGCATAGAAAAAACATATAACACAGCCGAAACCTCCTACCTGACTTTCCTCAAAACATACAACGCATACAACTCATATTTACTTGCTGCTATAATTGCGCCACATATCGCCGCCGGTCGTCAACCAATATGGCGGCCGCAGAGCTGTGTGGAATAAGGTGCTAAAGCATGAGATAAAGTGCTAAGTCAGAAGTTTTGAGAGGCGATTGAAATACGACTTGGCCAGCCTGGCCATCTCCGGGGAAGATGGCTTAGCTGGCCAAGTCGATGCCAGGTAAAGGCCAACTCACATCACGCCAAAAGCACAAAGTAAATATTGTTTCTTGGAGAGAATTTTATGCTTTTTTTGTGTGTAAGAACTAAACAGACGTCGTACAATCAAAACTAGACACTTTATTGGTGTTAACCATTTATCAAAACCGTTTGTAGTGGGATTTTGGGAGGCGATGTGGAGCGTGGTGTGAACCGCGTGTTAGCCCACCAGTGGGCCTCGCTGGCCCACTCCGGTTTGCGTCGTTGTGTACCCGGCTCCGGAAGTCGAGCTCGCGCATGAATGCTCCGCGTTTTCCACGCATGCGTGAGGCGTGTTGTTTATCCTTGGTAGCTAAACGGAAAAGGTGTCGGTATGAATATTATTTTGTTGTGTGTAGTGAGAGTCCGCAGCGTAGAATTTGGCACAATGATCAACCCACATTGAGTTGAGATGCTTCTTAGCACGGGGGTCAGTGCATCTCCTCACATGCCAGTAGTGTCCGTTGGCATGGTAAGCGTATGCAGATATAGCTTGGAGTCACGACCGAGCTGCCGTGACGTCAATCCCTGGTCGTTACCAGCCCCGGGCTGCTGGATAATCACGGAGCTCAATTCACGGTCCGGTCTTATTGCGTATAGTGAACTTATGGTGTGGTGAACTCGATCATTTGCTGTCTTTTAAAGTGCGTAATGCATTAACTACTTCAGCACTTCTACAAACGGTCCCATGACTGTTACATAAGATTATACTCTTTTTCGTCTGGCATAATTTTCATGTCTGACGACCATCGTGAGTGTGTTTTTTTATCACAAGTTCTCACCAACTTCAATTGACCAACAATTTGGCCTAGCCTTTATCGATGACTTCATTAGAGACCTTAAAACTCGCTTAACTTTGCAATGAAATCTGAAAGTTCACTAAACGTTATGAGACTCTTGTTGGGGAGTTCGGAATAAGTTACGATTTACGAAAGTTTCCGTATGGGGAAACCTACCTCATTTTGCAATGGTGATACCTGGCCGGGATGCGACCTTCCCTGATACGGGTAATTGAACAGGATGCCATTGAACAGCAGTGAAGTAGCATGTTCTTTACAATGCCGCACCTGCTAGCCCGTATTGGTGACTCAACTCCCGTGTCTCTTTATCCAAAGCTCAGGCAACCCAACCCCTCATCTATGTAGATACCTAAACATTTTATTGTTACGGTAGCTCAGGCTTCTCTGTTCTGTCAAGAAAGTCACAGCCGTGAGCTACTCTGCGCTTTATATTCACTCGAACTGATTACACTGACCCCTCGCTCTTCTGTCCACAGTGCACCAACGGACATCTCATGTGCGCGGGGTGAGTAGTGAGTACCAATTGTAGAAACACCGTGGTGCATACTCGTATACACTATACAGGACCCCCTATGCGTGGTTGAGCTCACTTGCTCACCGCTGTTGTGCAGATTATTCGTTTGGCGGCGCCAGGTTTTGTTGCCAACCTAGCTGTGCCGTATGTGATGCGAGCTACTCGTGTCTGTATGAGAGCGAAGCGGTGCTAGGCAGCCCTTATCTTCCTGCAGACCAGACGAGTCGTATAGTGTCGACTATTGTTCTGCAAACATGCAGGGTAAACGCTGGTGTAAGGATGGGTCCCCTTGAAGCTCAAATTCAAGGCCACTCTGCAGAAGCTGAGCTCCGCCCCTGCGCCTTTGTTTCCGTCATCCCCTTGTGTTGTACTGTTGCGTCACGCTGCGTTTTATTTCCACTTGCCGGTTTTGATCTGGTTTTTAGCTGACGCGTGCACTGTGGCATTTTGTGTCTACTGAATATCGCCCTCCAAATAAACGCTATCTGGCAACCAATTCAAGATGTATGAAATAGGCCACTGACTGGACCGCAGTTAATACATCAATTGAATGTGTTCATCTGTTCTGTCTCGTCATATTTCGTTGTCCCTGTAAATCTTATGCGTTGAAATGCTCCTTATTTCCACGACACACAACTATATATCGCCGGTATTGAAAGACCAGCCTGTGCTGCCAGCTCGTATAAACTATAATTCGACAGCTGACCGTTTTACACTGGCTCGTCCTCTATCATGCGTCGTCGCCTGTTTCGCTGTGCCGTGCCGTGTACCGTGTCGTTTACCGTAACATCCCGTGTCTTACCCTTACAGGTGTTTCACCCACCTCCTAGCTGACGCCCGTCTGCGTGACGAGACGGCCACTTGTCCCAACTGCCGGATCGAGATCTCCCGCTCGCTCGTGTCGCGTAACCTAGCAGTGGAGAAGGCAGTCAGTGAGCTGCCCTCCGAGTGCCAGCACTGCGGCAGACAGTTCCCTCGCAGCTCGCTGGAGCAGCACGCGAGGGACGCCTGCGATGAAAGGTGCGTCGAGTTAACAAGAGGGTGAAGCGAGACGTCGGGGCTCTAGGGGCGTTGGGGGGGGGGGGGAGGTGTGGAACATCTGAGGCTGGGAATGTCTTGTGAGGGCTCTCGGGTGACTACTGGGTGGGGATGTGGAATCCGGGGATATAAGGATTCACGTGCGGCGCCAGGGTCATTGTGGCGTGCCATGATCCAAATAGGCCGTAGCACCAATCAAATTAACAAACACGTCTGGGGTACCTATAGTGTACAAGGGAGGAGTTATCCGGGCGTTCATGAATCGTGATTGTGAGGAGGGAGGGTAGGACTTGGCCGAGAGTTACCAGGGTCGCCAGGGTCGTCCGTGACTGTTGGGCAGTAAGGGTGCGAGCTCGAGTGGTCGTGACCGGTGGCACAGCGGAGCGCCGTGGTCGCTGACCGTTGGCCGGCGGTCAGCCTTGACCGACAAACCTCACGGAGATAGGCCGCGGTCACCGGGGCTGCTATGAGTAACGGTATCGGCCAAGGTCCGCGCCGCCACCGCAAATTGGCCCGCTGCACTGAACTGCTTTATAGGCGCGAACGGGCTCCGACGGCTTTGGAAAATTGGGTTTAAGTGTAGCAGAGTTTGTGATCGTTATACTGTAGTGAAATTTGTTTAGGGCAATCATTTGTAATGATCCCGTATGACGTATAATAACGCATCCTGTCCATTATTTACGAAGTCTTATGTTTGATCTCTCATCTGTTGTCTATTAGCTTGTTCCATATCTCATTCCTTCGTGATCTCAAATGCCTACCTATCGCCGGCACCCTGTCAAACTTAAATAGTAATTCCATCCATATTTATCCATACGTCTCCTTGCATAATACCTAACCCGTTGCTGCGTCGTCTAAAAGTAACCCCTTTGCTTGCCATACCCTAACCCTGCATTTACTCATTCACCATTGCTGTCTCCGCCCCCGTCGTATGCTGCCGTCATACTCTGCGCCTATGGTATATGTAACTCATACTGACTCCCCCCTCCCTCCGCGTGTCAGGCCACTGACCTGCCGGTACAGTCGGATCGGCTGTCCGTGGCGCGGCCCGGCCCACGAGCTCACCGCCCATCAGACCCAGTGCGTGCACCCGCACAACACCGGCGAGACCATCATGGGCGTCCTGCAGGCGGGTGAACTGCGCAGGCAGCGCGAGGCACAGCTCTATGACACCATCTTTGACCTGCTGAGCTTCGAGAAGATCCTCTTCAACGGTGAGTGTGAAGGGACCGGGGGAAATATAAGTGGCGCCGTTGTTCCGTACCCGTGGAACTGTCCGGGGAGGGGAGGCAGGAGTGTTCGATGCTCATTGCTCTTGTGTGGCGCTATATGGGAGGGGGGGGGGGGGGGGGGGGAGGGGATCGGTCGCCGGTGGTGGGCTATGCGATACAGTGGTCGACTGGGGGCGCTGTTCGGCAAGTGGGAGGAACGGAGACGGGTCGGGCCGATGGAAAATATCACTAGCTCCCCGGTTAGTTCTGTGACGCTATGGGTTAGGTAGGTCACGTGTTTATTTGCTCATCGAGTCGTATCTCATTGTTTCACACCTCACCTATAGGCCTACTACGCTGTGTGGGCGACGCCGTCTGTCCTGAACCTCATGTCAGCAGACATCCCCATCACATTACTCCCTGAGATGTAAGACAGAGACCACCCCTGTCGCTGTCATATCATCCCATCTGGCTGATATCCAGTCCGAGTGATAGTGGGCTCGATGCCAGCCTCAGACGATAGTTCATCTAATTTGTTCGAGTTATCGTTCGTCTCACTTGTTCAAGCTAGTGACCATTACGGTATTGAATTAGCGGCTGCGTTCCATATCCTGTTCGCCGTCTAGAAGCTGAACCAACGAGCTGCTTGTAACGAGGCAAAGGGTCATGTAACATCTCCGTGTATGTAAGGCTTTGTTCGGGACAGGGTCACGTGACAAAGACAATCGATGCGGGATGGAACACGTGACCGTGGCCGCCCGTCGTGAGGGCCTTTCGGCTCACCACGAGCATGTAACACCGGTCCCGAGTTGTTCGGTTTCCAGGGAAATTTGATGCGTTGACGAAAATAGCAACAGCGGCAGGACGGATGGAAACCTGCATCGGGTCGTATTACGGCTATTTTAGACACTTGACATTTAGTGGGAGGATGGTGGGTGTTCTCTCATGCGTCAAATGTCCATCAAATAAATGTCTCGAAACGGCGGAGTGTTACTGTATAAAGCCAGCCAGTCGCCCGGGGCAAAGAAAACCGAAAATACAAAATATTCACCCGCCACCAAACCGTGCAGCCTTCCACTACTCTTAGAAATGAGATAGGCACTCGCCGACATGACCATGCACTAATTGTTACAATTATGAAAGCGAATGTTCGTTAATGCTCGATTCCATTGCTATCAAATACAATCGCTGTCTCGTTTTCCCTATTTCTTTCTAACCGCTCCAACGCTTCCTGTTCTCAGACCTGCAGATGAAGCCTTACCGCACCGACGACTTCATCCACAAGCTCTTCTACGAAACCAGTCGGTTCTCGGCCTTCAACTGCCAGTGGGTGATCAAGGCACGCATCAACGACAACCAGCGGGACCCGAGCCAGAGCTGCGACCGCTGCATGACCTACCAGGTAGGTGGCGGCAGCTGACCTGACCTCGGGTGACCTTAGAATGGGTCCAGGTGCGGTGGTAAGGTGAACGAGGTGGTAATGTGATTTGGGGATCGCCTTCTTGGCTTCGTGACGGGCAGGGTTCGTTCAATGAGTTAGGATTGACCTAGCGATGACTTCACAAATATACGACACCCATGCACACTGAGGTGGAACGGTTGCAGCTCACGAAAGCTGAGTGTTCTGGCAAAAAGCAAACTCGTATGGAATGCGGCCATGAATTGAAACGTGCACTGGTTCCATTCCATTCCATTCCAGTGTATTTTAGTAAACAAGGATCAAATAAAGTACAGAGCAAATAAGGGATCGGCGCAAAAGCATCGCTTAAATTAAAGCGCCTCTCCGAAGAAGAACATAAAATTGACAATGCTAACCTAACCGATACCTGAGGCCAGACGACGCTAGCACCCGCCAGCAACCCTCCGAGCAACAAACGAACCGGGTCAAGGCGCCCGGGCCCGAGCGAAAAATGAAAGAATGTAGCTTCAAGTTGTAACCGCCCTACATATTTTCGGTCGAGGCAAGTCGGCCGCTGGACTTTATGACGAATGGCCACTCGTACATTGCCTTAGTTTGTGCGACGGTAATAGTGGTACTGGTGGTAATAAAACCACCCGGTTCGATCCATGCATTCCATTCCACACGTCCATTCGAGTGCCGACAACCATCAAATCAACCTTTTGACGCCTGACCTTTACACATCCGGCTATTGAAATATCAAATACGTAACACTTTTAGATCGTCACATTAAATCACTACACGCAACTAAATCAATTTACCGCCTTCCGACGCATTTCCGCCTACACATAAAGTTCCCTCCCGGTTACTGACTCGCGACCCTCCCGCTCCTCCCCGCAGCTGATTCTCAAGTCGAAGGTGAGCCAGCCAATGAGCGTGCAGTACCTGGTGTTGCGGGGCCCGTTCGGGGACGCGCGCGTGGCGCCGGCCATCTACAGCCACGAGTTCAGCGACTCCCAGCCGGAGAGCGAGTTCCAGCGGCTGCCGCTGCCCGACTCGGCCGAGTGTAACCGCATGCTGGCCGCCCGCTCCGTCAACATACGGTGAGTGCCTGTCCGGGCTGGGCTGCCAGGGAGGGTGCGATGTATCTGTTAGGGTCGTGGAACTGAGGCGAATAGGCCTCACAGTGCGTTGCGGTCCTGCTATTATGCTAAGGATGCTATCTAGTCTCTTTACGCCTAAGGGCTGCGAATGCAGTGCCGCAAACCGGAACCATGACTTTAAGCTCTTTTGCTTTTAAGTGAAATTTCGAATGACGAAGGGCAGACCAAGTCATAAGAGATAAGTCACAGAATAGGACGTGTGTATTAAGACTAGTGTAACAACGATTATTCACTTGCTTCAGACTGTTCACTTGCTTTACGTCGTGCCTATGCTGCATTTTTGGTTGTTTCGCAAAGACAATAAGATTCTTTTTTTTTGGTGTGGGGGTCGTTAACCCGCGCATGACTGGGGTATTTTCCATAATGCGAGTGACTGGGCGGGGGGGGGGGGCTCTCCAGAGCCCCCCTCCTATCTCCGAAACTACTGGGCCGATCGTCAAAATTCAAACGGCGTCTGATATCCCTGGAAAAACTGTCGAGCGAAACCTATTTTCATTGACCTCGAGGTCACCGATGACGTCACAGGTCAGGTAAAAGTAAAAATTATCGACATTTTTGTTAGTTCACAATTTAGGCTCTGACCGCCGGACCGCCGGTCCGATCAGGCTCATTTTTGGTTTTCGCATTCCTTGACGGATGCCTTAGATACCCTGAGGGTACCGAACTTTTACTTCGAATTTTTAAGGTCAAGGCCAGCCGCCAGGTCATCCTAGGTCACGAAAATTGTATATAATGTATCGGTCACGTGACGTATGTTTTATGGTCCATTTTACTCGTAGATTTCGAAAATAGTGTCGTCTGTGTCATTTGAGGTCATTGTCAGATGAATTTACCGGAGGTCAGGTCACTCTCAGGTCAGAAAAGGTCAAATTTTGAAAATGAAATTTTTCAACAAAAAAGGTGCCTATCAGTTGCAGTTTGAGCTCAGGAACGCGATGGTGCCATTTATATTGCTGTACGACGTCAAAAACGTACTGAAAAATGGATTTGAAAAACATAAAAATGTAAAATTTTGACAATAATGCGAATAACTTGGCTATTTTTGAAGATATTGGGCTAAAACTTGCAAATGTAGTTCATCAGTGTGTGTTCTATCACATATATTCCGGTATTTGCGAAAAGTCAAAAACTTTTTGAAAAAAAAAATCAAAAAATATAATTTCTGTAATTGTAAATAAATATTATTTAAAATTTTCAAAATTTCGAAAATTCGAGATAGCAGTTCGATAGCTACGTGTATTTTTAGTCCACTCATGCAAAGAAAATGGATCTAGCTTTAAAATTGAGCTCTTGAGAGCGTTTGCCGTAATTCAGTATTTTGCATGAAAATCGGCCGACATGACGTCACTCTGACGTCATTTCCGGCTAGACTATAATAGCTAGAAAGTTGAAATTATAACACAAGGTGTCAAATTGATGCCTCTTAGGGTACCGCAAGTTTCGTGTTGATCCGTCAAATGGTTTAGAAGATATTGCTGAAAAAAAAACATGAGGTCATGCGCGTATATCATACCCCCCCCCCCCCCCCCAGTCATGCGCGGGTTAATCGGCATCGATGATTAGATGCGTACTGAATACATGACTTGATGACTCTTATTTCCCCGCTAACTCCCTCCCGTGCCCGTCAGGTTGATTATGTTCCAGGTGAGCAAGTGAGCGCCTCTCCGGCCGATCGGCGGCGCCCTCTGCGCTGCCCTACCCCGCCTGCCGGCCGCTCTCTCCGCCCCGCCCCAACGTCCGTCGAACACAGCCCGCACAGCCGTGGTGGCTCCGACCGCGGACCGGTCTCAGCTGCGAGCCCGGAGGACGCCGTCGGAGCCGGGCCGCGGCCGCGTGAGCGTCTTCTCTGCCACAGACACGCCGTCGTTCGTCGCATCCGACACTGAGCGCAAAATCGACGAGTGGGGAGTGGGGTAAAATTATGTGTGTATCAGTTTATGAAGGCCGCTTCGGCAGTGCGTAGAGTGTGTGTGGAGTCTCGTGTCCCACTTATTTGTGCGGGGTCTTTGCCCTCCTCTTGTAGGGAGGATACTGAAAGCCTTTTTAGGTCTCGAGTTTTCCGTAGACGAAATAGAAATATTGGTAAGAGTAGTTTTATTGAGTGTTTTATTGGTTAAGTCAAGATGAAATCATGCTTGTTGACCTTGTATGCTTTAGACGGGTGGTGAATTGACTATAAATTAAGTTGCGATTTAATATGCTTGTTATATAAGAGCCAGAGAACGGATCGAATTTTCTTAGGCCGGTGTCTTGACGACAGTTGATGACGACATTTGTAAATGTCGCACACTTCGCAGCTTCGTGTTTGCCCGGGCACAAGAGTTGTGTTTGCATATGAAGTAAATGTCTACTGAAGAAATTTCGGTGACACAAATGCTCGCTGGTCCAGATGAGTGGTTTGTCAATTACAAAACACCAATGCGATGCTTTATGATGAATGTAATTTGAAATATTATGTTTTGCATCAATGATTAAGTTCAACGAATGTTTGTGAAGTGCTGCATAAGCATAAATTATATAACTTAAGAATTCTACCGTTATTAAATCTTAATATTTTTGTCTTTAGATATAAGAACTGCCTTGGCAAAAAGCTGACAACCAGAAATAAGTTTTAATTGTTCCCAAAGTGTGACTAAAGATGTAGGTGTTGGCGTGGATCGCTATGCTTGTTCGGCTTATCTTGTTATTCGTCCTGCCGATTTGCCATAAGTTTATCATTTAGATTTATCGCCCGTAGACCGTTTGAAGGGCATAGCTAGGGGGAGATGATTACGAGGAACGAACTCCCTATTAGCCGTGAATCGGTCGAATCTTCCCATATTTTGAAATTTAATAACACTGAAAATACTCATATCATTTCACGACGTGTGGTGTTAGATATCAAGCGATTATGTGCTGGGTCGCGTGTTGCTCTTTAAACTATTTTCGTATCTGTTTGAGTTTGCGACCGAAAACGTTCTGTCATGAAATCTCAAGGCATATTAGTGTTGCTGTACTTGATACTTGCACATGTATTTTCGATTTGACCTTTTTGACTTGGTCTTCCTGAAACCTGCTGATTGTGCTGAACCTCGATTGTCGCATATTTTTGGAAAGTTTGCAAGCACGTTTGTAGCTTCCCGTCTACTTGGGTCGTACCGTTGCGGCCCTGCACACTAACTGACATCCATGTCTTTCGTTCGCTCGATATGATATAACTATCTGCCGTCGATGCCATTATGTTGTATAAGTTAGCGATAAGAGAAGCCTTTTCATAGGATAGCTGTTCGTCTGGCGCACAGATGTGCGGTAAGATTGACCTTGTAGTAGCGTGGAGAAGGAGCAGGCTTCGGTTTGTCACCAAGTACAAAATGTTGAACGCGATAGAGTAAGGATGTGGCTTGTACAGCATGAGGCAAGACTGATGTAGGTTAGTGAGTGCCGGCTGGTTTTTGAAGTGGAGTGTCGTGTGGTTCGTGGTAATCCGATACATTTACCTTCAAATTATCGATTAAAAATGTTTCTTTTTCGCGAAAGACGTACATCAACATGTATCCGAGTTTTATCACGCCAAAACCGTGTCGTCGGTTGAACAAATCTCGCATTCGACAATATCTAAAATTTACGTACCGCAGAGCCGTGTTACGTTTAGCGCGTGCGTTTCGCCCGAATGCAGAGTGTGACCGTGCTGGCGATCTCCCTAGTACCGGGTGTCACCCTAGGTCGTCTCCCTTAGAATCTGATCTAATACACCTAGTTTGTGGTTACAACTTTGTGTGTGCGAAGCGAGAGTTCGGTCTTCTAATAGGCGTGGCCAAGCGGTTTCGGGGACTAACTATTCTGATAACGGTTGTCACTCTCGATAGCGTGAGTTTACCTTCGGTTTGCCCGCTCGTATAGTAGTAGTTCGCTCCGTATTTCATATAGAAGCGCGACTACACACGACTGCTATTTCGTCCGGTCAAGGCCGATAAGCGCCGCAGCGCAGGGCAACGAAATCTGTTTCCAGCTTTGAAAGTATGTACCTGCTTGCTTTGGGTCAACCGGTAACCAGTGATCGACGAACGGGGTACGCGGCTCAGGTTAGCATTGCAACAGGGTTCACGGTACCTGAGCATTGGAACAAGCAAAAGGTCAATTGGGTACGTACACTAATTTGTAGGTATGGATGGGTGGACTGACGAGCTGAAATTCTTGGACCAGTTTACCGTATGGATTTGCGGCTCGCCCATTCTGATCATGAGTCATGGTCTTATCAAGTGGTAACGCTGAATCTTCTATGATCTATCTCACGGCTGCGGGCTGACACAGACTCTTTCGGCGGTCAGGAAATTCGAAAACCTACTCAAATATATTAGCTCTCACTCGCATCAAACGCTCGCAGTTCGCACGGAGATGCATGCGTGATGCGATTGATCGGCTAATCAGTAATCACAATAATACCTTATAGGCTCTCCTATATGCCCTATATATCTTCCCACGTTATATGAGTGCCACATAGAAGATAAAGTTAATAATGCCATATAGAAGCTTATGGTCAATAAGGATGAGTTTATTGCTTTAATGATAGAACGAACTTGAATAAAGTCTAAATCGCTAAAGAATTGATAGTCTGACGTGGTTTGTCACGAAACTACATAATTTACTAGTCATGAGCTATTGTGATATCGTGAAATTTGTATTTGTCACGCCATATTTGAATCACATGTTTGCCGTTAAGGGCTATAATCATAGGAGTCACGGGTGATTTTCGTCTTTATGACTTCTCTGAGCCCTTCCAAAGCCAGCGAGTTGTTTTAGCTGTTGAATGTGTGCTGATCGTGATGGAATAAGCTGCCGATGTTACGGTTTTCCGCCGTTTTCCTTGAGTCGTCAGTGGAATAGTGGTGTCTGTGGTGTCTTTAATCAATATTTACTTATTTGCTGATATTTAGGTGTTTTGGTTCAGTCACCAACGATGCCGTACGCCAATCAACCAACGCTGACCCTTACGGAGCTGACTGAAGAAAATGTGAAATTCTGTATTGAAGATACCGATCTCAGGTATGTTATATCTATGCTTCAACTGACACATTTCAAGTTATTTTCTAAATGTTATGTTCGTGCATTGTTTGGATCTCGCTTTAACATCTCGGGGCAAGAGCAAAGCAAAGCAGTCCTACGCTTGACGTGAGGGTGGGAGCCGGGAGGGCTGTAAATACAAAAATTATTTGGGCTGCTTATATTGTTCCTCTGTTCTGTCGCATTCCCACACTGGCAGCCCAGCATGACAACTTCATTGGTGTGGGCTGTGAGGGCGCTCGGATTGTGCGCAAGGCAGATTGACTGGTGATTTGCAGATTTTGGAATGCTGCAGTTGATTGGATGGTATTGTGCTGAGATTCCCTGTGCTGATTAAACATTTTTTTTAAGATAAAGTGATAAAGTTTACATGTGACAATGGTTTGAGAGCCAGGGAACAAAAAAGCTTTTAATTGAAATGTCAGTTTTTTGTTCATAAGTGTTTTTTTTTCACAAGTGAAAAGTTACCTATTTTGTGGTAATGGTTATGTATGCTATATGCACTTGTTGAGCACAGGCTGGTGTGGATTTCCAGCCTAGTTGATATAGGCTGCTCAGTCACCATGCTGATATGACTTGTCAGCTGTTGCCATGCTTTGCAGTGTGACTGCAACCTGCAGCAAAAGTACCTACTCAATCCGAGTTACTAGGATCGGGAGAGATTGAAATGAGGAGAGATAGTGACAGGTGCCACATCAAACAAGTCTCGGGTCGGGTGACTTTTAGGGACTGATGTAAGCGTTTGCTTCCAGACATTTGACCTTGATTTTAGCAGTGCGAGGTAGCTGGAGCAAAGGGACATTCCAAAGATCCAAAAAAAGGGAAATTCCAAAAAATCCAGGTCTTTTTCCTTGGCCAGCCATCCTGGTATTGCTGCTCAAGCTGGAAGCTTTTTTAGCTTTTGTGGCTTTAGGCTGCTCTGATAGCTTCTCCCTGTGTTTTAATTAAAAACAGAGACCAATCTTTTGTCATTAAACAAGTAGATTTGCTCTGGAACCATAGACCATTTTAACTCATTTCATCTCAGAAACAAAAACATTGTTTGTTCATTTATTTACATTGTTGGCCATTCAATTAATTGTTGTTTTCTTGTTTGGGGACTAAAAATATCACCTCAGTCATTAATTCCACTTTATTCCTCAAAATGACGAACACATCATATGCTTCACAAGCCATATTTGAGTATCAAGGCTTATCCATAATTATCTATGTTTCCTAATGCCAATGGGTGGCTGCCCATCTTGCTTTCACACTTCATGACACACATACAATGTCAAGCTGTGTCAAACTCAGCCATGCTCTCTGTGCTCGCAACACATGGTAACTACCTCTGGGTGATGGTAACTGAAACAACTGCCTATACCCCACCAACAACAGTTGTGCATCACATTTCTTTTCACGTGGCAACATCTATCACTTGAGCTTTTCCTCCCTACACTGTCCCAGAGCATTAAACCATGTATTCAGTATTTCTGAGACAGCCTCTTCATTGTGCCCTAATCACACAAGCTAAATCATTTTATGACTACTGCCACAATCACACATCTCGCACAGGTCATTTGCTGACGCGCGCTTGCGCCAGCCGCTCCCGCCTGCGTCTCGCGACACTCCTGCGTTTACGACGCAGGAAGTTGTCGAGCGACTTGATCGGGTTGCCGTAGGGGTCGTATCTGCACTCTGGGCACGTGTACTGGTAGTGGCAGCACTCGTTGTTACGGTAGAGCGGCGTGCATCCGTTGGGTACCGGGGGGCATTCGGTGTGCTGCTCGATGAGCTCCAGGACGCCCGAGTTGCAGTGCATCTGGGTGCAGTGTCGCTTCTCGTCCTCCCACCACGTGGAGCCGTGCGGGTACTGCTGTCCGCCTACCTCACAGTCTGGGGGTGAGCGAAGACGTGCGTTAGAGGCGTCATGTGGAGAGAAGCTGGCGCTGGAACGGATGAGTAATGTGCGCCAAACTGACGGGAGTTGAAACATCCGATGGTCAAGCCTTTCCTTACAGGCAGGCAAGAAATGGAGGTAATCTGAGTCGAAGTTAAGCTAAAGGCATTGTTTCTGCGAGGAGAATGCATGACAGCGACGGCTGTTCAAGATTTGCATGCTTTTCAGACATTTGTGATCTATCCACGAATGAAACTGCCTGCTCCAAGAATTTCCATGGACTTTACCCATTCACTCAATGATTTATCGTACGTTGTCGGAGAGCTCTCAAAAAGTGGGTACTCACGGGGGCATAGCCACTGTTTACAGCACGTGCCGGGCAGACGAGTGCCGGTGCACGGGCCGTCCGGCTGTGGCCGACACTCCCTGCCGTAGTCCTCGACCGTATTCACTCCGGCGCGCGTGCAGTTGAACTTTTTGCACGGGAAGGTGGTATCGTCCAGCCACTCCTGGCCCTCGCCGTACGTGGTGTCGTTGTACTGGCATGTCACTGTGGGGAGACCAAGTTTCAGGGACGCTAAAGTGATAGGTGATAGGTGGATGGATAGATCAAAACAAAGCTTCAACTAATTTCTGCGATGGGTGAGCAGCTATTTCATGTTTAATAGAAATGCGTGCTTGAGTGGGGAGCAATCATTCTGTAACCCATTTCAAACGTCATTTTCCGAGCAAAGTCTCCTCACGCGTTACTCGGCATCATGTCTGGGTCACAAAACACACCTATACCGTTCACGCTTCATCTGGCGCCGTCCGCCACTGACCGTGGACGCAGTCGTAGACGGGACAGCAGCGGTAGGGCACGGTACTGGCCGTGCAGCCTGCCGAGTCGGGCGGCGGCGGCGGGCAGCTGTCGGACACGTCGTTGGAGATCACCGTGCCGTTCAGGCAGGAGAGCAGCGTGCAGGGGCGCAGCGGGTCCAGCGGCCACGTGGTCGCGTGCTCATGCTGCTGACCGGCGTACGTACACGAGTCTGGTGGAGAGAGGTCGTGAAGTTTGGGTGAGACGGTGCTGGGGAGATCGCGGTTGTTGAAGTCAGTGTGGTTTCATTGATAACTGAAGAACACTTAGCTCACCGAGCTGAAGTTTTGCATAATGTTATTGAAGATCGAATTAAGTCCACAATATTTATTCATTTACTATGAATGCCTCATTTGCGAGCTAGACATGCTGATATCTCCTTGCCACACCTGATCTAGGCGTTTGGCACAAATGTGTGCGGTTCATCTCACAACTCCTGCACACCACCGTCCGGTTTACTGACCTGCTGGACAGTCGGGCACCGGACAGCACTGTCCGGGGATGTGGCGCGCGCTGCAGATGGTGGTCGGGAACGGTCGGCACACGGTGCGGTTCGTCTGTACTGACACACCCAGCACGCACACGTAGGAGGCGCACGGAGGATCCGTGGTCCACTCCTCGCCCGGCGCGTGTGCTACGCCCTCGAAGATGCACGGTACGCCTGGTGGAGGAAGGTGAGATGTAAATGTTGGCGGCTGGTAGAAATTATTTAGTTGACTCATTTTATTTTTGTTCTTTTTATCCTTTACGGTCTTTGAAAGTTGCGAAATTCAGTTTGGGATAATGCTTCAAGTTGATGTGCTTACATTCCGGAGGTATTGTACGGCGCTTCAGTTGACATGAGTGAAAGGTCAGCAGCCACTAAGGATATCCTTCGAACTTCTTTACTTCTTTGCCTTTAAAATCTCCATCAGCTCACCACCTACGACCCCTTGCTTACCGCCTGGACATGTGATCTCCGGGCAGCACCGGTTGGGTGGGAAGTGCTCCGTGCAGCCGGCAGGTGCTCGCGGACAGTCAGTGGCCACATCCAGCACGTGGATGGGATACGGCGGGCTGCCGGACGCGCACACGTAGCAGGTCGTGGGTCTGATGGGGTCGTCCAGATACAGCTGGTTCACCGGGTGGGTGACGCCGCTTGGGTCCGTGCAACCTGCGGGTGACAGGTTTTTGGGTCCGTGCTGCTTTGGTGGAGAAAGAAGACAAGCGAGGCAACATGGCTATGGCAGAAGCTGGCCTTCGGTATATTTAGCCGGTATCCTCATAGCTACCTGAATGATTGACGGGCGAAGCCCATAAGCTGCTTCGCCCCCGGAAGCTATTAGAAAATGCGTTAGACTGGTTCCTAATAATCACACCACAATCAAGAGCTGGCTGTGTGATATCAACTTCCTTCAGTATCAGCCCGTTCACTCACCGGGGTCGGGTTTCTGATCGGCGCACTGGTAGCGCGGGCAGCAGACACCGGGTACCTCGATACAGCTGGGGTCCTCCGGGGGCGAGGGGCACGGCTCTCGCACGCTAAAGACGACTCCGTCGGCACAGGCGTGGTTGGTGCAGCCGTCAGCGCTGGTCCAGAAAGACCCCGGAGGTCGCACTTGGCCGTACTCGTCCTCGCAAACTGGATAGAGGAGGCGCACGGACGTCAGCCTTTATCGGTCAATCTTTGTTTTGCTGTTTTGGTCTCCTTTTGCTCGTTTTATTGTTGAGCTCAGCGAAAACAAAATTACTAGTGTGTATAAGCCTGAATTCAAACCCCAAGGTATGCATTACCCGAAATCGTTCTTGTAATTCATTGAAAAAAAAATCCTTGCTGGCGTGTGATTTCTCATACGGACAATAGACGTGGACAAGAAAAAAGGTCGCTTTCCACCCGACGAAAGTAGGAAACGTTCTCCTAGCACCACTGGCGCTTTCTAAGCCCTTCCATTACTGTAAACACTTAAGTTACTCGTGTTTGCGATGCCATAGTAATTGTCCTAACACGGATTTCACTGACCTTCTGCTGTCGGCTGCGTCGTCGGCGTTACTGGGGACGTCCCCGCAGTTGTCACTGTCGTCGTGGAAGCCTGAGTAGTCGTCGTCGTCGCTGAAGTTGTTGTCGTTATGGTCGTCGTCGTTGTCGACAATGGGGTCGTCGTTGACGCTGTCGTGGACGTCGAAGAGCTGCAGTCGTAGACAGGGCAGCAGAGGCCCGGAACCGTAACAACCTGGCAGTCTGACGAGGCCGGCGGCTGGCACACGAGTTCAGTCTTGGTGACGACTCCGTAGTCGCAGCGGTGGCGGTAGTAGCAGTCGTTGGCCCGGAGCCAGGTCTGACCGTGCTGGTAATAACGGCCCTCGTCGACACAGCCTGGCGGGTAGGATAGGGTGACTGTCACCAACGTTACAAGGAAGGGAGCTGGGCCGGATGAGAACGGTTTCAGCAATCTACAGCCCGTTCATACTGGATTCGAGGTGGATCTAGCTCGCATCCTAGTGCTGGCGAACAGTGGCGACGTCTTTGGTCACCGTTATGGTAGCCTGCTACCTAGGCGATTCCCTTTAACCAGATACGTACCTATTCGTAAGATTATGAGTGTGCTTACATCAGTATAACCCGCCCGCACAGGGTTCGGCGTATTACACGGAAGGCATGCGGATGTTCCCTAAGGTTCACGTGCCCTGGATGTTACTGAGGCGGTTCAGGCATCAGCTTTCAGGCCCTGAAAGGCGGCGGTTGGGAATGGAATGATCAATATCGCGTCCTAAATTGAAACCTTCTCGGTATCCGTGTCTTGCCGACACGGATGCTGAGTAGGTTAGGGACATCTGGACACCTACCGGTATCGCTGGAGGGGCACTTGTAGGTGGGACAACAGCGATCCGGCTCCTGGATGGCCACGCAGTCGGCCCGCGGCGGCTCCGAGCACTCCACGTCAATGACGAAGATGACGCCGTTCGAGCAGTGCCTCACGCAGCCGTCTGGTGTGGTCCAGTTGGAGTTGTGCGGCCGGGTGTTGCCGTTCTGATCCGTACACGCTGCCGAGAAGGTGGGATGACTGGTTGACGCAAACCTCTTGTCTTTTGGGTCTAGGGAACTATTATCTAGCATCCAACTTGCCTTCGCCCTCATTTTACGTGGCGAGGACATCGTCTCGCCTCACGTCTTGACAGACTGATTCATCAGTGCAAAGTGCGAAGGGAGGCATACTCTCTAGGAAGTTTTTTTTTTTAGATGAAAGACGCTAGCATGATGTGGAGATGCAAACTGTGGGCGTGTCCGCGGGATATTTTCGGACTCACCTTGGCCGGTGGGCGGTGTCGAGGTGCAGTTGTAGTCCGGACAGCACTGGCCGGGCACTGCTATCGGCACACAGCCGGGCGGCGGAGTCGGCGGACAGTCCACGATGGCCACGTGGAGCGTTCCGTCTCTACAGCTGGTTACGATGCACCCGGTCTCATCGAAGACGTCGGTTCCGTGCGGCTGGACACTGCCGTCAGTTTCGACACAGTCTGGGGATGGATAGGCGGAGGTTCGTATGCGTTTTTTGTGGGTATTTGGCTTGGAGCCCATTTCTTGGCGTAGCTTCGGCTACAGTGTTTTGGTTTTGTCGATATTGCCGGTCGCCGGATTGCTACCAGGGATATTTCCCCTACAAGGAAAGCTGTCTTATAACAGGCGTGATGACTTTACGAATTACCCTTCATGAGATGTTATGCGTAGTCTTTCACTAGGCGAACTCTATCAGGCGCTATCTCACCTCTTTGGCCCGTAGACGTGCAGTTGTAGTCTGGACAGCACTGGCCAGGCACCGTTTGCGGCACACAGCCGGGCAAAAACAAGTGCACACATAGGGTGGTGAGGCCGAGCACTTGTCCGTTCTCACAGGTGAAGTGAAGACAGTTGTCCTCGCTGGTCCAGTGAGAGCCGTTCGGTCGCAGCACTCCGTCCACGTCTCGACACGCTGCGGAACGCGCGCAGTTAATCATCCCCAACTTCCACACGGCCTCTGTATTACTGAACTTCCACTTATCCCTACAAATCATAACTATACGTATTACATACAGCTCACCAATGAGTCCTGTCCATTAACTTTCGACACACCCTTTGCACCCCCAACAAGCACACAAATCTCCGTTCTCTTATGGGTGCTGATTGGTTCCGCATCTGGGCGCCCAAGACCCTACTTTAACCCATGGTGACCATCCGTTCTCCGTGGTCAGCTCACCTCCAGCTGCCGGCGGAGTGTCGCAGATGTAGCGCGGACAGCACCGGCCCGGCTGGTTGAACTCTGAACACCCGCCGTAGGATGGCGGCGGCGGCACGCATACGAACGAGATGCCCCGCACCTGGCTGTCCTCGCACATGTAGCGTGTGCAGTTGTTGGTGCTGGCCCAGTGAGAGCCGTCGGGTCGCAGCTGACCAGTGGCGTCCACGCAACCTGTCGAAGACACGCATGCGATGTCGGGGATGATAAAAGTATCCTGTACCACAGTACGGAGTTCGCGGAGGGTTTTGGAAAAGAGAATGACATGCGTAGGACAAGTTGTTCAAGATTTAACTGGAAGCTAGCTGAGGCTCATAACCCCAGAACATTCCAAAACACCTATGTCACCATAAGACCTACTGACTGCGCACATGTTCCTTGAAGTATCCCTTCGTGATTGAAGTTCCTAACTTCCCAAACTGCCCATCCTCTGCGCCTGACCTTGGTTTGGTGTGTCGGGACACTCGTAGAAGGGGCAGCACTGGCCGGGCGTCCTCACGGGGACACAGGCGGGGTCGGTGGGCGGCCGGGCGCAGTCGATGGTGGAGGCCGCCAGGAAGCCGCTCTGACAGTGGTAGGTGATGCAGCCGTCCTCGCTGACCATGGTGGTGTTGTGGGCCACCGGCCGGCCGTCCGGAGTCAGACAGCCTGAGGGCGGTAGACAATAGTTGGGAAGCTCTTGTGTCGCCTACTTCTTGATGTTGAAGAAACTGGACGATGTACTGAACAGTGAACATTATTGAACGAAGCGTTTGGCAATGCTGTCTGCAATTGTTTGAAATTGGTCTCGCTTTATAGATTGCATTTGCACATGCCTTTGGATGGAGGATTTTTATCCAAGACAAATTTTCTCTGCCTGCTTTGTGTGGACGTGGGGATGAGATAGATGGGGGGGGGGGCGCTCATACCAACCCTGTCGCTCTTGCACGCCTATGACTTCTAAAGTCCGGGTGTCCTAAAATCACAAATCAGCATCATCGTTCTTACTTCTTACCTTGTCCGTCGTCGCTGGTGGGACACTGGAAGTCGGGACAGCACTGTCCCGGAGTATACACGGGCAGACAGTCCGGTGTGAAGTCCGGTGGCTTCACGCAGCGGATGGACGTGCCGGTGATGGTGCCGTCGAAACAGCGGTAGACGGTGCAACTGTCGGCGCTTGTCCAGCTCGAGTTGTGCGGACGTACTGTGCCAGTTGAGTCCGTGCAGTCTGGGAGAGGAGATAGGCATTAGTTTTATTCAACTGATTTCGCATCGTATTGCTGTGTTTTGACATAAACTGGGAGGCATGCGAGCTCAACTTCCGACCTACTGTGATTGGCAGAAGAAACTGAACATGGATCGCATACTATTGAACAGTAAAAACAAGGTCCGCTGAAAGGGCTTGAAATCGGTACCCTATCATATGTTCTGGCTTGCTCTGTGGTAGGTGAAGTTTGTAAAGCAAGGATAGCGGACATTTCATCTCTTATTGACCTTGTTGCTCGAGCCATGCTAAAGATGACCAGGAGCAGCGGCTGACCTTGGTTTGGTGTGTCGGGACACTCGTAGAAGGGGCAGCACTGGCCGGGAGTCCTCACGGGGACGCAGTCGGGGTCGGTGGGGGGCCGGGCGCAGTCGATGGTGGAGGCCGCCAGGAAGCCGCTCTGACAGTGGTAGGTGATGCAGCCGTCCTCGCTGACCATGGTGGTGTTGTGGGCCACCGGACGGCCGTCGGGAGTCAGACAGCCTGTAGATGGCAGAAGGGGTTGGCAAGGTGCCGAGGTTTGGCGTTGACGTCTTGATGCTGAAGAAACTGGCTCGCAAAGTGTTGAAACAATGTTTGCTAGCTGCTAGCTGCTATAAAGGTTTTATATGACGGTTTCATAGAAGAAAGCTCTTTACCTTATGGCCAGGAAGGTTTTGGCTCAGGGCAAAGGCAATGCTCATGATTAATTTCTCGTTCATGTTTGGATCGGAGGAAAGCTCTAGCGCTTACCTTGTCCGTCGCCGCTGGTGGGACACTCGAAGTCTGGACAGCACTGTCCCGGAGTATACACGGGCAGACAGTCCGGTGTGAAGTCCGGAGGCACCACGCAGCGGATGGACGTGCCGGTGATGGTGCCGTTAAAACAGCGGTAGACGGTGCAGCTGTCGGCGCTTGTCCAGCTCGAGTTGTGCGGACGGACTGTGCCAGTCGAGTCCGTGCAGTCTAGGAATGGAGATAGACATTAGTTTTATTCAACTCATTTCGCATCGTATTGCTGTGTTTTGACATAAACTGGGAGGCATGCGAGCTCAACTTCCGACCTACTGTGATTGGCAGAAGAAACTGAACATGGATCGCATACTATTGAACGGTAAAAACAAGGTCCGCTGAAAGGGCTTGAAATCGGTACCCTATCATATGTTCTGGCTTGCTCTGTGGTAGGTGAAGGTTGAAAAGCAAGGATAGTGGACATTTCATCTCTTATTGAGCTTGTTGCTCGATCCATGCTAAATGTGACCAGGAGCAGCGGCTGACCTTGGTTTGGCGTGTCGGGACACTCGTAGAAGGGGCAGCACTGGCCGGGCGTCCTCACGGGGACGCAGTCGGGGTCGGTGGGTGGCCGGGCGCAGTCGATGGTGGAGGCCGCCAGGAAGCCGCTCTGACAGTGGTAGGTGATGCAGCCGTCCTCGCTGACCATGGTGGTGTTGTGGGCCACCGGCTGGCCGTCCGGAGTCAGACAGCCTGCGGACGGTAGAAGGGGGCTTGGAGGTTCTTGTTTGCGTCTTGATGTTGAAGATACTTGACAATGGACTGAATAGTGAACACCATTGAGCGAAGTGTTTGGCAATACTATGGGCAATTGTTTGAAATTGGTCTCGCTTCATGATTACATTTACACTTGATTTGAAAGATTGTAATCCAAGACGAAGGTTTCTCTACTGTATTGAATGAGATAGGTGGAAGAAGACGCTCATGCCAACCCTGTCCTCCTTGGACGCCGATGACCTCTGAAGTCCGGGCCGCGAGTTACCTAAATGTGGAACTACCCAGCGCCGAGCCGGCCGGATGACGTCACACCACGGCCAGTGCCGGCGCGGCGGCAGACTGGCCGAGATTCGCATGGTCTTAACTTGGCGAAGAGGCATCGGACGCCAAACTTCTGCTGCAGCTATTAATCACATTTCATGCGTTTCTTCCATGTGTATGAGCTATCAAGTCCTTCGAATACCTAATGTGTAGGTGAGCGTACCTGCATTTAGCAGTGTGTGCTATGCTATGTGGATGGGCACATCCGACAGTCGACACACTGCGCAATGGATTCCGATATTGCTTGGCTGATTCTGGCTTTGTGTCTTCGAACGAACCATTGAAAGGGAGGACGTCATTTTTAAAGGTTGTTAGGTGCACTCAAACGTTTTAAGATAAGCAACTGCTGATTGAATTTTTGGCGAAGGTTGGTGGAACGCTCTGTTTACAAATGAGTATCTACCTACCTAGTACCTACCTGCAGTGGCAAATAACTGGGTCGCGGTCAGTTAGGCATGATTCACGAAGTCCCTTATCTTTTATTAGACTTATTAAGCCCAATATGCAACATTTGCGTCTTTTCGCGTTGTATCGGGTAGCAAATGAGAAAATCTGCTTCTTCTCCACAGCCCTCAATTCAAGAAACCGTCCTTTTCCTTATCACATTATTCCAGAACATAATTTTCAAACATGGGTATCTTCCCCACAAAAAAAAACTGAAGCAGTTTCCTTCGGCTCCAATGCGCCGCTCGCCCAGGGAGACGGAAGTTTTATATTCTCGGCGGTCCAGTCTGCATTCTGCAGCACACTCAAACTTGGCGGACCCCCAGCGCACGACTGAACGATTCGTATTGTTGTGAGTGACTGTGACAATTCACTGGTGGTTTCGGAATAATTAACAGGCGGCGCAGCCCAGTGCCTCTTACAATGATTTACAGTGGCGAATGCACTATTGCAGAGAAGAAATGGATTGAGCAGATGCCCAACCTCGCTGTATTATCAACTAAACATTAGGTACGCTTTACATTTTAATCAGGCAATCATGTAAACAAACGACTTGCGAGTTGCGACCCTTCCGCCTTACATAACTCGGCAGAATGCCCCTGAGTCGGCTAAACTACACTGCATCTCTTCAAACCTTAAGTATTTTACAATTTACCACTCAGCTATGCAACAGGCTTATAATTCACTGCTCAAGTCTCAACCCCTTTTCCCTATCATCTTTTTGGCACCGTCAATCGCCATCTGCGCTGCCCACTGTCCAGCAAATAATCCGGCCGTCTCCAGTTCTCTGGCAGGGGCTTCCAAACTCAAGCGAACTCGCCGAAGTTTCGCCATTCAATGCGCAGGATCTGTACAATTGAGTTTGAGAGCCTCTGGGTTGGCTCGGCGCGCCTGCGCCGCGCCGTTGGTCCGGCCAAGTACGCGAGTGACGTCATGCTATAAGCGTCATCCCCGACCAAAGTCACCAATCAGAGCCCTAGAATCGACTTGTAGTTCCACACTTAGGTAACTCGCGTCCGGGCCTCCTAAAATCAACACCATCCTACTCACCTTGTCCTTCGTCGCTGGTGGGACACTGGAAGTCGGGACAGCACTGTCCCAGAGTATACACGGGCAGACAGTCCGGTGTGAAGTGCGGAGGCACCACGCAGCGGATGGACGTGCCGGTGATGGTGCCGTTAAAACAGCGGTAGACGGTGCAGCTGTCGGCGCTTGTCCAGCTCGAGTTGTGCGGACGGACTGTGCCAGTCGAGTCCGTACAGTCTGAGAATGAAAGACAACATCAGTTTTATTCTTTTCGTTTCACGTGGCATTGCGAAGCCTAACCTTGACGCGTTAAGTTGACTGGACTGACATTCGACCAAACCTTTGCGCACTACGCTGATGGACACGTCAACATGTGTCGCAGCGCTTTCTGCTATGTACATAGTCCAAAGACGAGATCTTACGAACGGCATGTTTTCAGTATTGCCGGGTGTCGGCAGATGAAACAGCCTTATCACTGTATCCTCGTCCCCGATCCGTCATCCGCTCTCCTCACCTTGTGGGGCGTCGTCGTTGGGGCAGACGAAAGTCGGGCAGCACTGTCCCGGAGCGTTAACGGGCACGCAGAGGTAGCTGGCCGGCTCTGGACACTTGATGGTGGTGCTGGAGATGGCGCCGTCGCTGCACGTGTAGATGGTGCAGCCGTCGGCACTGCTCCAGCTAGAGTTGTGGGCGCGCAGGGCGCCGGATGGGTCCGTACAGTCTGTGAAAGCAGATGTGGTGAATGTGTCAGGTTGTGTTTCCCGAGGTCATTTCGTGTGGTAAGCAACGTTCCAGAAGGATGAAGGGCGGATTTCTGGGATCGAAGTATGCCGCCAAGCGTCGATCTTAGTGATTAAAAAGCAATTATAGTGGTTAAGCATTGCTTAGTCACTCGCCAACAGGTCTTGTCCCATGGTAACGAAATGGAGACAAGGGAAGATCGAATGCAAGGACGCTTGTCTCAACTTACCTCGAGTTCCGTAATGTGGGCAGTCGTAGACGGGGCAGCACTGGCCCGGAATGTTCACAGACACACAGTCGGGTGAGGGGCTCGCGATGACGTCGCAAACAACGTTACTGCTGCTGATGACGCCGTCGAAGCACTTGTAGATGGTACAGCCGTCGGCGCTCGTCCAGTTCGAGTTGTGTGGGCGGATCTGGCCGTTCGGATCCTCGCAGTCTGCCGGATAAGGAGGATGTTACCGCAATAGCACAAGGTCACACTGGCGCTAAGGATCGGTTATCAACCATCGTGATACCGTGACATCGTGAGGTCGCGTGACTCGTCGAAGCTGCCATAGCTAGTCATTTCAAGTGTTCTCCACACTTGCAGCAAGTCCTAAACTCCACAGTCTGCAAGGGACCGCACGGCCTTCTCTTACCTGCTGGGCCGGAGCAGTTGAAGGAGGGACAGCACACTCCGGGAGTGAACACGGGCAGGCAGTTGCCTGGTGGGTAGGGTTCGATGCATTCCTCGAAGGTCACCGACAGCTCTCCGTCGAAGCAAGTGTAGATGGTGCAGCCATCCGCACTGATGCGACTCGAGTTGTGCACCAGTGGGACGCCGTTGGGGTCCACGCAGTCTGCCGGCATCGGTGACGTTGTGGGTGAGGATGAGGCAACTAATCCTTCGCTTGCCACATCACCAGAGCTCGGACCGTCATCCAACACCATGGGCAAACTCATTCAAGATACATAGACAGCCTCCAATTCGTCTATCGTCACAGTATAAGGATTTGTCATCTCCATTTTCTAGGGTTAGCGTTGCGAGGAAAATCATGACGTTCCCTCGTCAACAAGTCAATTAAATCGTTTCACTAACGATCTCGTCAACTGCTTTCTACATGCGAAATCCTCGTTCGCTCTCTTTTACTGACCTTGTCCAGGCTCCGGACAAAAGAAGGTTGGACAGCAGCTGTTTGGCTGCTCGACGGGGACACAGCCGGGGCGCGGAGGCAGCGGGCACTCCACGACGATCTCTCCGAGTGTCCCGTTCGTGCAGCTGATCACGAGACACCTGTTCTCGTCGATTACGTGGGAACCGTGCGGCAGGACACTGCCGTCCGGTCTCACACAGTCTGAGAAAAGACAGGCGGAGGGTTGGCATGTTTCGAGGACATTGCTTGGTTTGGAGTGGTTAAACGAAAGTTGATTGATGGGTATAGTATTCTTTCTTCGAAAGTGCTGGACATACTGTCATACTGTCATACTGTCATTGGTACATATACTGTTTGTGGAACACTATGTACCAAGAATGTAAGACTTGGTTTCTATGAATCGTGCGCCAAAAACTCTTTCGCGTCAACTCTCTCGAGCGAACTCCATCATGGAAATCAGCTCCAGAGCGAAGCTCACCTCTGGGACCGATGGAGGTGCAGTTGTAGTCTGGACAGCACTGGCCAGGTACCGTTTGCGGCACACAGCCGGGCAAAAACACGTGCACACAAAGTTCGGTGAGGCCGAGCACTTGTCCGCTGGCACAGGTGAACTGAAGACAGTTGTCCTCGCTGGTCCAGTGAGAGCCGTTCGGTCGCAGCACTCCGTTCTCGTCTCGACATGCTGCGGAACGCACAAAGAAGAAAGTCATGTAGCTATTGAGCCACCGAGGCTTTATGTTCCCTCTGAAAAGCTACTAACAAATAAATCGCTTTGGTCGAGGGAAGGTGTGACCAGTGGCAGCGAAGCATGCCGATTCATCAACTATATTCCAAGGAAACGGGGCGTTTTGCATGAGTAGAAGTCCTGGGCGGAGCTGAGCAACCCACTGCCGTCCACAACTTCAGTACCTGCTTAGGTATTTGCCAAGTGACGTCCCCTGCTGGCCTACCTCCATCGGGCGGCACCACGGCACACCGGTACAGCTGGCAGCAGAAGCCGGGCACAGTCTCTGGCACGCAGGCGGAGCCGGGCGGTGGAGGCAGGCACACGGCCGACACGCCCAGCACCACGCCCTGGTGGCACGTGTAGCGCGTGCAGTTGTTGGCTGTCGCCCAGTGGTCGCCGTGCTGGCGGAGCACGCCGTCCTCGTCTACACAGTCTGTAGGTGGTGTAGGGAGGTTTAGTGAGTGCGATGAGGAACGTGATGATAGACATTGGTTTCGCGAAAATGACTCATCATCTGACTAGGTTATCTGATTCCAACTCGCGAGACTCTCTTCGTGGAATCCGCCTACGTTTTTATGCTTTGTGATAAATCATTGACAGCTCAAAGTTTCATTCTGCAGAGAAACATTGACGTTGGCCATGCTTTATTCATTTGGGAACGTAATCATCAAGGGAGCTTTAAACTGATTGTTTTCGTCCTCAAACGAACACAACTCCCCACTCAGCTCCGTTTTTACAGACCTTGATTGTCGCTGCCGGCGTCGTTTCCTGCTCCTCCCCCGTCACCACCGTCGTCGCCTCCATCGTCGCCACCTCCGTCGCCACCGCCGTCAATATCGCAGCGGTACGAGGGGCAGCACTGTCCCGGTGGCGGGGGCACCTCGTAACAGATCCCTCCGAGAGGTAGCGGCTCACAGGTGACCGTGCCCGTGGCGATCATACCCGACATGCAGTCGTAGTGGGTACAGCCATTCGGTGAGCTCCAGTGTGCGCCGTCCGGCCGGACCACCCCCGATGAGTCGGTGCAGCCTGCCCGGAGAAGGGGGACGGGAAGCTGTGATTAGGCCCCAAAACTACGGCCCTGTAACTGACATGTGAAACGGCTTGTAGGTGGGCCGCGAGATTCTCGCGAGAAATGTGAAAAATGAAATTACGAGGAAGACGAGACATGCATGGAAATTGAGTGGTGTGAGTTTCCGATTCCGGAAGAGCAGACGGAGCGTATTTGATTTCTTCTCATACCTGTTCTGTACAGTATTGTGAGGGCTGAGGCTATGCCAAGATGCCGTTTGTCTTATTCCCGATGTGAAAATCCCCCTGCACTCACGGCCGTCGGTTGGACAGGCGTAGAAGGGACAGCAGAGCTGCGGCGCGTCGATGCGCTGGCACGTGGGGTCGGACGGAGGCGGCGGACAGCTGACGGGGAACTTCTCGATGATCCCGGCGCTACACTGGAGGATGATGCACTCCTGGGCACCCGCCCACACGGCGCCGTCTTCGTAAATTTCGCCTGTCTCGGTTACACAGTCTGGAAGAGAGGGGAGGTGATCGTAGAGTCAGTTGTCCGGTGGGGCACGATGTGATTTTCACGGGTTGGATGTTTGAAAAACGACGGGTGTTGTGTAGTGGTTTTCTCACTTTCTTAGCATTCATAACGGTGCTAATGTATATTGTATAGCAAGCTATGTTACTCCCAGAATAGTATTCTTATAATGTCACATCTATCGCAATTCAAGTGCTGTAAAGTGCAAGCGGAAAATAACATGACGAGGGCTCCGACATTTACAGTCCTCACTCATTAGTGTCTCATCAGAATCAAGATGACTAAGGAAACCTCAATGTTGTCGCATCTCACCGACTCACCGTTCAGTGTGGGCGGACAGACGAACTCGGGGCAGCAGTGGCCGGACGCGGGCACGGGCACGCAGTTGGCGTGCGGCGCCACCTCCAGGCACACGATGGGCACCTCTGTGACCTTGCCATTGGCGCAGCTGTAGCCCTTGCAGCCGTCCTCACTGGTCCACTGAGTGCCATGAGAGTGCTTCTGACCGTCGGCGTCCAGACACGGCGCAAAGAACCGCGGTGACTCCGGCGGCGGCGGTCCCGATCCCCAGTAGGAGTGTGTCGTCGTCTGGTTACAGAAGTACTCGAAGCAGCAGTGGCCTGGTTTCCGCGAGGCGACACAGTCAAAGCCCTCCGGCTGCCCCTTGCAGACGTGTGAGATGTTCAGGTCGACGCTGATGCGGCCGTCGTCGCAGCTGAGCCAGGCGCACGGATGGTCGGTGTTGTCCTGCCACCGCTCTCCGTGCTTCCGAGCCGTGCCCGCCTCGTCGATACAGCCGCCCGGCGGCGGACGTACCGAGCGGGGGTCTGTCGGACGCGCTGCCGACAGGGAGGGAGAGACAGTGAGACCGTGCTGCGAGTGTGGGATTTCATGAAGTGAGGTTGAGCTCGAAGGTGACAGTTAATGAGAAAAGTACTATTCTGTTAGAAGTTGATTCGATGAAAAATTATGCTATTTGATAGGCATCGAGACGAGCCTTTTGTTGGGGTCGTGGAAGGCTGTACTCTGGGTGTTTTTAGAAGACGTTAATCACAAAAATGCTTTTAGAAATGGTAGATGTTTCAATGTACTTGAGGCACAGTTTCAGACAAGGGTTCCTAAATTTTCCCCTGATATTATTCCTTCTCTCGACTCTAATGAAGGTGACCCGTCCTTAGACGACTTGTCTTGATCTTTGCTAGCCTGGATAATATCTCTTTCGCTGCTATTAGAACACCAAAAAGTTTGCACCACCCTCTCCTTCTGGGAGAGGGTGGTGGCAAAGTGCTCCTCGCGTGAACTATCCTGGGGACTCGCTAGTTTCGACTCCACATGTCACTCACCTTCCCTGTCAGAGCAGCAGAGCTTATGACAGTCGCAGCAGGCGTCCGCCACAGTCGGGTGCAGTTGGCAGTTGTCAGACGAACAGAACTCATCCTTGAGCGCGTCGCAGTCCACACGACTCCCTGCGTATGTCTGTCTTACAGCTGTCACCAGCAGCAGCAGGAGCGCTCCTCCGACCGAGCTCAGTGCGGGCCCCATGACTGGCTCTGCCACCGAACCCGGCGGTCGACTGGCACCCGGCGGTCATCTGCCGACCGCCGCCCGGCCGCCCCCGCCCCCCGCCGGGGTTCGGCGGCCGCCCCAGGGGCTCACGGTCCGAGACATAGCGCTGGGTCAGCGGGGAGTGGCTTCCGGTGACCGGTCACATGACGATGAGGCGGAGAGGTGTCTGGAGCCACTGTGGACAAAGTCGTGACACCGGCAGAGGGGCGGGCACATGAGGACGGTGACCTTCCTGTTTTGGCGGGCGCCACTGACGACTTCCTGTGTGGTGATGATTCTTGGTGTCATGTGATCTGAACTGGACCGGATGAATTGGAAACTCTGATTAGCTCGGGGTAACATTTATTTTAAACGCTGCGTTCATAGACCGAAAGATCGCTCTTTTTGTTCTTTATTCTGGCAGGCTTCTATCTCTGTTTTTTTTATCATGGACCGCACCGAACTCTAGTCTCTAACGAACCCAATCAACTCTCATAATTCACCGTCTTTTCCCCTCAGCTCACCTTCCAAACTCACTCCCATTCCCATTTCCCACTCATTCAACTAACTACTCCCACCCCTCTCGGTGTTTCAGCGTGGCCAACAGTATCCGCCGCATTATGATCGCCGAGGTGCCCACTCTGGCGATCGACTGGGTGCAGCTGGAGGCGAATAGCACCGTGCTGTGCGACGAGTTTCTGGCGCACCGGATCGGAATGATCCCGCTCACCTCGGACGAGGTGGTCGACAACATGCAGTACTCCAGGGTCAGTGGAGGAGTGTGTGTGTGTGGGGGGGGGGGGTGAGCTGTGGTTGTGTTTGAGGTTTGAATAGTGACTTGTGAGCTGAAGTTAAGCTTTAGAGTGAGGACTTGTAATTTTGCCTCGGTTTATGGAAGGGGGAAGGAAGGTTATGTCCTTAGATGGGATATGTCATAGCACAGATAACAGTAGTACTACTGTTATCTGTGGTCATAGCATAGACCACTATATACCTGGACTCTGCACTGATATTGCCGACTGCCATTAGGGCCCTGCTGGGAAATTCGATGTAGCACGCGGAATTTGTGTTGATGCTCTATGAAGCCCATTTAAATGAAAGGAATTGCTTAAATGTGATGTATATTTTGATAAATGCTTAATTTATAGCATGATTTTCGACACGATGAATAAATAAAAGCACTTAGAGGCAGGTATATAGTGGTCTATGGTCATAGACTAATCCACAGTAGTCTATGGATATGTATTCCAGTCCATTGAATCGGTAGATTTGTGGCCCGTGTTCCAATTCTGATTGTTGTCACGATGGTGGAGAAACGTTTTAGAAACCCTAGTAATGTATCCTACGTAGTCTAGCGCAATATGTCCATTCCTCATTAACTAGCTGTGCTATTTTTGACAGTGTCAGACATGTCTGTCAGGACTTTTATATAAACTAAATCGTCGTAGTTACTTGCTGACTAGCTCAATGTCTGCAAACGCCTTGCACATGTTTCATAACTTGATAACGCATTCTAATTTCAGATGCTTATTTAATTGAATTAGCCGTGCCATCATGACATAAGCGAGGAACCAAGCCTTCATTCGATAATTGCTGTATCGCTTACCCACAACTCCTCCCCCCTCCGATAACCAGTCTCACTGCGTGTGGCCTGTTGTATCTAACCCACCCTCTCTACCCCCTCGGCAGGACTGCACGTGCCCGGACTTTTGTCCGCAGTGCAGCGTGGAATTCACGCTGGACGTCAAGTGTAACGAGGGTCAGACGATGCACGTGACCACGGCTGATCTCAAGTCGTCCGATAGTCGCGTCATACCAGCCACTTCGCGACGGGACGAGGACGGCGCCGATTACGGAGACTCGGATGGTAAGAAGTGCGCCGAGAGGTGTACCCGGCACGGGAAAGTAAATATGCGAAGATAGGAGGATTTGAGGTTAGCTTGTTTGGTGGCATAGTTTTGGAAGTGTCGGAAGGCTTGCAAAGCCTTCGAGATGCAGATTCCGGTGTCAGCATTTTGAGTTGTTTTGGTATTGTTTGTTTCTACTCCTTTGTCCAATACTTCCAGCGGTTAAGTGTCGTTTTATCCAGTCATCAGTCAGCCTTTCAAGTGTGCAGAGTCATCCAATCTTTCTTTCTATCTTTGTTTGTTTAGTTGTTTGTTTTTTTCTTTTTTTTTCTTTCTCTCATCCTCTTTTTATTCACACTCCCTGTCCCCCCGCAGAGATTGAGATTGTAAAGCTGCGGAAGGGCCAGGAGCTGAAACTGCGGGCGTACGCTCGGAAGGGGTTCGGCAAGGAGCACGCCAAGTGGAACCCCACCAGCGGCGTGGCATTCGAGTACGACCCGGACAACGCGCTGCGCCACACGCTGCTACCCAAACCGGAGGAGTGGCCCAAGTCCGAGTACACTGAGATCGACGAAAGCCTCCGTGAGTACGAGAGTTTCTACAAAGCTACAAATAACGTTTGCTATTACTACACCTTTTTGCGTTGTTCGATGGCCAATCAGCAAAACCCATTCGTCCGATCAGCACATAGGTGGCGCCAGTGAGAGGCATTCCGGCAAAACCTTCAGCATATGGGCAAAACGGAATGCTGATCCCACTCCACAGTTCGTCAGTTGGTATTACCTTCGCTATTCGCCATAACTGATTGAGTTCCGGCAAAACCTTTGACGATTTGGATAAATGCTTCGTCATTCGTTAATATCCCTTCGTCGTTCTCCAAAACATCCCCATGCTAATTTCGGCATTCCTCATAACATTTCGTCAACACTAAAAACAGATCGCCCCTTTACAGAGAAGTATAAATATAACCACGTTTATACAGTGCAGTGCGAGGCATAGGTGGCGAAACTCGTAGACCATTGATCCACATAAAAATCGGTAGCGTTCATGAGCGCCATAGGTACAATGTAGATGGACGTAGCTGACATGTTATCGGCTGATTGAAAAATGGACAGGCAACAGAGCAACAGGCTGGATAAGTTAATCCCGCCTCAAACACCAAGGAACAGGCAACAGGCTGGATAAGTCAGCCCCGCCCCAAACACCAAGGTGTCCGGCCGGCAGGGCCCGGCTCGCCATCTGTCAGCCATTCCCTCGCGAGTCCGACCGGCGCGGCCGCCCGAGGCGTTGTCCCATGACATCGCACGGGCAGTGACGCGATAATGACGGCCGACTTCGTAGTTTGTATCGAAGCGCTTAGGAGTCCGACGCTCGAGAATGCTCTACACTCTACGCTCTACGCTCTACATGCCTACTCGGTATGGCGCCGGCAGTCTCCTCGTAGCTATCGTATAACTGCCTTTTTCGGAATCCAATGGTTAATTGGTTGCAAATTGCGCTGGAACTGTCAAAAGCCTCATCCCTGAATGCGTGATTAACGTTAAACATTGAATATGGCTAGATAAGCACTACATCATTGATATTTTGATCATTGACGAAAGTTTTAAATTAACAGTCATTGTTTACGCACAGTACCGATTAATTTTGCACATCGACTAACCATTTTGTGAAATGTCGAAGCATTATGACAATCTGACAAAGTGTTTTGCCTATGACGAACATTGTGCTCAATGGCGAAGAGTTATGCAGAATGGTTAAATGGAGTCCAGCCTGTTTTGCCGACCGTCAAACAGTGATGCACATCGCCGATGGGTTATTCTGAATGACGCTTGTCCAAACTGATGCCGAAATGGTTATGACGATTGGCCATCGAACAACGCAAAAAGGTGTAGTAGGGAAACGGGTAGATAAATGGGAAAAAACGGAAGAGGTGAAACGACATCTTACACACGTTTAAAGCGCGAGTGGGTGGCAGAGCCAGGAAGAGTAACGGCCAAGAGTTTGATGCTGAAAAGAAACACACTCAAAGTAATAAAAAAAAACTTCAGATGGACGCAAAACAGGTAACAGGACATGAACAGGATGGCATGATTGAGAAGTTGTGTAAGCCAACAGATGATCAATATCTGACAGAACGACAAACTGGCATGAACAATCGCGCAGAGCCATATCTGCCAGGCCTGCACCGGTCTGCAGCCGTCAGTCCGTGGATCACCGACACGTCAGTTAGTTTCGTATGACTCAGTCCGTTATCCGACTCAGAAATTATCGGCGCGGGGTGCGCACTAGGTAGATAGCAGTCACATATAGCGACCTAACGGCTGGGCAGAAGGGCACCAACACCCGGTAACGGAGAACACAGTGTGACTGCACGCTGAGCTATGTAGGAATGAAGGATAAAAAAGCAATTTAACATAGCATGTGCGAATAACATTAGACGCACAAAAAGAGAACCCGACAAGAGAAGCACACTGATTTTTTTTCTCTTTTTTTTTTTGCTAGGAAATATCAGGCCACTTTAATATTGTATTGATTTTGAAGAAATTTTATCGTGTACAATTTTCATCATGTGAATAATCATGTGCATTTCAAATTAGCATGATCATGTAGACTTTTGCCGTCATATGATCACTGATCGGCTATAAATAGTTAGTAACACCCGAGACCTAAACAGATAACGACTGAAATCCTTCACTAGCACATCGGCAGCATAACCCATCTCCCCTCCACCGAGCCTCACCTCGACCAGCAGTTTGGCGCACTTGACATCGGTGACCAGACAGACGCCGTAGTCGACCGCCATGCGCCGGGTGCGGTATCCCTGCGTCTGGAACGAGCTGACGCGCCGCGCCCCGCCGCTGCGCATTGGAAGGTTGATGACGAGATCGAGCTGCTGGCGGGACAGGTAGTCGGCCATGCTGTTGAGCTCCTTGTCGGTGGCACCCTGCTCGGCGATGTTCTCGTACGCCCATTCCACCGTCTCGACCTGAGAGACAAGGGTTACATGGTTAGAGTGAGGTCAGATTGAGGGTCATAAAGGAGCCAAAACAAGGTAAAATAGAGGGGCAAAATGAGAGTCATTTGGATGGAACTAGGGAGGTAGCGAAGCGAAGAACGAACGGAGCTCAAAGTGGAATTAAACGGACACAAAATAGGCGTTATTTCTCCGTTGGGAGCTACAACTTCGTCAGACTGACCGCCATTCAGCGGGACAATTGATCGAATTCAATACCAGATGGCGTTGAGGCCACGCGGCGGCGGGAGTCTAGCAAACAGTTAATCATGATTGAGCCAAACTGAGGCAACTGACAGCCGTAGGATTGTACTGAGACAAGGCTGAATCTCTCGCTATAATGGCAAGACTAGCGGACGAACACCACACTAGCGGATGCTACTATGTAATCAGTGTTTCCGTGGGCATAACCGATATCGATTTGTTGTGTGATAACCCCACCTATGAAATACCTAACAAATATCGAGGGCCTTGGTCAAATATCGATGACCTTGATCACAAAGTACAGTTGTTCTTAGGTCAACGTAAGTACCTTCGTTCGCTGGCGTAACCTGTTGGGGGTAAGGTAGAAACTAGAAAGTCTGCTGTTCGGTATTTACTGATTAATCTGTTACACTGATAACTGAAAAATGATAACAAAAAGCGGTAAGTTGAGGTGCACAAGTCACAATATTTAAGTGTGGTACAGTACGAGCTCCGCCCAAGATTACTTTGAGTCCGCCCACGTGGACAGAAAGTACCTAGAGGAATGTGCCGAGACCTCACGAGAGACGGTATCGGTAGAAACAGCGATCATAAAACCGCTAGATAGTTCGGCATAATAAAGACACCGTGACAGTCAGAGGGGCGTCAAAAGCAAAAAAAAGGTTTAACTTAATAGGTCATATAATGTCAACTAGGTGCAAGAAAAGTGTTCGATGATGTCAAAATACTTTCCCTAATTGGATAATATAAATTGACCTGCCAATTCGGCATGCTGCAGACATCCGTTTCTGGCGAGGTTGATAGTGTTGCAAGAGCAGAAGAGAAAAACGTATCGCACCAGTGCATTGTCTTGCTATTTATGTTAATTAACTGGGCTCGTCATAGCACCAGTGGAGATTGCAAGTCAAAATACAAATATAAATCAGGTGCCCATGCGATGGCAGTAAGAACCACTTGCTCGGTAATGCGCACTCTACCCTCTCCTTAATAGGAGCGTTAATAGGAGCGTTAACCCTCGCCCGCACATGGGGGGGGGGGGTGGTTGCCACCCCCCAGGCAGTCTTTCTGCTCTGCTTTCAACATTTTTAGAGCTAGAAGGCTGATTTTTCGTATAGCTGCTCGTCTATCCTTTCTTGATGTCCACTAAAAATTTCAAGTTTCTGAGATTTTTGGTTTCGGAGATATGACCTTGTTTTTCAGGTCATGTCATGACCCAAATGGCCAATTCTCAACATCTTGCGTTTGCCAAGGGCCTTGTGAGCTTTTGACACCCTGATTTTGGCCTTTTTTGCCAGTCTTACCTCCCACCTATCATGGAACATGTTGTTCGACGATGTACAAGGGTCAAGGTCAGGGTCAAGGTCAACCTAGGTCATCTAAGATAATTGCGTTTTAGGCAAGCTGAATTTACTTTTTGTGAATTTTTTTGACTGCATTTTTGGTAAAAGCTTCTCAGATCATGATTTCATGTGATATGGACCCAAAAACAATCGGTGCACACATCAGTATACACACAGACACACACAGACATACAAACACATATAATTGACCTTGACCTAACTTGACCTGAAATGACCTCAGCAGCAAAATTCTGGTCGGATAGTGTGACAAAGAGGCTCTAGCTGGCTTGGCACCAGAAAACAGCATCGTCATCGGTATTTGATAAGCAGCGCACATGATATCCAACGGTGACCCAAAACAGCAACATTTTTTAGTTTGACCTGACCTGGAAGGTCAATGACTGACCTGAGAAGGTTAAACTGGGTATCATTGGATTCGTCTCTTCCCAAAGAATCTTTTTGGTCTTTACTGCTAAGCTCTATCTCCAACAGGAACGAAATGGCGCGGGGGGGTGGCAACCACCCCCCCCCCCCCATGTGCGTTCTAGGATGGGAAAATGGCATGTGCGGGCGAGGGTTAATAGTTAATAGGAGCGATGAGGGGGAGTGGGGCGTGGGAAGAGGGTCGTGGTAGGGCTATCCGAGTGGCCGATGGGAACTGGAAAGGGAATGTTAGCTTACCTGTTATACAAATCTGATGTTCTTCTGAATGCGTGGTGGTCAGACGTGGTGGTCGTTTTCCCATTACTTGCCGAAGATAATGATTCGGACAGGTTATGGAAGGATGTTCAGTAGTAGTATAAAATGCGCTCATATCTATGAAATGATGCTAGAAATATAATGCTGAATGCAAGAGACTGCGCCGAAGCACAACGCACTAGCGCAACTGTTCTGCGTTCGGTCACAGTCCAGACATTTTTTAAATTTTAAACTAAATGACGTCAAGTGAGCTGCAGGAAACGGGACATTGTGATGAAACCAAAGACGTCTTGAGAAATATGAGCAGATATCACATCCGTGGTTTAAATAACAAATCTATATGTACTAGAGAGATGTCATCAGCTGGAGACTCTGTCTACTGCGCCCCTGTGCCGCCCGGTATCTGTCGATCACATCCGACAGGCGACACCGGCTGCCCGGCTGTCGGTTGAACTACTGTCTGCTGAGCCAGCCCCGGTCCCGTGGCGGCGGCACATGCTGACCAACCGGTGCTGACTGTTCGGGGGATGTTGGGTTTGTGCTGACAGTGGTATGTCAGAGAGGCGGTACAGGGCGCGCCGGTCCGGCCAAAGACGGAAGTCTGATGGTAGTCTCAGCAGTTGGGTGATAGTCGCCCCCGGAGCTGGGGTATCGGGAGCATCTCGGAAGGAGGGGTGACGTACCGGGGAAATGAGGTGTAGCTCGGGTAGGGTGACGGTGAAAGGGCGAGAGTTTGCTGACGAGGTGCCGGACGGGCCGAGTGGTGTCTGGGAGTGGTGCCGTCAAATATCTGAGACCGAAACTCAGAGCTAGGCATCTCTCCCCTAGGCATCTCTGGTGGGAGAGATGCATCTCTTTGCCACATTTACAGGAATTCTCGATAAAATCACCGCGGATAAAATTAGACTAGCTTATTTAATTTATTAAGTTGGTCGCTGACATTTGCTAAGCTAGTCTCTTATCTCAACATAAGACGCACAATGCACATACTTCACTCCTATTTGCGTCAAACAACGATCCCTTCTTCGCCTGCGCTATTGGGCTCACTTTTTCTGTTGATTTTTTTTCTCTGTGTAACTAATCCATCTGTATTTCCCGTATAAAACATCTGCTCTTGTTAGATTGCATTGCATTTCATCAATTACTTTATTGATTGTCTTCTTTACCAGTTAATTTTTCCAATTATCCACATTTTCCTTTCTTATATTAATTGCATTATTTTATTGTTGGCGTCGTGAGCTAGCCAGTTTCCCCTGGACCGACTTACACTGTCTTAACCCTTTCCTGTTCCTCCCGCAGACGAAGCGCCATACCAGGACGGCGCCAGCGCCAACAAGTTCTACTTCAACGTCGAGAGCACCAACGCCCTGAAGCCGGAGAACATTGTGCTGACCGGTCTGTCACAGCTGAAGAAGAAGCTGAGCGACCTGCAGACGCAGCTCACGCAGGAGATGAACCAGAACACTGACGCACTGACCATTCACTGAGCTGCGGTGTAGTCTGAGCACCGGCAAGTGACATTCATGTTTTTTTTTTACCATTATTGTGTCGATAACAGCAAGGTTGACGGTTTTCCATTCATAGTGTTCCATCCGGTACCAGTATCGAGACACATGTTTGTCATACTGTCATTGGGTGTCACATGAACACCAGTATCATGCGAACGGATATTGCTGGATTTGTGGATTGACATCGGTATAAGTTGCCGTTCACGAGAGCTAAGATGAGTTCAGCAGATACTAGAGAGATGCCGGGAGAGACGGGCGTAACTGAACGCGTGTGAAGCGAAGACAAGACTGGGTGGACACCGACGAGGTGTTTGTGTCTATGTCGCTTTCTATGTGGGATTCGCTGAACGGTCAGTGGGTCAGAGCGTGGGTTTGGTCTCGCCCAATTTTAGCGGTATCTTGTTTGGTCTAACTAATGACCGGTTGACGAGGTCACTGCATTCAAAGGCATGTCTACAGTGTCATAACCCCACGTCCATCAGTGAGAATATACCATACCTACATGTTTTCACAAACTTTTTGTGCTTCAGCTCGTCGACAAAATGGTGGGAAAGCATTCTGTTTTGCGTTTTTTTATTCAAACCGCATCCTTACACGTTATCGCTTCCAGGCCATTTCCAGCCTATTTCAGCGGACTTGTATAACTTTTTGACAATTTGTCGTTGCTTATCATTGCAGTATCATTTGGTGATGGTGTGGCGGAATACGAGTAGGCACTTAAGAATGAGCAGCACATTTTTTACGCCATTCCGTTCCGCTAAAGAACTTAAGTAGTTATGTTGTAGTTGCAACTCAAGTATAGTATTAGTAGCGTCCTAAAACTTAAATTCACGCAGCAAAAAAAACAAGCAGATGTCGATATAAATATATATATTTATCTCATCCAGCAGGAACCTCCCACAGTACATACAAACAGGCAGAACGGCATGATAGTCGCTCATGCCCTCAGAAGTCAGAACACCATATTGCTAAACATTTTGCCAGTGAATTACCTATGTAGAGGAAGGTGGGGTAAGACGGCCCAGCGGGGCAAGACGGACCACCAGCCCTCCCGGCTGAACCGCTGCTGGTATCTACTGCTTTATGCACTCACTATGTTTGTTTTCCTTCGTAACAATGGCCACCTTGAGCTCATGCTGCTAGGATGCATAGCTTTTGAGTTATTGAGAAAAATGTTGTTTTTCGTCAAACCGATCTAATATAAGAGGTCTACGGGTGATTCAATTACGGCGCCTTTCTTGCATGATTAGTTTCTATTTTGCACTTAACTGTGAAGAACAAAGTTATAAACTTAGTTATAGTCACACTTAAGGAAAGGCAAGGTTTTGCAATGTTGGGCTATTTGACATATACGTCATGATAATGACAGAATTTAGATTTGGGGCAAGACGGACCACTGTGGTCCATCTTACCCTGTGGTGGTCCATTGTACCCTGCATATGGAAAGTTCTTTTCCAAAACATTGACACAAGTTTAAGTAAGCTATTTTTTCAGGAAGGAGTCTTTGTTGCATGTGAGCCATGCATGCAAGTGCTCAGTTAGCAATTAGCATGCATTCATGCCAAACGACAATCAACACACATGTTCCCAGTTTTTAGCTGCACTTCCATCACACATGAGTAAAGAATAAAGGCTCATTTTGTTATTTTACCATTCTGGTTACTTTTTCTTACAAGAGTACAGAGCAGAAGTGTAACACACATGAACGGATAGCAGGCACTGCTGGGTGGTCCGCCTTACCCCACGTTTTTTCTTGTCTGAGTTTTTGACATGTCCCTCTTTAAGAGCATCCACCACCTAGATGTCTTTAATTTGAAATTTAGTCTTTACACATATCAACAGAGGAAGGATTGAGCATTCCGAAGACTATAAATAATATGAATTACGAGAGCAGTGTAGCAAGGTATGCAGCCTCAAACCTTAGCTGGTCCGTCTTACCCCACCTTCCCCTACCATTTGTGATTCACCAGGCTTCTTCGTTTAGCTAGAATAATTTGCCAGTCGTCAAACCAAACTACCTACATCTCTCCAAACATGCTTCTCAATAGTCTTCAAACTAATATCAACTGGACTGATAATATCCCATGCCGCAAACTTCGCCTTGCAGTTTCGACTACAAAGAGTGCCCACCAAAGGCACCCACTACTCCGTTGGAACACTACTACTCTCCCTCAGTTAAAATCAAAACTCCTGCCGGTCTGCGGCATGGGAATTAGATTATCCTCCGGGTCAAACATGCACGTGTACTTGTAGTGACAGCACTCGTAGCCGCGGTAGCTGGCCACGCAGCCGGGCCGCACGGGGCGGCACGGCAGGCGGGTGAACACGGTGGTGTTGGTGCCGTCGTAGCCACATACGTAGCGTGTGCACTGGCGCTCCTCGCTATCCCACCAGCGCTCACCAGTCCGGTACTGGCGGCCCTGGTACTCGCACGCCGCTGTGGGGAGAGACGGGAGGAAGGGGTGTCAAAAGGGGAGAGTGTAGACGGACAGGTTTGATATAATGTAAGTGGAAGGCGGCACGGTAGTCGACAGACTGACTCCTATCTCTTACTGACGGCAGTGGTGGACGGGACAGCAGTCTGATATAACTCACGGCAATGGTAGACGGGACAGCAGTCTGATAGCTCAAGGCAGTGGTAAACGGGACATAACTCACGGCAGTGGTAGACGGGAAAGCAGCCTGCAGTGGGTGACCCCTTCTCTCCCCTCCTATTACTCACTGCAGTGGTAGACGGGACAGCAGTCGGCGGTGGGTGACCCCTCCTACAACTCACGGCAGTGGTAGACGGGACAGCAGTAATTCACGGCAGTGGTAGACGGGACAGCAGTAACTCACGGCAGTGGTAGACGGGACAGCAGTAACTCACGGCAGTGGTAGACGGGACAGCAGTAACTCACGGCAGTGGTAGACGGGACAGCAGTAACTCACGGCAGTGGTAGACGGGACAGCAGTAACTCACGGCAGTGGTAGACGGGACAGCAGTCGGCGGTAGCCACCCCCTCCCTCCCTTCTCTTTTTAACTCACGGCAGTGGTAGACGGGACAGCAGTCGGCGGTGGCCACCCCTTCCCTCCCTTCCTATACAACTCACGGCAGTGGTAGACGGGACAGCAGTCTGTTATAACTCACGGCAGGTGATAGGCCGGACAAGTTCTCTGACTCACGGCAGTGGTAGACGGGACAACAGTCAATGACTCACGGCAGTGGTAGACGGGACAGCAGTCGATAACTCACGGCAGTGGTAGACGGGACAGCAGTCGGCGGTGGCCACCTGGCTGCAGCGCGGGTTGGTGAGCCGCGGGTCGCGCGGACAGTTGTTGCGCCGGTCGTACACGGTCTCGGTGCCGTTGGTCACACACCGCACCAGCACACACTCGGTGTCCGGGTCGTCGAAGTAGGTCTCGCTGACGTCGTGACGGCCGCCGTTACTGTCCACACACTGGTGGGCTGACGGAGAAAGAGGGGGGGGGAGGTGATGGGGCGGGTGCATGGGTCGCTGTTGGGTTTCAATGTGATTCACGAGTCATGCATACTACATAGATCAGAGTGTGAGGGCTCATCGCTCGGTGACTCCTGTACCTGATGCCAGCCAGGAGTAAAAATCCACTAATAAAAATGTTAAAATTTAAAATTCGCCCACTCACTATAAAAAATGGCAGTTATAAACTGAGCATATAAGATCGTCATCCCGTGGTTTATTCCTTAGTTGATTATCACCTGCTACACTCAAACTCAAGTTTTTTTCGACCGACATTGGCTATCTAGTAGTACACAAATGCTACTTCTACACGTAGCTCCATCACACCCTCCCTCCATTTACGTCTGGGAATGCAGCGTTTGCAGCATTGTCCGAGCTCCCTCTCGGTCGGACAGTCGGGCGGCTCCAGTTTCTCACACCGCTCCGTCAGATCCTTGGTCTTCAGCACCCCGGCCTTTGTGCACGTGAAGTGTTTGCACGGGTGAGTCTGGTCATCCACCCAGCGCTGCCCCTCCGAGTACACCTGCACCGGGTCGGTGCCGTACTGACATTCGACTGAGCAGAGAAGAGGGGAGGGGTCAAAGGGCGGAGAGCATAACATGAAACATGAAATAAACAGTTTTCAAGAGATTTGTATTTTACTCACCTTAAAGTCAAATCCAAGTAAAATATTTTGCCATTGAATAGCAGCTAAGCGGAAACGCTAAAGAAGTTGATGGAAGCTGAGAAGCTACACAGCGTGACTGTAGGCATGATGGAACTGCGAGCTACACGGTGAAAAGCAAATTGAATAAGAAAATACAATCCAATAGTGACTGTAGGGTAAAGATGAGGGTGCTTGTAAGCATGTATATTGGGTAATAAATAGGCAACGAGCAATAAATAAGCATGCTCATACATAAAAATCACGTTCAGAGAAAACCTCCAGCTCTAGAAAGCCGACTTCTAATGCCATCTACCATCGGACCGCATGGCCCCGGCATTGCGGTACAGCATATCCCTCCAGGCGTTAACCACCACTGCCATCTAGCGACGGCTACAGCAACTACCCTAGTCCGACCATATCCCAACCTTGAACATTGGACACTCCCTAATGGCAACATTTACCGACAGAAATAAAAATAGATGGTCCATATGGGCGACTCACTGGTAACACAGTCCCACTCGGGGCAGCACTTGTAGGGCACGTCTCGCCGCACGCAGTTGTAGCCGCTGGGCGCCTCGGGGCACGGCGGTTCCTCCGAGAACGTTAGCACCTGGCTGTTGTTGCAGATCAGGTGTCTGCACGGCTTCTGGGGGTCCTCGGGCCACGTGGTGCCGTGGTCGTGCTTCACACCGTCTATCATACAGGGTTCTGGGAAAGGAGAGTGGTGGTTACTGGTTAGCGAACGTTGCGGGAAATGATCAACGATTGGCGAATTAACGATATACAATACTTGGTGGCTGAGAGTAACTGAGATGATGTTAATGAATGACGGTTAGCATTGGCGAACTAACGCTTTAAAATACTCGGTAACTGAGAATTGCTTAGAAAAGAAATAACCTTCTCGTAAAAATCTACAAAACTGAAAGACAGAAAAGACCAAAAACGAAAGGTCTCGCGCTCCCGGGCCTTGTTAGAGTGAAGAGCAATTGGATTGAAACTCACGTTCCTCGCAGTCCCACTTGGGACAGCAGAGTCCCTCCATGTGCCAGGGCGTACAGCTGGGGTCGGGCGACGGCTCACAGTAGCGCGACTCGTCCTCCTCAAACACTACCTGGCCGCCCTCACAGCGGAGTCGACGGCACGGCCGCGTCTGGTCGTCGTACAGCGATTCACCCTCCTGGTACTCGGTGCCGTCGTGCAGGCACAGGGCTGTATGTGGGAGAGTTGGGAGCCAGGTCAGAAGGGTCAGATGGGAGGAAGGGTCAAAGGGAGGGAAGTGTTGGCGGCAGACGGCAGGAAGGCTGGAGTGACGAAGTAGAAAATGGTGAAAGACAGAAGCAAAAGGAGAACGCGTGTTGCAAGAGCGATGAACTGAAGCTATCAAAAGCTAGCAGGCAAATAGTGCAAAGGTATGCCATATTACCTATCAATTAGTAGCAACCTTCAGAAATGACACGATATTTGTAGCTGAATTAAATTATTAATGGAAGAGTTGTTTGAATTGACCGATTACCAATCTTTCCACCCCTCGTAAGACACGAAGAACCATTACCCTCACCTCGTTGTCTGAGCGCTCGCGCGCTCCATTCACTCACCGCAGCGTTTGCAGCACTCGCCGACCGGCCGGATGGTTTCCGAACAGTTGAGCGGCTGACAGTCATCCAGGGACGCCACTGACGAGATAACCCCGTTATCACAGCGCAGCAGCCGACACGGGTGGGCGTCACTGTCGAAAAACTCCTCCCCGTGCTCCCGTCGGCCGCCCTGAAACTCGCAGTAGCACGTGTAGTTGTGGCAGCAGGCACCCTCGGCGCGGTAGGCGACACAGTTGGGTTTCTCTTCCTCACAGGTGCTGGTGAGGTCGTACTCGATCTCTGTGGTCCCTCCGCGGCAGACGTACTTGATGCAGGGATAGGTGACATCGTCGTACCAAGTGTCGCCATCCCGCCGGTAGTTTCCCTCCGTGTCTCGACAAAGCGTCTGGTTCACGGTGATGGAGCAGTTGTAGCTGTAGCAACACTCCTTGGGTGCACGGTACGGAATACAGCCCGGGCCCGGCAGAGGCCTACACAGGATCGTCAGGTTCGATATCTCTTTGACAACGCCGTTGGCGCAGACAAAGGTCACACAGGTGTTCAAATCATCATCGTTCCACACTTCGTCCGGCTCGCGGAGTATGCCGTTACTATCCACACAGCTCGACTGGGAGGTCGGATTGCTGCTGTGGCACGTGTAGTTGAAACAGCACTGGCCGAGGTTTCTGCTGGGTGTACACGTACCGAGCTCATCCGAAGGCTCCGGTAGGCAGTTGATGGTCAGGTCGTCGATCTCGTAGTCTCCTCCCTCCTTGGGACATGTGTAGATGATGCAGGGGTAGTCCTGATTGTCCACCCAGGTGGCCTGGGGCTCTCTCAGGACGCCGTTCTGGTCCAGGCAGCCGGGTGCCGCCGAGTTGGGTGACGGGGGAGGCGGCTGGGGCTGGGACTCGGCCGGCGTGCGAGGCTCTGAGGGAGGGTGGACGGGGGCAGGTGTCAGGGGTGACACATTGTGTCAGGTTGTGTCATTGTATGTGAGAAGGTTTCAAATTATGTGACGGGGTGTCATAGCGAGCCGCGGAATGTCAGAAAATTTATCGATGCTGTGAACTAAATTGGGAACGTATTACGGTTGACATTGTATTTGAGTCTAAAAGACGGGAGCAGGGTTAGCGCCTAGCGGGGCCTATCTGAAATCAAAGACACCCTGTTCCTATTATCCTCCAAACTCGCCCTACCAAACAGGAAACCGAATTTCTCGGACCATTTTCGGTGACAACAAAACCCATAGATTTTGCAAAACGTCAGAATGTAGATTTAGCTACTGAAAGGCCGCTGGAGCTAAAAGGAGCTAACGATATTCAGTTACAGCGAGTATGATTCTGAAGCTAGCCGTTGGGTATCATTCATCTGGGAATTGGTGGATCGCTTTTAGTGAGCACCGATGCACAAACGGGAAGAATATTCAATAGAAAATCAAAGGGGACGTTCGTGCCTTCTGCAATCGAGCTCAAATCGAATGTGATTATAAAGCATATTAAGCTCTCTCAACTCTACTACTCCTATCAAGTGATGCATTTAAATGAGAAAGCAAGGAAAAATGCAAACTCAATGATGAAACTAATCCCGATTAGTCAGATGGCATGGGAGAAAAAAACAATGCGTTATTTGACAATGGCTTTAAACTGAATAACAATAAAAAGAACACGAAATAGGTAATTCGGTAGCCTCCCAGAAAGCTCCATTTAATAATAAAAAACTATTTGGGTATCACAACGTGCAAAAATAAACGCCCACACGGCACGCATCACATGGAAATCAGAGAAGCCATTCCAAAATTCACTTCACCCATGACCCACTACATCGTTCATACACAGCACCTGAAATCAGACCTCACTCACCGCACCTCTTCCCCACAGTATGTGTAATTACTTCCCACCCTTCCCATCGCCACATTTCACCCGTCTCACTCACCTGGACAGAGCTCGGGGTGGCACCTCCGGCACTCTTCCTTCAGGTACGCGTTACCGTACTTACAAACCGCCTTGCAGGTATGCTCGGAGAGGCAGCGGGCGCGGCTTCTACCCACTGCCCTATACGATACCGCGTCAGCCGCTCCGAGCAGGGCGGCGACCACGAGCAGGGCCACCGGCCACCCCCGACCGATCATGGTGATCCCGCGAGCAGCAGATGTCTGAGTGAGGCGTGAGCCACCGGCGGCCGGCGGGACCCCGGCGCCCTCGGAAGGGGGCTAGGTGGACCGGCGGAGAGCGGGGAGGGCGCGGAGAGGATGGGGTGGACTGGAAACGGGGTCGGGTCGGCGACCGATGGGAGGTTGACGAGGCGACAGGAACGCAGTCAGCAGGTGACTGACCGGTCAGGGGCCGATCAGGAGTCACCGGAAGGAGTCGGGAGGGGGGGGGCGGCGGATACCGGTCAGCAGGCTGGTTCAGCGCGAGGACCGATCGAGGAGGGGGGGGGGGGGGTCAATGGGGAACGGTGGCACGGGGCACGGTGTCGTCAGATTTCATCACTGGCGGGTCACTGGGGAGGGAAATGGGTGCAATAGAATAACATATCCAGTTTCACCACGGCATTCGGATGCCCCTTTCATCGGCTCTTGTATGCTCTCAGACACAATATCGACGAAGGATAAAAAGCAATTCTGATTCATTTTGTATTAAGATACAAAACAGTGCAAAATGCCATTCACAGCTCATATTGCCTTGGTTATAAAACACAACTGTTGAGTAAGGCAGTGAAGCGAACCGACCACCTACACATTTAATGCCACAAATCCCCCTTATAATTAAATTCAGCGAACCGAGCTATACAACACATAGCCAATAATGCTATAGAAATCGAACATGAATAAGGCCTGCCAAATATTTGTACGCATGAGATAGAAGTTGACATACTATACATATGGGAAGGAGTTGACATACTTGTTTTCGCAAATTTGATCTTAGATTTAAGCTCGCGGCATACAGAGCGACTGTCGTGCCATCCGATTATTTCAGCTAGGAAAACCAGTTCGAAGGAAAAAACAACAAAGCCCTATAACTACACAAAAAAAAAAACTCAGGCATAACGCTGAGTCAGTGTACGAAAGTGAAGCACAAATTAACGACGAAGATGGAAGCAAAAAAGCAAAGCCGGTACTGATTTCACATAGCGTTCAGGCAGCAGGGTAATGTTTCAAAACTAGCTTTGAAAACGCCATCCAGAGACAAAGGAATACAAGCCTACGAAGCCAATATTCGTCTCAGAGAGGTATTCCAACAGAATGAATAACTGAACGAATCAGTTGACTAGAAATGACTGAGAATAAATCCAACAATCCAAAATAGGCAGTGCAATGTTATGGAAAATACAGTGGGAAAAAGTGAACAATACTGGACGTTTGACATCCTTATAGTCAGGCAAACGCCAGCAGTTTGAGCGTGAGCACGTGGTGAGCACGAAGCAAGCACTACCTGAGATCCTACGACTGGCCGTGGAAACCACGCATTGGCAGTGCTAGAGCAGGACCCCGAATGTCGGGGCTATTTAAAGACAGTTTCTCGTCGACAATGAACAGACAGAAATACCAACAGAAATATAAAATTAGGCAAAAGTATCACGAGGTAATGACCAGAACATTATTCACAATGGCTAGCGACAACACTCTGTTTTTGTGTAAATGCCCCGTTTGTACACTAACTTTCTCCTAAAATAGCTCAATGGGAAATGACTGTTCATTTCGATAGCTGATGCGACGGCAAGCCTATTTGATACTATTTTGATCGCCACCTTTTCCCAATGACTCATAGTGCCGTTTTGGCCATTCCGGTGCCACACTTAGACCACTGTGGCACCGTCCGATAGTGAGGCCACCAGCCTGTGTTCAGGCTGGTACTCGGCGTCCCAGCTGTCTTCCGAGTCGTCAGAATCCAGCTCGTACTGTCGTCCGTTCAGCCCAGCTGATCCAAACGCCTCCGACACATCGATAAACTTTCCAATATTGGCTCGAACCTTGCTCTGGACTGGCATCACCTCAAGTGTCAGACCTAGGATACCGCCGGTGGCTACTTGGGCTTTGCCTGGATTCTCAAACACCTTTCCCCTACCACGAATGCCGCGAGGGAGCTTCTTCGTGCTAGGAGTGCCATCTCGTGACAGCACTCGTGCTGAAGAGGCGTCGACGCCTCCGAGAGGCAAGGCGCTGCGAGTTTCCTGTTCCGAACGAACTCCAAGTGTGGAGTCAGAGACGGAGAGCAGAGACTCCTCTCTGGGGAAGGAGTAGCCAGACTCTACCTCTGTGGTAGGAGCGGAGTCAGACTCTCCGGCCAGTGTGAAGACGACAGGCGATGAGGATGAGGCGGTAGTATCGGCGGATGTGTAGCTATCACCCACGCGCGGCGTTAGACGAGAAACGGGTGCCAGCAGAGAGGTGTCACTCTCGCTGAGGGTGAGCTCAGATCGGCTAGCGTCTGTGTCACTTGCCGCACATATGGGAACGTCAGATTCGCTGGCATTTAGATCGACCACACTCATATCGTGTCGAGAGTCCTTGGCACTCGAGTCAACATCACTCGCATTCAGATCTACATCGCTCGCAACCAGATTTGGGTCTTTTTCAACCTGACTAGATTCACTGAAGCTCATAGCAGCCTGCTTCAAGTCTGATTCGTCATCCAGCTCAGTCACGCTGGGTTCCAACTTTGTGTCATTATTGCCCAAAAATGCCTCACTGTTGCCCATATCCCCACAAGCGTTTAGAGCTGTCTTCATTTCCTCCAGCTGTTCACCATCTACGCTCATTCCACTTGTTTCGAGACGCGTTTCACTAGTTTCTAGATCCGTTCCACTCGTCTCCAGATCCACCAGGGCCCGGTCTGGCCCTGCCGCCGGAGCTACCAGGGAAATATCCGATCCATTTTCTCCCGGGGCCATCGAAGACACCACCAAATGACTCTCTGACTCTCCGGTGCCGCAATTTGCCTCGGAGAGCGTCTGGCTGTTTTGCTCGTAGGTACGCGGGTAAGAGTCGCTCTCGACTGACTCTCCCGCGCCTGCCCCGTCTGTGAGGCACTGCTGGGAAGGCGGCGGCGGAATTCTTGCAGCCAGTACCTCCCGAAGCAGGTCTGAGACCGCCTCTACCCCGCTGGCAAACTCTGTAGACTCGGCGAGTTCCGAGGGAGGCGTTTGGTTGGAGTCGACGTCGGTTGAGGCAGTGGAAATCGGCTTGACGTCGCAGGAAGACTCGACATCACTGGAAGAGCTGGACTTCTTGATGAAAGCTGAACATGACTTCCTAGCTAGAGAGGTGTCCGAAGAGGGGCTTAAGCTCACACCACTATCAGAAGACGAGCTATGGGTTAACTTCCTGGGGCTTTTGGGGAGCTCAGTTGAGACAGACGGAGCTAACATATCTTCTGATTGCGCCTGAGGTGGTTCACTGTCAGTGGAGCTACCACGTCTCTCCGACGCCTCTCTGTCCCCAGAGCATCCCTCCATCAACCCATTCGCACCGGCTGAGATTTGAGCCGATGCCGGGACCATATCCACACCTGACGCCGCCGCTCCGTCCACTACCAGCTCCTCCCCACCCTCCGCGCGCCCGTCCTCTCTCCCCACAGTCCCAGCACTCTCTCCGGTAGGCGGGCGGGGTGGATCTGGTGTGTCTGACCCTGAGGTGCAGCGGCAGGAAGCCGGGACCAGCAGACCCGAGTCCAGGCGGGCCTGCAGCGCGGAGATGTCCCGCTGCGACTGCAGTGCCATCTGCTCCGACTGGCGGCGGATCAGTGCTGCCGCCTGGTGACGGGTGATCCGGATACAGTCAGCGGCCGTCAGCTGCAAAATAAAACGAGACGATCGTTTTAGATATGCTTCCAAGTTCGGAGACGGCAAATAATAATATTCTACTTTTTAGAAAGAATATCAACAAACATAAGAAATTAGCCAGATAAAGTTGATGAAAACATCGAAGAGCGACGACACTGATCATGACTCCAACACACGCCATGGATTGCGGACTCCCCCAAATTTACATCTAACTTGTGATCATGACCCGTGCACTCTTTTCAAGGGGAGAACAAGAAAGCAGGTGGCTTACCGGCATAATAGAGGCCTGTCGGCGCACGTAGCACTGGCCGCTCTCGGTCAGGTAGAAGGGATGCAGCGCCTTGTCGCGGTCCGCCCAGGGCAGGATCTCAATCTCGATCACATACGAGAGTGGGATGATCCCCTACAGCAGAGAAAAGTCGATCAATATACTAAAAAAAAAAAAGAACGGTCAGGCTCTGTGATAAGCTAAAACATTTATAGCTTTGCGTTTAACATTCGGAATACCTTGCTTAAAGGCGAGTTAACGACAAAAAGAACATCTAAAGTTACCGCAACCAATCATGTCACAGCCTCTACGGCGTCTAAAAAAAAGATAATCAAAAGCTAGGCCAGCACAGGATTTTCAAATCCCTGTAGAGCCATGAAATATGAGCAAATAATATAGCTCATATTCTCTACCAAGCATTCTACGAGCTGTTGTACCACACGAAGCATAGAACAAATGTTAAATTTGCCCGGGATCTTCCAGAATAGCGTCCTTACCGACACGGAGCGTGCCCTGGCGTCGGCGTCACACCAGCAGTAGTGGGAGGTGGCCACCAGGTGCTGCTTCGTGCGCCGGCTGACGTCATAGCTGAGCCGGTGACGTCACACAGTAGTTAGACACGCAGTGGGTGGGCGGAGTGACGGGCGAGCGGGAATCGTGAGTTGTTAGGTGATTAGTGGGTTTTCCGTAAAGCTGTTAGGTGCAAGAGGTTGTCTGATTGAATAAGAAGCTGAGGTGAAGCAAAAGAACAAAAATATATGACGTCAAGGTACCTAAAATAGGCATCAGTCAGCTCATGCATCAGGAATGATCAACACACAACGTGAACCAAAGTCACAAACACACATAAAACCAAACCACACATGACCTATCACACATAGCTCACACACTCGTCATGAGCTCGTCGGCAACTCACGCGAACTCACACACTCATCCACAGGTCGTCAACTCACGCGAACTCTGCCGGCGGGTCGTCCACCTCCGCGCTGCTGACCACCGGTACAAAAGTGACCCGGTAGCGAGCCGACGGCACTGCCGGCCGGTAGCGCATCAGCAGGCAGCGTACCGACAGGAGCATGTGGTCCTTCTGGTAGCGGGTCAGGTGCAGGCCCAGCACGCGGCCGCGGTCGTCCACGCCGCAGTACACCACGCCGCCAAGGCCCGTGTTCAGGAACGCGTTCAGGTTCCTGGGGGAAGGATTTGGTTGGTCAACCGGTATGAGGTGGGGTAAGCATGAGGTGCTTTATTACTACATCTTTTTAAGAACATTCAGCTAATGTTGAAACTGAATGTAATGACTTAGAACCAGTACCTGCAGGAAGCAGTTTGCTGCTCAATCCTTCTTGGCTACAACATCCAGTCTTGTAATTTCTGCTGTAAAAGCCATGGCTTAGCGTGCCCACAATACAGATGGTCTGTTCCACTCAGTGGCTTCAACTGGCTTCACTTGCTGCCCCATCCACAGGCCAACCCCATCAGAAACAAATGTTAACAATTCACTATATTCTCGGTAATCACAACACAATACAACTGCATGAGCTCACCTGGAAATGGCCTTTCTGGACTGGCTCTCAGTCGGATGACGGAACGCCCAGGGCGGTGTATCTTCAGGCGCTATCTCCCTGTGACCCTTGAACTCATGAGTTTCATCTTCTTCAAAGGGCATGTAGGATCCCCTTACATACACCCGCTGCTTACATGTAGCAGCCATTCTGGAGCAGGCCTGTGCTTCCTGACTCCCAGACCTGTGAAAATTGAGTTATGAGTTCAGAGTTAGGTATTGAGTTACCTATAGCTATTATTGTGAGGTTTAAATGTAAAGTCAGTCTAGTGCCAGACTGGAAAATATCCACAAACTACGCGGGACGCCCGTCACCCGTGAGACCCTCATGCGCCGAAACTCTGCGCAAGCGATTTTGTGCTGAAATTTCTGCATGATTTGCGCCGAAAGTTAAGTGTCTGTTTGCGTCAAAATTAAACCACTTTTGCATAAAGCACATGTGTAGTAGCTACATCTACCGACCAAAGCTATATCAACCAGACAGAGCGTTCCGGGTTTGAGTGTCCGAATTAGTTGATGTTTCCATTAAAACCCAATTCCACAATACGCGTAGCGCACTGTAGCGTCGTGCCGTGAAACAAGGCCCGGCGGGACCGTAAGTTCCAGGGCCTGACAAACCGGCGGAGAGGTGTGTTCGAGACTGGCGGGCGCCAGCGAGGGCCGGGCAGCGGAACAGCAAGTGCTCCAATCAGGGATGCGGAGCCGTGGAAATTTCAGACGGCTCCGGCTCCGGCTCCGGCTCCGGAGAAAAAAATCGGCTCCGGCTCCGGCTCCGGCTCCGGGTGAAATGTCATGGCGGCTCCGGCTCCGGCTCCGAGTAAAATGATCCGGCTCCGGCGGCTCCGGCTCCGGCTTCTACTCAGTACATCCCCTATGCGATCAATTAAATACGGGTGGAAGAAAAAAGGCGATGGGATTGGTACTTGGTACACGTTGCTTTTGTATTGGTATAACAAGGCTATTTTGAATACCACATTGTTTTACGCCTTGTTTGTACTGTCAAACCGAACTAGGTAAATAATTGTTTCCTCTTAAGAAAAGGAGCCGGAGTCGCCCCCATTTTTGACGGCTCCGGCTCCGGCTCCGGGCTATATTGTTTCACGGCTCCGCTCCGGCTCCGGCTCCGGGCAAAATATACCGGCTCCGGCGGCTCCGGCTCCGGCTCCGGCTCCGCATCCCTGGCTCCAGTACATCACAATCAGCCTCTTCTCGGTACACGGCGCAGAGCGCCGCGGGACACCGCTTGTCAGGGCACTGCAGGCACGCCACGCTCTCATCTGATGCACCGAAACGGCGTCCTCTCGGTCCTCTCCGGGGATGGGGAGCTGCAGCATGCTCTTGAAGAGTGGCCTGAATAGGTAGTGACTTGGACCAGTTGTAACTTGCAACTGGTAGTGCCGCCATTGACGCGAGGCCGCACAATAAACCACCCGGGTCGGCGAGCAGGCGTCCGAGGGCAGGCGGTCGCTTGTTTCGCCAGGTCGTCCATGCTCTTATTCCCCTCAGACCCTCAGTAGCCAGGAGACAGGAACCCACTGCAGGATTACTTCACGATACTCTGCGAGGTCCAACAAGGTCTTATCTCCGCGCCCAGGGTGGAGGCCTCACCAGGGCCGACGCTCATCCACTGAACAGACTCAGGGCGGCTCGAGTCAGAGCACGCACAACCAAGCATCTTGTGCCGAGACCCGAACCCTCTCCGGAGTTGCCCGCAGGGCGAATCCGCTGCTACATTGACCAGCGTGACACAAAAATTGATGACTGCCATTCGCTGAAAATTCAGCGGCCGCCCAGCGCCAAAAAATTCCACAGCTGCCAAGCGCTGAATATGGCTGATGTGAAGTTATGCCAGACGTACTCTGAAATTTTCGGCATAAGCCCGCCACTATGCCATACATTTCGAGCATAGCGTGCATTTTTTTCCAGTCTGGAAGTCAAGTATCAAGCCACGTCAGGCTTCATTTAAGTGCAAGCTATATGCTTGAATACACGTTTGTTGCGAATCGAAAATATCGGTCAAGGAATGGGTACACTACTATTGAGCTAAAAATAGGCATATAGCATGCTACATTCGATATCGTCTTGGAAAAGTGTTGGAAAAGTGTCCCCAGCCCAGGGTTCTTAATTCTCGATTGTCGATATTTGGCTTACGAGCCTATTTTTTATGTTCCATATACCCTGATTTTTAGTTTTTACTGTCTCCCGGCCCTAATTGAAATCCATTTTATAATGATTTTACGCATATTACCACCCTCTTTTTTCCGTCTTTTGTCTTTTTTGTTTACATTCCCCTTATGCCGGTGGGGAAGCCTCACTTGGAAGCTTGACGTTTGATGACATATAAATCCATTTTAAACCTTGTTATTTTTTTCTTACTTTATGCCTGCATATTTAGACAAAATCAACTGCTATTTGTGAATGTGACAGAAAATTGGCAAATAGCTCGGTTTTCGAAATACATAAATATTTAGTTATTTGAAACGTCATTTACTGACAAATCTTTTTGATGTACAAAACTTCCAAAAAATTTAGGTGTCATTTAAGTCAGTAAATTGAATATGACGTCATAAAACAAACATTTGCGGCTCAACTTGAACTAATATTGCTTGATAGTTGTATGTTTTATTCGAGTTTATACTACAAATCTCAGAAGTAAACAATATTTTAACACAAAAAGCAAAAAAAACGCAAATATGAATCATTTTGCTGTGTATTACCTACAACTCGCAAGTTCATTTGTGTATACGGATATGACGTCTTTGATAAAAATCTAAAACCATTTCATTGTCATATCTTGATTCAGGGATAAGTTGGAGCAAGAGTTGGAGGGAGAGAGACGTTTCACATTTTTATGTGCACGTATCCCCTAAGTCATTTTCGAGGTGATTTTTGGGGTATTTCCTTACAGGATACCGGTAAGTTAAGAAATATATTTTCATACCAATACGTCACGCTTCGTCACTTGTTCCTCCGTTTTAGTCTGGCCAAGGTACTCAGCAGGTTCAGGTTGTGCTTCTAATTAACACTCTGTATGCCCACTGTGGCTGCATCAGCATGTCTTGCGCGCTGGCTTGAGATCGCCACTCTGGCACTGTGCTTCCAAGTGCCATTTACGCCTAAGCCCCAGCTGCTACAGCTCACAGCTTGAGCTGCGGTAATGAGCTGCAACTAGGGCCCTGTTTCACCGGTGATAGCAGCACGCTGCTATCACACGTGTCAAATTGGGTTTCCATGGAAGCATCAACAAACCATGCCGTCGTCAATCTGTGTGATGTCATCAAATATTGCTGCTAACATCTTCAAGGCCGTGCGAACGTATCAAACACATTCAACGAGACAGCAGCTCTGTTCCAAACGTAGCTATGAAAAAGCTCACGGATTACACGAAACGTCAATAGTGTGACGTCATCACATTACGTCAGCTCGCGCAATTTGATAGTAGCATGCTGCTATCACTGGTGAAACAGGGCCCAGTTCCATAACCTTCTGGGTTCTGGGGGTCTGTTTCGTTTTCTGTTCAGCTGGTTTTGCTGCATTTGAACCAGCATTTGAACACAGAATTTGCACTCCTCTAACAAATTGAAATGAGCGCTGTTCGGCGGCCGGCTAGCGCGCTAGCCCGCGCACGCATACGTGCACGTTGCCCCGGCAACGGGCTATTGACCAATGAGCCGGCCGCCGATCAGGGCCATGGTAGAAGCCAGAAGGTGATACTGCAATGCTGCATGACTCCCTGCTGGGGCTCCTGAATTTCCATGCTGTGCTGCCAGCAGGGCTGCGGAGTCGGAGTCGGTCGCAGTCGACAGTTGTGACCGGAGTAGGATTCAGAGTCAGTCGATTTTAGAAACCCGAGCCGGAGCCGGAGTCAGAGTCGGAGTCACCGAAAATCTGTCGACTCCGCAGCCTGCTAGGTCTGCGAAGTCGGAGTCGGGAGTTGGAGTCGGTCGGAGTCGACAATTCTGCCCGGAGTCGGAGTCGGAGCTGGTTTTTTAAAGCCGGAGTCGGAGTCGGACTCGCCGAAAATCCATCGACTCCGCAGCCCTGGCTGCCAGACTGCACACCGTGGCACGTGCATGCCCGTTTGGTCGGATCAGAATGGGTAATTGCACTACCAAAAGTAATTGCACTACCATAGCTCATATTATTCCATCATCTGATCTGCGACCTGACCTGACTTGACCTGCCCCACAGACCAACTCTGACCTGTGACGTCACCGTCGATACCGTCGTCTGCGGCGGCTAGGACCGTCGATTGTCACCATGGAGGGTGACGGGGGGCGCCAGTCGACGCTGGACCCCGATCACTCCGGTGTGCAGGACAACGGTGAGTATCGAACGCTTAATGTCGCGGCTCGACCGGAAGGTGATGTTTTGTGTTGGTATAGGGATAAGACTTACAGGGATTGTTTATGATTTGCGTGTACTGTTTTACATTGTACTAGTTGGTAAACTAGTAACATTGTTATTTTGTTTTGTTTGGAAGACTTCTGTGAATTGCTGTGGTACTACCGTCACATTTGACGTTTATAATTAATTGATACAGACACTTCACGTCACGTATGTATGATTCATACAAGTTTGTATCTGAGTTCTACTTCGCGCAGTCGCTGAGTACTCCCGTTTCACCTCCTGATCCGTCCCCATACCCGCCTTCCGTCACAGAGCTGAAGCTGGTCAACATCGACACGAGCGGCGAGCAGGCGTCGTCACCGACCTGTCCTCTGAACCTGCTGGTGCGCTCGCCGCTCGCCAACAAGGCCGACCTGGAGCTCTCCGATCCATTTCTGATCGCCGGGAGTATGTCCGGTGGCGGCGGCGGCGGCGGCGGGGATCGCCCGGTGCCCACAGACGAGCTGGTCGATTTCAGAGAGAAGGGCTCCCGCGAGGCGGACGGCAGTGGACGTACAGAGGACGGTGATATGGAGCTGATTGGAGACGACGCACTGGAGGTTAGTGGAAAGAGGAGTTGTGTCAGTGTGGGATGGGCTGGAGAGGGTTTGATTTGGAAAATGTTGCCGATGACGTGACTGGATGTTCATTTTCTCATTTTAATTTGGTATAGGTTGATGGAATGAGCAGGATTAGACTAAGTTGTAATTTTTAATGTTTAAGATGAATGATTGGTTACAGGGGTTAAGATGACATTTAGCAACTATGTTTCGATGGATTTGAAATGATGGTCTCGCGTTGTGTGATTGGTATTGTGTGTTTGGTGCTCGCACTCGGGCTGAAACGTTTGTCGATGCGCTAATTTGTCCGCGTTTAATTTACCCGGTATACGTGAACGCAGTTTTCCTTCTATATGTTTAAAGCTGCTCAAACGAAAGAAGCCAGGCGCTGTTTTACCCGCATCCGGATTGATTTCCTAACGATCTTGTCGCTGATGCTGCTATTATTACGGAGCGAGCGAAGCGAGCGGAGTCTTACGTAGAATAACGGAAATTTCTGAGTATGAGCGGCCGGCCGGCCGGCCGGCCGGCCGTGCGGACGCTTTTGCGAGGCTTATATCTCAGCAACCACTTGACCGATTTACACGCGGTAATTTTTATAGGGTAGCTTCATTCCTTCTACCAAGTATTGGACTATTCCCGATGCATGTGGGTGACCCCTTATGCACGTGCCACGTGCAAAACGAAGAGGTGTCAGTTTTGCAATTGTTGCAATATTTCGGTAACTACTTGGCCGATTGCGCTGAAAGTTGGCATGTAGGTAGGCACCCACTAGGCACTGCATATCCATGTGCCAGAGTTGGGGTGCCGCTGCACGTGCGCACGTGCAGAGGTCGTTTCCAGATCTCGAGAACGGCTGGACCGATTGCGCTCAAATTTGGTACACAGTTAGGGACCGGTTAGTAGGGTGCCGTGCAAAAGCCAGTCGGGACCCATTTTGCACGTGCGCACGTGCAGGGTGCCGCTCCCAGATCTCGAGAACGGCTGGGCCGATTGTGCTCAAATTTGGCACATCGCTAGAAACCGGTCAGTAGGGTGCCGTGCACAAGTCAGTTGGAGGTACCCCCTCGAAATTTCGCACGTGCAAGGCTCACCCTCTCGCTCGCTCCGTTAGTCGCCCCAAAAGGCGCTATACTGGTTACCGTAGTTACGGAGCGAGCGAAGCGAGCGTAGTCTTTCCTTAGATTAACAGAAATTTCTGAGTATGAGCGGCCGGCCGGCCGGCCGGCCGGCCGTGCGGACGCTTTTGCGAGGCTTATATCTCAGCAACCACTTGACCGATTTACATGCGGTAATTTTTGTAGGGTAGCTTCATTCCTTCTACCAAGTATTGGACTATTCCCGATGCATGTGGGTGACCCCTTATGCACGTGCCACGTGCAAAACGAAGAGGTGTCCGTTTTGTAATTGTTGCAATATCTCGGTAACTACTGGGCCGATTATGCTGAAAGTTGGCATGTAGGTAGGCACCCACTAGGCACTGCATATCCATGTGCCAGAGTTGGGGAGCTGCTGCACGTGCGCACGTGCAGGGGTCGTTTCCAGATCTCGAGAACGGCTGGACCGATGGCGCTCAAATTTGGTACACGGTTAGGGACCAGTTAGTAGGGTGCCGTGCACAAGTCAGTTGGGACCCATTTTGCACGTGCGCACGTGCAGGGTGCCGCTTCCAGATCTCGAGAACGGCTGGGCCGATTGTGCTCAAATTTGGCACATCGCTAGAGACCGGTTAGTAGGGTGCCGTGCACAAGTCAGTTGGAGGTACCCCCTCGAAATTTCGCACGTGCAAGGCCCACCCTCTCGCTCGCTCCGTTAGTCGCCCCATAAGGCGTTATACTGGTATTATGTTTCTCACTACTTAGTCTCTACTGCAGCTCTGGTTACCTCCGGAAAATGAACCTCTCCAACTAATTACTAACGTAATCCGGAGAACTCCTTGGGCTTCCTGTAGTCTCGTGAAATCGAACAGTAGCCCTCTCGAATGCTGTTCGGTTCTGTTGTGTCGATGGATGCGCCTCTGACTGTATTCTGTCCGTCCCTCAGCAGTTTGGCGGCGAGGCGGACATGGACAACATTTTCCAGGAGGCCCTGGCGCTGGCAGATCAGTTCTCGCAGCTCAACCACCAAGATGGTGAGCAACGACTCTGTGCGCGCCTCTTATCTGTATTCCGAAAGGGTTGTTTTTATACATATACATTTTTGTAGATATTTCACGCTGTTTTTTTTATTTCTCTTGCCATGATTTACCAAGAGACTATGCTTAGCAGCTGGTTGCTGAAAGCGTGCTTTCACATCGATATGCTTATTATTCAGCTTCTGCAGAGCTAATGCTCTGGTGTTATCCTCAGCATCCAACACCGCAAAATGATACTATTGACGTCTGCCCGTTCTCCCTCCAACAGACGTGGACATCAGCCTGGTCGACTCGGCTCCGCAGAGTCTGCCCGGCGACAACGAGCTTCTCTCGTTGGACGTCAACATGCTCGCCGCACTGGCCGAGGCGCGGCGCCAGCTCCCACCTAGCCAGCCCGCTCCCGTGCCCTCCGAGTCGCCGCTGGACTCTTCATTTCCCGCTCCGACGGGACCGTTCACCGTGTCTTCCCTGCGCTCGGCGTCGGCAGCGGCAGTGGCGCAGGCGGCGGCGGCGGCGTCAGCGGGAGGTCTCACCCCGCCGCCGCTGGACTCGAAGACGAGAACGGGTGGTGATGATGAGGCTGACGATGTGGCGGAAAGTGGGGTATCTGAGCCTGCTCCAAAGTCGGTGGAAGCTCGAAGAACAGCGCCGTCGACGGCGAGAGAGATTGAGAAGGCACCTGAGGCCGCTGCGGTAGAGTCTGTTAGTGATGACCCGGCACCTGCTGCCCCCTCTGCTGCCGCGCCGACGCCGTCCCGATTGGCCAGTCGACAGCCGCGAGACTCACTGGCAGTGGCGTCGGGCCGCAGACTGGCGACCCCAGCTGCCGCCGCTCGCGCTCCGGCGCCGGCCCGCACACCCGCCCCTGCTGCTCCCCCGCCGGAGGATGACGCCGGGTACGCCCATTTGTGTGAGCAGGCGTCCGCAGAACAGAGGGAGTTAGAACTTCAGGCTGATGAGGAGTACGAGAACCGTCAGTTTGAACAGATGGAGCGGCGTGTATCCAGAGAGGACGTCCTAGACGCAGAGTCCGCCCTGGACTCGGAGTCAGGACTCGGAGCCGGCACCGCAGACTCCACAGATGGACAGCGAACGGGACCGCCACGCTCACAGCTCTCCCGCAAGGAGACATACATCTGCCGACCAAACACGGGCACGTTCAAGATCGACAAAAGACAGAGGTTCGGTACATTCAAGGTGGACAAGACGGGGACGTTTAAGGTACCGCGCGCGTCCGCGTCGGCGGCTCGCTCCCTACCTCCGGAGCCGCCGCCGGGAGGAGACGTCAATGGGAACCAGGAGGGGCCCGGGGAGGAGACGGGAGGCGGTACTCCGGCCAGCGATCTCAATGGCAGGACAGACGTGCAGTCGGACAGTATGAACAACACCTACTGCCACGACGTCGACCGCTTCGATGAGGTGAGATGTCGTTGGGCTATGACATCTTAGAAGGAGCGTTATGAGTAACTTTTTGCGAGCATAAAGTTGCCTTTTCGTGGGGCAATTAAATGGGTCTGCTTTTTTATTATGTGCTGTGCATCCAATGGAACATTAAATTTGTTCATAGTTAAGGGGCTATCCTGATCAGCGGGGACAAAGTGGTCATTGTGTCATAATTTGTTGGACGATTTAGGGCTACGATACTTTTATTATCACCAGTAACAAAGGACTATGGTACGGTAGTGGTCCCCAATGATGGTGCTCGTCCTGTTTTCTCTCGACGTTTTCTCTTTCTCCTGACTGACGGACCCCTCCGGCCCGGCAGCGGTCGCCGTCCCCGCCGCGCGGCCCGCTCTCGGCCAGTACCCCGGAGCGCGGCGACCCGTCGTCGGTGGCGGCGCCGGTGTCAGCGCTGGGCCGGCGCGCGGCCGCGCTGCGCCGCCCCCTCACCTCCACGCCGTGCCGATCGGTGGGCAGCAGCGGCAGCAGTATCGGCGTCACACCCATCCGCGCCGCGCCCATGGAGACCCCTGAGGAGAGCCCCGTGCCGGTCCCGATGGCGTCCCTGCGCGGACCCGGGCTGCGGCAGCCGGCCGCTTCAGCGTCGGCCTCGGCCGGGCCGGGCACGTCGGCGCTGAAGCAGCCGGCCGCGCTGTCGGCGTCGGCGTCTGCGGCGACCGGAGGGCTGAGGAAGCCGACGGCGACCGGTCTGCGGCAGCCGGCGGCGTCTGGACTCCGCCAGCCGGCGGCCAGTGGACTCAGACAGCCGGCGGCCAGTGGGCTGAGACAGCCGGCCGCCAGCGGACTCCGCCAGCCCGCCGCCTCGGGACTCCGCGCGCCGGCCGCGTCCGGGCTGCGTCCGCCGTCCGCCTCTGGCCTGCGTGCGCCGGCCGCCGCCGGTGCGTCGCGCGCGGCGCCGGCGCGGCAGACGGCGGCGCCGCTGCGGCAGTCGTCGGCGCAGAGCGGCAGCGACAGCAGCGTGTGTAGTGTGCGCAGCCTGCCGGGCCCCAACACGAGTCGCAGCAACCCCTCCCTGGTAGCTGACAGGTGAGCTCTAGCAAAGCTGCGACGTTGCTTCAACGGAAGAGCAAGCGTGTAAGCTCGGCTATTTCATCTACTGCCTTTGACGTCATGTAGCCTTGGGAATGTTGAATGAATATTGCCGTTTTATTTGCAGCTTGGCTACAGCTTTGAAAGGAAAAACAATCACGGGCATGAATTGCAGATATTCAAAGCACATATGTAAAGAAAATATTTGACATTCTGCGCATCGCTTTTATTGTGTTCTCTTCATATCTACGGCCTACTTGCTACATCAATGCCTATGTGTATGTGTTCCTGAGCTTTCCATCATAATTCTTGGTTGAATTTTCTATGATTTTGTTGTGTTTCATTTAGCGTATTGCCGCCCAAATGTCACTGCTTTTGGCCGGCACGAGCTGCCTCGCAGACACCCCCTAAGCCCCGGCTGTCCCTCTGACCCCGGCTGACCTTTCTGACCTCGACGGCGACCCCAGGTCAGACGTCGAGCCGGCGCTGTCGCAGCGGCAGCCGAGGCAGCTGCCCGGCCCGGCGTCCCGCCTGCCCGGCAGGGGAGGTACGTAGTACGCTTTAGGACGATCCTGGGTGCTGACCGAGGTCCAGTGGGCTGTGTCAGTGTGGTGACTGGCGAACTTCACCAATAAGATTCTGGACGTCGTACGCGTATCGACATTCAGGATCGGGTGTTTTTGTGTTTGCATTTCGTGTCATCCAGTGCTCTTTCAGGGTGGGACGATTATTCAAAGTCTTGTCAGTTGTCAGTTATAAAACAGTAAACAGGTCAAAAGATCTGCGTTTCCCAGCCTGCACGATGTTTAAAAATTGTGGTGTGGCTTGAGATCTTAGTTGCTGTTTCAAGTTTCTTTCAAGTTTCTTTCCATATTACCTATATATTTATTTTGATTTTTGCTTCGCATGAAGTCTGTAATTGGCAACGGCGGAGCTCATTCCTATTTTGACCGTCTCTTTGTATGGCACCTGTCACCTACATCACACGTGCTAGGTTGGCCCGTACCGTCCGCATGACACGTTTTCACCCGTCCTCCTCGTGCCGTTTCCAGGCGGAGTGCGCCGCAGCGCGGGCGGCACGGGCTCGCTGACCAACATCTCGCTCCAGTCGTCCCACTCGGCAGCGGCCAGCGGGCTGCGCCGGCCGGCCACCGGCAGGCTCAGAGGACAGGTGAGGGGCGGAATTTGAACGGGACAGAATATGGGGCAGTCTGGGCTCAGAGTGCTATAGGGACGTCACGGTCGCGTATTGGTTTTTGCAGTTGTGGTGCGTCGTAGATACAATGCTCCTTGGTGATTCGGTTCTACTGTATGAGTGCATCGAAGGGCGATGGCTCTTTCAGTAGTTCTTGACAGAGAAGTTGATGCTGCAGAGGGGAAGATATCTGGCCTCGAACTTTGAGGCTTTTCTTTCCTTTCCTTCTTTGGGTAAGCCCGTATCAAGCAATGGGTGAATCCACGCGAGGGCCAAATGAGTTCCATTATGGAGGCCCTGGTCTATCCTCTCCGACTGACGCGCCTCCCCGGCCCCGTAGGAGACCTCCAAGCTGTCGCTCTCCCAGCAGCCGGCCGGCAGCGAACGCTTCTAGGCCGACTGGCGCGCTCCCTTCTGTGCTGTGAGGCGGGCGCCTGGGCGGCCCGGCCATAGTGCACCGACCAAGGCGACATCTATATCGCCCACCGCCGCGATTGTGGCGCCACCTGTGCACCGGACATTGGGCGCTACCGCTGGGCGGCACCGCGCTGTGGATCGAATGTTTGCTTGGAGAACGCGTGTGAATGTTTGTAGCGTTGTGATTTTGTCGAGAGTAACTCAGATATGGTATGTGGGTTATGTGAGTCACTGAAAATGGGATGTATTATAATTATCACACCATAATATAGGTAAAATGAATGCTAATTTATAAACTCGCTTCGCGTAGACCTTCCTGAAGCAATAGGTCACTTTTACCGCTTTGTGAAGCGTCTGTGTCGCGTCTCGGTACCTGCAGAGACACACCGACATATCGATCTAGTGCCTGAGGACTGGGGACTGCGCCGATTCCAGTCGATTTCCGCTGTTTGTTGCCTTGCCTGTCTGTGATTCAATTCTCAGTGTATCAGCAGTGAGCCGATGTCCTCGCTTCCTTGCGCTCTCAATGGGAGGCGAGTCAAGAGAGGACTACCCTTCCGCGCGCTACTCGCTGGCGTGCAGTGAGGTCGAGCCTCTGGGCTTCCCCTGTTCCGTCGTAGTTGGCCCCGTCGCCTCCGCTGCGGTGTTGCATTTGCGCCGTTGAGACGCGTTTTCTGCTGTTGCCTATGTGAAGCAGAGCTGATGTATGTGCCCACCGCATACGCCGTCTTCCTTTCACGTGGCTTTGTTATACTCTACACTAACGAAAATATATTTTCGGATATTATTTGTATTGTTCAGGGCCTGTACAAGTGGATATTGGATATTGGGGACGCGCTGACAGGGCTATATCAATGTGTATTGTGTATTATTGCGGAATCCGGAATGGATATTAAGCGCGGAAAAGACGGAGATATTACGGTACCTTCTGTGGTATTCCTCTAATTCCTTATTTTGCCTTATTACGTTCTCGCCTCGCGAAGGCGGATGTATTGGCTGCTTACGGTGCGATCCAAGGCACTACAGGGTCAGTGCGATCAAGGCACTGAGCTGCGTTTCATTGTCCGACGCTTCAATTACATTTACGATTTTGGCTATGGTATTTTTGTATTTTAGTATCATCAGTATATATTTTACCGAAGTTTATCGTATTGTGACACATCACGGCGATGTTATATTCATGTCTTACCACTGTTGAGGCAAAAACAAAATTAAAATGCAGCTACGGTGAAAACTGACAGCGTATGGTATGAGAGACATCGCTACCGTCATATTTATTATTTACACCGAATGCCTACATTTACAACAAATGCAATTAAGCGAGAGCGGGCTAGAAATGCTTTTGAATTCATAACGGGGTAGGTAGGTAGCACACAAAAAAGGGTACAAAATACAAATATGACGAATCTGCTTTAACCCTCGCCCGTATAGGGGGGGGGGGGGTCGAATGGACCCCCCATGGTTTTTCGCGAATAACTCGCGTAAAAAGCGGCCGATCGCGACGAAACTTTCAGTACCCTCGCGTTAATCAATTTTACACCTACTCTGAAAATTTCATGACCCTGACTCCAATGACCTTTGACCTGTGACCTACTTTTCGAGACCATGTTTGGCCGGAATCGCGATTCGGCGTATGTCGGCTCGCATTAGCCGCGCGTTTGCAGTCTTTTCGTGGTTTCAAGCGTTCAAACATGTGATATGATGTTGCCCCAATGCGTTAGGGTGGGTTTCAAGGTCACCTGAAGGTCAGGTCAGGTCATTGACCTTTGATGACCTCTGTTCACTTTTTCGAGTTTTACATGTTTCTAGGCCAGTTTTTGCAGCTGAATTCGGATTTAGCAACCATTTGAACATTTACGAAGTAGTTTTGGTGCCTTCGTAACATGTTACGAAGCTGTCAGAGGCGGTTGACACCTACTAGGAATACCCGACAGGACCCCTACTGGTTGACCTGACCTGACCTGACCCGACCTGGACTAAATGCATGAAGACATCATCTGTGATCAAAACTAACATGATATTCGTGATCAGCACCCCGAAAAACCCCGTAGCAGCCACACTTTACGACGTTCTAACAGGTCCCGATTTTCCCGACTTTTGGGTCATTGACCTGGACTGCAAGGTCAACCAATGACCTAGGACCTTAAAATTAGGTATCATCGGCTTCCTCTCATCACGGGCAACACGCTCCTTTTTTCCGCGAAGCTCTAGCTCGATCAGGGGCGAAACGGCAAGGGGGGGTCCAACGGACCCCCCCCCCCTTATACGTTCGCGGCTGGAAAAACACCAATACGGGCGAGGGTTAATACGAGACACATATCGTGAACTGATCATAATTGAGGCGTGTTTTTTTGTTAATGCCAGTGTAACACGTCAGTCGTTACATGTGGGTAGGCGGCAGAGCATTGGTTTACGATATTGAACGCACATTATCCGTTCGGTCACGACATAATTCTTTTATGGCAGAAATTGAAGAAGTAAGCTATATCGGTAGCTGCCCAGCCTTGGGTGGTTTAATTGAAGACATTACTCCGCTGCCACCGAGTTCTTGGATGTGAAGGTACACGAAAGACGTGTTTCACTTGTTACTGATTGAAAAGGTAGCCTGGACAGTCAACAACTTCTCAGCAAGTATGATGCATGCAGTGGGTCTACTCTTCTCCGATGAACAAGGGACTAAATATTTCCATTCGCCACAACTTCGTTTGGCTGTTTCCTGAAACAAAGAAACCAAATAATTAGGTCGATTGCCGGTCTGGGGACACTATTTTTTTCAGGCATTCTGATTTCCTTGATAAAATTGTTATTTGATTCCTTACAAAATATTTAAATCGTCATCGATGTAAGAACACTGAAGCCTCGAGTATTATCGGCTAGTATGACTACTTCATGTCAAAGTATTCACAAGCTGTGTGCGATGCACGCACGGCTGAATGCTCTCATTGACTTTAGATGCTTCATACATGCCTCAGCCATCGAACCTGTGTGAAATTATTACGCCTCACAGTTTTCTTACCTGCATATAATCCAGATCAGAGGCATGAACAGGACGCAGGCGCCGACCAGAAGCTGCAGAACCAGATGGAACACTCCGGAACGGTCGCGACCCGCCTTGCCGGGCGGATCTGCCGCGGTCAGGTCAGGTCGAGTCAGGTCAGACCAAGGTCAAATCACGGTGGTAGTGATGGCACTAACACGTATGTATTATGTAACTTCCAACAATGGGTAGAACACCTTCTACGACGCTATATAAACGTGTATTCTATTTGACTTTAATTGCACGTTAGTTTCCAACTGGTTCGGCTTTGACATTGATTTTTACCGCAAATGATATGAAAACGTCCTCGACTCTGCTCATGATTTGCTGAATGCATTGAAGAATAATGACAGCATTGTATGAGTTTCATAGATCTCAACAGCATACCAACTCAACAACTTTAGCAGACATTCCAAGCTCGGCAACTCGACATTCGACACTCGATGACGGTCCCTGACGGTCGATATTCGACATTCTCTAACACTCCTTGACAGTTGGCATTCAACATTCCCTGTCACTCCCTGACAGTCGACATCCGACATTCCTCGACTCCCCTAGGCCACAGTCGACATTCGACACTCCCTGATGGTCCCTACTCACCGACACAGACCACCGGTGATATACCTACTCACCGACACAGACCACCGGTGAGATACCTACTCTCCGACACAGATCACCGGTGATCACAGACCACCGGTGATATACCTACTCACCGACACAGACCACCGGTGATATACCTACTCACCGACACAGACCACCGGTGATATACCTACTCACCGACACAGACCACCGGTGATATACCTACTCACCGACACAGACCACCGGTGAGATACCTACTCTCCGACACAGATCACCGGTGATCACAGACCACCGGTGATATACCTACTCACCGACACAGACCACCGGTGATATACCTACTCACCGACACAGACCAAGGGTGAGATACCTACTCTCCGACACAGACCACCGGTGAGATACCTACTCTCCGACACAGATCACCGGTGATCACAGACCACCGGTGATATACCTACTCACCGACACAGACCACCGGTGATATACCTACTCACCGACACAGACCACCGGTGATATACCTACTCACCGACACAGACCACCGGTGAGATACCTACTCTCCGACACAGACCACCGGTGATCACAGACCACCGGTGATATATACCTACTCACCAACACAGACCACCGGCGATATACCTACTCACCGACACAGACCACCCGTGATATACCTACCCACCAACACAGACCACCGGCGATATACCTACTCACCGACACAGACCACCGGCGAGATACCGGTACAATTGGCCCGGAGCGGCACAGGCGGCTGACAGGTGATGTTGTAAAGGGTGCAGGAGCTGCTGCTTCCCGCCTGCACGGTACCGGCCAAGTAGGGGAACTGGGTCTGCTCCAGCAGCACGGCGCGCACTGCCGACACGGCCGGAGGGGTCAGGAACGCCGTGGACTGTCCTGTGGTGGCTATTCCATGAGGAGATTGTATTTGGTAAATGTCAGACCATGTATTTTACAGTAAGGTATGCTATATGGTATTCTGGTTTCTGAGCTATGATTACATGCAGCGATTTATCGCTTTAACGCACATGTCTGTCTAATACGAAGACGGCTAATGGAACGCGCAGCCTGATCATGTGTTTTAGCTGTAAATTCGTTTCGTGCGTCGTGCGTTCCATGAATCTACGTCTCGTAAACATGTAATACATGAATACGTTAGTTGGCTCGACTCCTGGATTGTTTGTTGAAGAGTGACCATGACCAGTGTGACCAGTGACCATCCTGTGCGGGAATGGGGCGTAACGCTGTAAACGTACGTTTACTGTAAATACTCTAAATACTGCATACTGCGAGTTCGCAGATGTATTTTGGACTTACCTTGCTCTTTGTCGGCGTTCAGGAAATCTTCGTCGTCCTCCATAATCTGCACGAGCATGCTCTGGAACTGCTCCAACTGCTCCGGCAAAATGCTGCTGTTGGTCGCTGTCTGATTTCGAGCGGCATCCGATGCCGATTTGTCGACCAGACTCATTTCGTTGATTGTTATGTCTCTGGCATTGTTGAGACGGCTCGTAATCCTTGAAACCTGAGTAACTGGCTTTTTTGTTACAGCACTTTGCGTTGATACATCTGTGCTAGTGGGTGTAACGCTCGGGGGCGATTTGATTTGATGAGACGAAGCCATTTCTGTCTTTGTGAGCTTCTCCTCGGGTGTATGTGCCAGCCGCTTTCGATCAGCCGATTGTTCCTTGTTGATGTCGTATGATGCTGTGGGCTCGGTCGATTCCTCAAGCGGTTTGATCCACGTCACTGCACTGTCGCCTGTTGCGTTCTCATTTATATTACTCTCGTCTGCCTTTGATGCGTTTACGCCGGCCTTCACCGTCACCTGGTAAACCAGTGTTTTCCTAGATGTCCGCTGTTCAAGATCAACAGGCATCACCTTGCCCTTTCCGACATTATTGGCTGAACTCAGCAATTTATTTGTCCCCATTTTATCGAAAATCAGCTCAGACGGCTCAGGGACTGTTTCACTTTTATCTGGGAACGACTTCTGCTCAGCATCTAATGGAACGGTAGCTGTCAATGATATGCTTGTCAGTTTTTCTACCGTCGCATTTTTATTTGTACTTGTTGGATCCAGCGCCACAGAAGTCGACCGTCGACGCCTGCGTTTCGTGGCCGTGCTATTCTTCCTTGCTCGGTTATTTTCTTTACTGTCTTGCAGAGTTGCAGTCTCGGTTATCGCTCCAACGCTCTTACCGGCTGATGCCTGAGTCCTTTCTTTTCCAGCTGCACTTAGGCTGATTGTTATCTTACTTGTGCTTCCATTATTGGCATTGGCTAGCGTTTCATCATGAGAGGCAATGCCCTTGCGCTCAGAAAAGGCGATTTCCGTTTTATCTTTTAGACTTTTACTGTCTGATTCTCCCAAAGTGCGGCCTGCAGCACCTACTGCCATTTCATCTAACGGTATATATGTGACTCCGTCAATACCGAGGTTTGAACGATCAACATTGAAAGGCGTGTCGCCGTCTTGCTGCGAAACTGGTAACACTGTCACATTATTTTGTCTCGTCATAATAACCGCATGACCTTCTGATGCATCGCCCTTGGATGTTTTCCCATTCGAAGCTTCGATACTCGCGCTGCGGCTGGCATTTTGTAGCTGGGCTGATAAGGTGGAGTTGCGGACAAATCCGGCCAGAAGAGTACTTTTCAGATGTATGTAGAATGAGGTGGCTAGCATACGGATGACGTCGTCATCAGCTGGAAAACACCCGACGTGATGTAAATGACAAATATTGCGGGACTTTTTGTTCTACTTCTTCTAAACATTAAATAATTAATGCTTGCGAGTGTAAGTACTGGTGCGCACCTGAGACACAATTTTAACCCGCGCCCTGATGGGGGGCATTTTGGCCCCCCTGTGGTTTTTCTTAAATAGCGAGAAAACGGCGGCGCGCAGCGCCGCCAAATTTTGGGTACCTTCCCGGGCATCAATTTGACACCTTCACACAAAATTCAATTCACAGGTCACCTTGGGTCAGGAGTTATTGAGGTCAAACTGAGGTCATGTTCGAGTAAAAATGAGCAAAAAACATAACATCTTGAAACGCTCACCAAATCGACAGTTAACAAGCAATTTTAAAGTTCTTTATGTGGTTGTGTAGAGAAAAGACGACGCTTCAAAACTGCTATCTCGGATTTTCGAAATTTTGGGATTTACAACCCCAAAAATAAAAAAAATGATTTTTTTTTAGAAAAACTAAAAAAACAAAAGAATCGATTTTCGAAAAAAAAAACGGAATATATGTGATAGTCCCTGCGCTCTTCGATATACATACCAAATTTTAGATTGATACCTTTGCCCCCCCCCCCTAAGATCTCGAGAACCACGCAGACCGCGTTGCTAGGCAGACCCCATCAGGGCGCGGGTAACGCGGGTTAAACGGACCTTCGTATGATGAAACTTATGGGAAAATACGACCATCCGTAAGTGAAGTGACAGCCACAGACGATAAATGTTTTTTTTTTTATTCATCGCATCATTTTCCGTCTTGCCACCTTGTGGAGGGGACTTTAGTTTTTATGAAAAGATGCAATAGAAATTGTCTTGAAGTATATGCTAATGCATGAGTGCTTTGCTATCAAAAATCACATTTTCTTCGTTAAACAAGCCGCATTTTCGCATTTTCAATTCAATGAAAGCTCCCAGTACCGTCAGGCTTCATTCTGGGGCCTGGAAAGGCATTGCGGTGCAGCCTACCGCACAGGGATGCACTGCGGTGCAGCCTAACATACAGGAATGTAATGCGGTCCAGCCTACCTCACAGTGATGTAACGTAATGCGGTGCAACCTACCACACAGGGATATACATAGTGTAGTGCGGTGCAGCCTATACCTCACAGAGATTCAGTGGAATGCGGTACAGCCTACCACACAGGAATGTAATGCGGTGCAGCCTACCACACAGTGATGTAGCGTAATGCGGTGCAACCTACCACACAGGGATATAGTGTAATACGGTGTAGCCTACCTCACAGTGATGCAGTGTAATGCGGTGCAGCCTACCTCACAGGGATGTAGTGTACTGCGGTTCGGCCTTCCTCACAGGGGTGTAATGCGGTGCAGCCTATCACACAGGGATGCAGTGTAATGCGTTGCAGCCTACCACACAGGGATATAGTGTAATGCGGTGCAGCCTACCTCACAGGGATTCATTGTAATGCGGTGCAGCCTACCACTCAGGGATGTAATGCGGTGCAGCCTATCACACAGGAATGTAATGCGGTCCAGCCTACCTCACAGGGATGTAGTGTAATGCGGTGCAGCCTACCGCTCAGGGATGTAATGCAGTGCAGCCTACCACACAGGGATATAGTGTAGTGCGGTGCAGCCTACCTCACAGGGATTCATTGTAATGCGGTGCAGACTATCACACAGGGATGTAATGCGGTGCAGCCTACCACACAGGAATGTAATGCGGTGCAGCCTACCACACAGGAATGTAATGCGGTGCAGCCTACCACACAGGGATATAGTGTAGTGCGGTGCAGCCTACCTCACAGGGATATAGTATTAGTGTAGGTACTGCGGTGCAGCCTTCCTCACAGGGATATAGTGTAATGCGGTGCAGCCTACCACACAGGGATATAGTGTAGTGCGGTCGCGGTGCAGCTTACGCCTTACCACACAGAGATATAGTGTAGATACTGCGGTGCCGCCCAGTGGCTACTACCCATGGGCAGTTGTGGTAGGGGAGAGTGGGGAAAGATGCCCAGGGTTTTGCTATGTCATATATTATTCGAAAATGACGATGGGAAAGCAAAAACTTGGAGTTTCAACGGAAGCCGTAATCATTTTTCTCCAAAAATATCACACTTTAGTGCCTGAAATATTATAACTTTTTTTGTTATTAAGCATTTTCCTGAAGAAGTGAAAGGGGGCATCTTACCCCACAGGGTGGGAAAGACGCCCCCTGACGTTGGGAAAGATGCCCCCTGCACTATAAGTGACATAAATGGGCACGTGAATCGCCTGAACGAATGGGTAGTCCCTTCGAGCCTGCAGTAGACACCAAACGTCATCATAAGGGCCCTCAAAAGTAGTCGTAAGGGGCTTCAGAGGTCATCGTTAGGGCCATCATAGTCCAGCGCGGCCAAACAAGCCTCCGTGGTGGCGTTCGGAGACCACTGTGGGGCTCTTATAGGTCATCATGATGCTTGAGGGCCCTCGAGCCCATCGTGGGGACCTCCGATGCCAGCGCGGCCCGTGGGGCCAACGTGGGAGCCCTCAAAGGATGTCGTGAGGGGCCCTGGAGCCAATAATGGGGCCCACAGAGGCCGTCGTGAGGGCTCTCAGAGTCAGATGCCGCCCAAAAAGTCGCTATGTGGGCCGAGAGACCGGCATGGGGAGCACCCGACCGTACTGGACTCTCAATAGTCCCAGATCGGCTTTTGTCTACATCACAAGTATGTAATAAATGATTTGACGGGCTGTTTGAAGGACAGCCTACGGATTTAGGGGGGGGGGGGCGTCTTTCCCCATCAGGACAGGGGGCGTCTTACCCCAAGGTACCGAAGTAACATTAAATCAGTACAATTTGTTAGCCATAAAACTACACCCTGAAACAAACTGTTTGGGACACAGTACACGCATGCTAATATATCGCGACTATAGCAAGGGACGCAAATATTATTTACCTTCTTTGATATTTACAATGTTCTGACACCAAAATATTTTTTGAAAGCAGCAAATAAAAAACATGCAATCATCAGCCAGCCGTTGCCCAACTGAGCTTCGCAATTTTTTGTGCAGTTAACAAGGCAGGCTTCCGCTTTACGCTAAGAACATTCATTTCCAGGTCCGATTCTTTGTTTCGCCGCTAGAGGGGGTGGGGCGTCTTTCCCACCCTGGGCATCTTACCCCACTCTCCCCTACTTTTTATTTACCATGCATGATGCATATAAATGACGTGCTGTGCAATCTGCCATGAAATGGCATGCTGCGGAAATCCACGACAAGATGTGGTTTGGTGCAGCAGGCACACCATTTCAACATTCGCTGATAATAATTGCCACTCACCGACTGACGACTCTCGGTCTCGACAGTCGATAACTCCACGGCCCGAGCAGGAGAGCTGGCTGCACTGTAGGGACGGCCAGTGGCGACACGTGGCCGTACCGGCCGGGCCGCTCAGGTCACTCGGACCGAACGGGTCGCCTCCCATAGAGGTACTCTCAGTGGTGGTATGGGGGTCCGCGCCTGACCACAGCAGTTGTGGTTATAGTGATGAAAAGATGTGATAGTGAATTGTCGACAAAGTTGACACATGCATTTAATTTAAGCACAAGCGTTAACCAAGACTAAAAATGCCGTTATCTACTCAGATGAAGTATTTACCATAGGCGGCGGAACGGGGAGGGGAGCACCGGAGCACCGTGCCCCCTTTGATTTTGACATTTTTACATTAGTCCTATGGGCGTTGCATGGAAAGAATGGGACCAAAAGTCGGCAGTGCCCCCCCCCCCCAGTTGTAGGTGTTCCGCGCCACTAGTATTTACCCAATTCACCATTTTAGAGTTATCGCTAGATCGACCCATGGGTGGAGAATATTTGAAAAAGTTACCCCGGCCGGCGACCGAAAGTCAGAAAGACGATGATGGTCAAATATTTGTCAACGGTTATCAACAAACTCCTATTCTGTGGCATAGAATAATGGATGTCTGCCGTTTGTACGTTTTTAGGGAAAACTGCTGCACGCAGGTGCGGAAGATTTCGTAATTGTAACTACAATTTTGCAACATTCCTTAAAATTTCGGACGCATGTCACCTAGTGATAGGTCAGGTCATCAGGTCAAAGTTGCTGGATGATCGTGCTAAAAATGCCATCATGCCCTTTGCAAAGCTTATTCCGTGGAAGTTGCAACCTTCCCACACAAAACAAAATGTCAAATTTGACCGTTTTGACCCTCTTATTGATTTGAGCTCGCACCTGAAATATTATTCGCGACCGAGCCTTAAACGAGTAATCGAATGTTTTGATTGCAGTGTTTAAGCTCCATTATGTTCATGAACTGTGAGAAAAGTTGTCGGAGAACGCTAAAATCAGAAAATTTGGCTTTTGATGAACTACGGTGATTTTATTATTGAGTTTGCCTAAAGACCAGATTTCTCTGATCACGTTTGTCGCTCTTTCAAACGTCGTTCCGCTTCTCGCCTCGTAGCCCAGTAGCCGAGTTAAAAGGAGCGTGAAAAGCCCACCTCTCGACTCAACGTGTTACGATAAGGCCACCACCCTGGCGCGGGTTAAGTTGGGGGAGCCTTGAGCCCCAGCAGCTCGTCCTTCTATCTCACTGATATTACCCTCGTCCTGTCTTGTGATGTTATTACAGTGCCATCTTACGATAACGGCCCTTAAATATAATATACTTCTGTTTGATGAAACATGTCGGGCTCCGCGATGAAAAGACCTAAAAACATAGAAGCTCCAAAATGAAAATAAAGTACATTTTCAAGAACTTTTCAAGGTAGATAAGAATAACGAGAGACGCTTTTATAGATGGCAGTTTTTTTCGTATGGAGACAGCTTTTAGGATTTACAGAAGTGGAAAAAGTTACCCCGGCCGCGCCGGGGTCGGCTGAAAGTTACCCCGGCCACGGCCGGGGTGGCCGGGGCAGGTTCTCCACCCATGGGACCCGTTCGGATAACCAAAAGTAAAGAGAAATGGAGGAGCGGAGGAACGAACTAAATTGTAGCGGAGGAAGGGCGAAGGGATCACCAACACAGTGAAGGTTAGTTGGGTCGTTACACTTCTAAAAAGTAACGGGTCTGTTCCTCCGTTTAAAAATGCAATGGCCTTTTAGAGTGGAGGGACGGAGGAACATTGCCGATGTTCCTCATCTACATATGCCGAAGCTCCTTATCTATTTTTTTCTAGCTCGCTATCTAACAAAACGGGCCGCGGTCAGCGAGTCATCTCTTTCTCTCCTATTAGCTCCCTCGGCCTGACAATCTATGTACAGTCGCTGTCTTTAAACACTAAACAGCCACATCTCACATCGCTAACCTGCGACCTCATCGGTGACCGCATCTTGGGCGACACAGCAGGTCAGGAAGGCGACGACGCCGACGAGGCAACACGCCAACCCCCGTCGTGTCATCACCAACACTGGCGTGACCGTCAGACTGAGCCCCTGCCGATCACCGTGTGGTGCCCGCCACCCGCTGCGGACACCGCGTGCGACGCATTCTGTGCATCTCCATGACAACGCTCTGCCGGCGGCGTGCCGCTGATCTGGGTGGCTCTGGCAACCGGCGCACAACAGACTTGCGGAGACCGAATTCCCGGCCGCCGCTCTAAGGAGTGCGCTCAATACACGACGCTGAGGGTTCTCGAGGAATGAGCGACACTTGCGAGCCGCGTGGCCAAGACACCGATCACGCTAACAAGTATTGAGCCAGATGACTCTTGGCATTGAGCAGGAGATTACTTTGTGCGTCATATGTCAGCCACATTCGCTAAGTGGGTATTATTTCCCGTGACAGTTCTTTTATGAATTTAGTGCGAGTGTTGAATGAGTGTAGCTACGGGTCCAGCAAAGTGCAGTTGGTGATTGTGCAGACGATTATCCAGGGGCTACGAGGGGCGTTCAAAAAGTTCTCGGCCCAACCATGAAGGAGTTGGAATTTCGGCCTGTAACGCGGTGCATTCAATGATGTGTTATTGGGATGTCCACTTACGTAGCCATTAACCAATCTGCCCTGTGATTGGTTCAGGCTGCTAATTAATCGTAACATAGTTTGCCATTCCCGGTCAGAATGGGCGACGCCCAGAAGAGAACAGTGATTTGGTTCATGCATTGCAGAAAAATGCAAAAAACGTTATTCACGAAAAGCTAGTGCCAACACATGTTGAGGTTTGTCTTTCTTACAGTAGCGTCAAAAAGTGGGCATCTCTGTTCAATTTCGGTCAACAGATCATTAATAGTCACCCCCGCAGTGGCCAGCCATCAACAGCATTGTCTCAAGAAAATATGAAAAATAAGCACTTCTTTGTGAAAAATGACAAATGTTCTGGTCTTGAACAACGCAGCAGAAGCGGAGGTGTCTATCAGCCTCCTTTAAGTCATTCTTCAACAGCGTATTAATATGTTTAAGATCTCTGCAAGATGCATCCCCCATTTGCTGACTCCAGAGAAAAGGCAAACTCGTAAGGAGGCGTAACGCGAAAATTTTGGCCCCTATATCGAAGATCCAAAAGAGGTCATTGAACTACTTGTTACCGTGGAGGGATTGTGGGTGTCACACGTTGACCCTAAGAGCGTGACCGAGTTGCACAAGTGGAAGCACACTGATTAAAGGCCACCAAATGTGTGCGACGTGTTTAAGTCAGACGGCAAGGTGACAGTGGTTGCATTTTGGGATACTGACGGGGCTCTGCTGGTTAACTTTCTAAAACAGAGGCGCACAATTGATGATGAATACTACACCTCCCTTCGATAATAGTTGCGAGCAGCAGATATAGAGGAGAGACTAGGGAAGCTGACTAAAAGTGTGCGCCTGATCCAGGACCACGCACCGGCACACATGAGCACACATTGTTATCTTACTTGTGCTTCCATTATTGGCATTGGCTAGCGTTTCATCATGAGAGGCAATGCCCTTGCGCTCAGAAAAGGCGATTTCCGTTTTATCTTTTAGACTTTTACTGTCTGATTCTCCCAAAGTGCGGCCTGCAGCACCTACTGCCATTTCATCTAACGGTATATATGTGACTCCGTCAATACCGAGGTTTGAACGATCAACATTGAAAGGCGTGTCGCCGTCTTGCTGCGAAACTGGTAACACTGTCACATTATTTTGTCTCGTCATAATAACCGCATGACCTTCTGATGCATCGCCCTTGGATGTTTTCCCATTCGAAGCTTCGATACTCGCGCTGCGGCTGGCATTTTGTAGCTGGGCTGATAAGGTGGAGTTGCGGACAAATCCGGCCAGAAGAGTACTTTTCAGATGTATGTAGAATGAGGTGGCTAGCATACGGATGACGTCGTCATCAGCTGGAAAACACCCGACGTGATGTAAATGACAAATATTGCGGGACTTTTTGTTCTACTTCTTCTAAACATTAAATAATTAATGCTTGCGAGTGTAAGTACTGGTGCGCACCTGAGACACAATTTTAACCCGCGCCCTGATGGGGGGCATTTTGGCCCCCCTGTGGTTTTTCTTAAATAGCGAGAAAACGGCGGCGCGCAGCGCCGCCAAATTTTGGGTACCTTCCCGGGCATCAATTTGACACCTTCACACAAAATTCAATTCACAGGTCACCTTGGGTCAGGAGTTATTGAGGTCAAACTGAGGTCATGTTCGAGTAAAAATGAGCAAAAAACATAACATCTTGAAACGCTCACCAAATCGACAGTTAACAAGCAATTTTAAAGTTCTTTATGTGGTTGTGTAGAGAAAAGACGACGCTTCAAAACTGCTATCTCGGATTTTCGAAATTTTGGGATTTACAACCCCAAAAATAAAAAAAATGATTTTTTTTTAGAAAAACTAAAAAAACAAAAGAATCGATTTTCGAAAAAAAAAACGGAATATATGTGATAGTCCCTGCGCTCTTCGATATACATACCAAATTTTAGATTGATACCTTTGCCCCCCCCCCCCCTAAGATCTCGAGAACCACGCAGACCGCGTTGCTAGGCAGACCCCATCAGGGCGCGGGTAACGCGGGTTAAACGGACCTTCGTATGATGAAACTTATGGGAAAATACGACCATCCGTAAGTGAAGTGACAGCCACAGACGATAAATGTTTTTTTTTTTATTCATCGCATCATTTTCCGTCTTGCCACCTTGTGGAGGGGACTTTAGTTTTTATGAAAAGATGCAATAGAAATTGTCTTGAAGTATATGCTAATGCATGAGTGCTTTGCTATCAAAAATCACATTTTCTTCGTTAAACAAGCCGCATTTTCGCATTTTCAATTCAATGAAAGCTCCCAGTACCGTCAGGCTTCATTCTGGGGCCTGGAAAGGCATTGCGGTGCAGCCTACCGCACAGGGATGCACTGCGGTGCAGCCTAACATACAGGAATGTAATGCGGTCCAGCCTACCTCACAGTGATGTAACGTAATGCGGTGCAACCTACCACACAGGGATATACATAGTGTAGTGCGGTGCAGCCTATACCTCACAGAGATTCAGTGGAATGCGGTACAGCCTACCACACAGGAATGTAATGCGGTGCAGCCTACCACACAGTGATGTAGCGTAATGCGGTGCAACCTACCACACAGGGATATAGTGTAATACGGTGTAGCCTACCTCACAGTGATGCAGTGTAATGCGGTGCAGCCTACCTCACAGGGATGTAGTGTACTGCGGTTCGGCCTTCCTCACAGGGGTGTAATGCGGTGCAGCCTATCACACAGGGATGCAGTGTAATGCGTTGCAGCCTACCACACAGGGATATAGTGTAATGCGGTGCAGCCTACCTCACAGGGATTCATTGTAATGCGGTGCAGCCTACCACTCAGGGATGTAATGCGGTGCAGCCTATCACACAGGAATGTAATGCGGTCCAGCCTACCTCACAGGGATGTAGTGTAATGCGGTGCAGCCTACCGCTCAGGGATGTAATGCAGTGCAGCCTACCACACAGGGATATAGTGTAGTGCGGTGCAGCCTACCTCACAGGGATTCATTGTAATGCGGTGCAGACTATCACACAGGGATGTAATGCGGTGCAGCCTACCACACAGGAATGTAATGCGGTGCAGCCTACCACACAGGAATGTAATGCGGTGCAGCCTACCACACAGGGATATAGTGTAGTGCGGTGCAGCCTACCTCACAGGGATATAGTATTAGTGTAGGTACTGCGGTGCAGCCTTCCTCACAGGGATATAGTGTAATGCGGTGCAGCCTACCACACAGGGATATAGTGTAGTGCGGTCGCGGTGCAGCTTACGCCTTACCACACAGAGATATAGTGTAGATACTGCGGTGCCGCCCAGTGGCTACTACCCATGGGCAGTTGTGGTAGGGGAGAGTGGGGAAAGATGCCCAGGGTTTTGCTATGTCATATATTATTCGAAAATGACGATGGGAAAGCAAAAACTTGGAGTTTCAACGGAAGCCGTAATCATTTTTCTCCAAAAATATCACACTTTAGTGCCTGAAATATTATAACTTTTTTTGTTATTAAGCATTTTCCTGAAGAAGTGAAAGGGGGCATCTTACCCCACAGGGTGGGAAAGACGCCCCCTGACGTTGGGAAAGATGCCCCCTGCACTATAAGTGACATAAATGGGCACGTGAATCGCCTGAACGAATGGGTAGTCCCTTCGAGCCTGCAGTAGACACCAAACGTCATCATAAGGGCCCTCAAAAGTAGTCGTAAGGGGCTTCAGAGGTCATCGTTAGGGCCATCATAGTCCAGCGCGGCCAAACAAGCCTCCGTGGTGGCGTTCGGAGACCACTGTGGGGCTCTTATAGGTCATCATGATGCTTGAGGGCCCTCGAGCCCATCGTGGGGACCTCCGATGCCAGCGCGGCCCGTGGGGCCAACGTGGGAGCCCTCAAAGGATGTCGTGAGGGGCCCTGGAGCCAATAATGGGGCCCACAGAGGCCGTCGTGAGGGCTCTCAGAGTCAGATGCCGCCCAAAAAGTCGCTATGTGGGCCGAGAGACCGGCATGGGGAGCACCCGACCGTACTGGACTCTCAATAGTCCCAGATCGGCTTTTGTCTACATCACAAGTATGTAATAAATGATTTGACGGGCTGTTTGAAGGACAGCCTACGGATTTAGGGGGGGGGGCGTCTTTCCCCATCAGGACAGGGGGCGTCTTACCCCAAGGTACCGAAGTAACATTAAATCAGTACAATTTGTTAGCCATAAAACTACACCCTGAAACAAACTGTTTGGGACACAGTACACGCATGCTAATATATCGCGACTATAGCAAGGGACGCAAATATTATTTACCTTCTTTGATATTTACAATGTTCTGACACCAAAATATTTTTTGAAAGCAGCAAATAAAAAACATGCAATCATCAGCCAGCCGTTGCCCAACTGAGCTTCGCAATTTTTTGTGCAGTTAACAAGGCAGGCTTCCGCTTTACGCTAAGAACATTCATTTCCAGGTCCGATTCTTTGTTTCGCCGCTAGAGGGGGTGGGGCGTCTTTCCCACCCTGGGCATCTTACCCCACTCTCCCCTACTTTTTATTTACCATGCATGATGCATATAAATGACGTGCTGTGCAATCTGCCATGAAATGGCATGCTGCGGAAATCCACGACAAGATGTGGTTTGGTGCAGCAGGCACACCATTTCAACATTCGCTGATAATAATTGCCACTCACCGACTGACGACTCTCGGTCTCGACAGTCGATAACTCCACGGCCCGAGCAGGAGAGCTGGCTGCACTGTAGGGACGGCCAGTGGCGACACGTGGCCGTACCGGCCGGGCCGCTCAGGTCACTCGGACCGAACGGGTCGCCTCCCATAGAGGTACTCTCAGTGGTGGTATGGGGGTCCGCGCCTGACCACAGCAGTTGTGGTTATAGTGATGAAAAGATGTGATAGTGAATTGTCGACAAAGTTGACACATGCATTTAATTTAAGCACAAGCGTTAACCAAGACTAAAAATGCCGTTATCTACTCAGATGAAGTATTTACCATAGGCGGCGGAACGGGGAGGGGAGCAACGGAGCACCGTGCCCCCTTTGATTTTGACATTTTTACATTAGTCCTATGGGCGTTGCATGGAAAGAATGGGACCAAAAGTCGGCAGTGCCCCCCCCCCCCCCCCAGTTGTAGGTGTTCCGCGCCACTAGTATTTACCCAATTCACCATTTTAGAGTTATCGCTAGATCGACCCATGGGTGGAGAATATTTGAAAAAGTTACCCCGGCCGGCGACCGAAAGTCAGAAAGACGATGATGGTCAAATATTTGTCAACGGTTATCAACAAACTCCTATTCTGTGGCATAGAATAATGGATGTCTGCCGTTTGTACGTTTTTAGGGAAAACTGCTGCACGCAGGTGCGGAAGATTTCGTAATTGTAACTACAATTTTGCAACATTCCTTAAAATTTCGGACGCATGTCACCTAGTGATAGGTCAGGTCATCAGGTCAAAGTTGCTGGATGATCGTGCTAAAAATGCCATCATGCCCTTTGCAAAGCTTATTCCGTGGAAGTTGCAACCTTCCCACACAAAACAAAATGTCAAATTTGACCGTTTTGACCCTCTTATTGATTTGAGCTCGCACCTGAAATATTATTCGCGACCGAGCCTTAAACGAGTAATCGAATGTTTTGATTGCAGTGTTTAAGCTCCATTATGTTCATGAACTGTGAGAAAAGTTGTCGGAGAACGCTAAAATCAGAAAATTTGGCTTTTGATGAACTACGGTGATTTTATTATTGAGTTTGCCTAAAGACCAGATTTCTCTGATCACGTTTGTCGCTCTTTCAAACGTCGTTCCGCTTCTCGCCTCGTAGCCCAGTAGCCGAGTTAAAAGGAGCGTGAAAAGCCCACCTCTCGACTCAACGTGTTACGATAAGGCCACCACCCTGGCGCGGGTTAAGTTGGGGGAGCCTTGAGCCCCAGCAGCTCGTCCTTCTATCTCACTGATATTACCCTCGTCCTGTCTTGTGATGTTATTACAGTGCCATCTTACGATAACGGCCCTTAAATATAATATACTTCTGTTTGATGAAACATGTCGGGCTCCGCGATGAAAAGACCTAAAAACATAGAAGCTCCAAAATGAAAATAAAGTACATTTTCAAGAACTTTTCAAGGTAGATAAGAATAACGAGAGACGCTTTTATAGATGGCAGTTTTTTTCGTATGGAGACAGCTTTTAGGATTTACAGAAGTGGAAAAAGTTACCCCGGCCGCGCCGGGGTCGGCTGAAAGTTACCCCGGCCACGGCCGGGGTGGCCGGGGCAGGTTCTCCACCCATGGGACCCGTTCGGATAACCAAAAGTAAAGAGAAATGGAGGAGCGGAGGAACGAACTAAATTGTAGCGGAGGAAGGGCGAAGGGATCACCAACACAGTGAAGGTTAGTTGGGTCGTTACACTTCTAAAAAGTAACGGGTCTGTTCCTCCGTTTAAAAATGCAATGGCCTTTTAGAGTGGAGGGACGGAGGAACATTGCCGATGTTCCTCATCTACATATGCCGAAGCTCCTTATCTATTTTTTTCTAGCTCGCTATCTAACAAAACGGGCCGCGGTCAGCGAGTCATCTCTTTCTCTCCTATTAGCTCCCTCGGCCTGACAATCTATGTACAGTCGCTGTCTTTAAACACTAAACAGCCACATCTCACATCGCTAACCTGCGACCTCATCGGTGACCGCATCTTGGGCGACACAGCAGGTCAGGAAGGCGACGACGCCGACGAGGCAACACGCCAACCCCCGTCGTGTCATCACCAACACTGGCGTGACCGTCAGACTGAGCCCCTGCCGATCACCGTGTGGTGCCCGCCACCCGCTGCGGACACCGCGTGCGACGCATTCTGTGCATCTCCATGACAACGCTCTGCCGGCGGCGTGCCGCTGATCTGGGTGGCTCTGGCAACCGGCGCACAACAGACTTGCGGAGACCGAATTCCCGGCCGCCGCTCTAAGGAGTGCGCTCAATACACGACGCTGAGGGTTCTCGAGGAATGAGCGACACTTGCGAGCCGCGTGGCCAAGACACCGATCACGCTAACAAGTATTGAGCCAGATGACTCTTGGCATTGAGCAGGAGATTACTTTGTGCGTCATATGTCAGCCACATTCGCTAAGTGGGTATTATTTCCCGTGACAGTTCTTTTATGAATTTAGTGCGAGTGTTGAATGAGTGTAGCTACGGGTCCAGCAAAGTGCAGTTGGTGATTGTGCAGACGATTATCCAGGGGCTACGAGGGGCGTTCAAAAAGTTCTCGGCCCAACCATGAAGGAGTTGGAATTTCGGCCTGTAACGCGGTGCATTCAATGATGTGTTATTGGGATGTCCACTTACGTAGCCATTAACCAATCTGCCCTGTGATTGGTTCAGGCTGCTAATTAATCGTAACATAGTTTGCCATTCCCGGTCAGAATGGGCGACGCCCAGAAGAGAACAGTGATTTGGTTCATGCATTGCAGAAAAATGCAAAAAACGTTATTCACGAAAAGCTAGTGCCAACACATGTTGAGGTTTGTCTTTCTTACAGTAGCGTCAAAAAGTGGGCATCTCTGTTCAATTTCGGTCAACAGATCATTAATAGTCACCCCCGCAGTGGCCAGCCATCAACAGCATTGTCTCAAGAAAATATGAAAAATAAGCACTTCTTTGTGAAAAATGACAAATGTTCTGGTCTTGAACAACGCAGCAGAAGCGGAGGTGTCTATCAGCCTCCTTTAAGTCATTCTTCAACAGCGTATTAATATGTTTAAGATCTCTGCAAGATGCATCCCCCATTTGCTGACTCCAGAGAAAAGGCAAACTCGTAAGGAGGCGTAACGCGAAAATTTTGGCCCCTATATCGAAGATCCAAAAGAGGTCATTGAACTACTTGTTACCGTGGAGGGATTGTGGGTGTCACACGTTGACCCTAAGAGCGTGACCGAGTTGCACAAGTGGAAGCACACTGATTAAAGGCCACCAAATGTGTGCGACGTGTTTAAGTCAGACGGCAAGGTGACAGTGGTTGCATTTTGGGATACTGACGGGGCTCTGCTGGTTAACTTTCTAAAACAGAGGCGCACAATTGATGATGAATACTACACCTCCCTTCGATAATAGTTGCGAGCAGCAGATATAGAGGAGAGACTAGGGAAGCTGACTAAAAGTGTGCGCCTGATCCAGGACCACGCACCGGCACACATGAGCAGGGTGACGATCAGCGAAGCAGTGAGCTGTGGCTTCGAGTTGCTGTCACAGCCACTTTTTTTCTCCGTACCATGCACCCTCTGGTTGCCACCTTTTCCCCAACATAAGGAAATTGCTTAGCAATGGCAACTTCGCTGACAGCAAGGAGACAAAAGTAGCCGTCTTGGATGTGCCAGATGGGTCCAAAACCCACTAAGCTATGGAGACCCTGGGGCCTCTCGCGAAGCGCTGCGCGAGATATTTTTTGTCTTAACGCTGGTTATTTGACTCAATGAACATTTTTGGTCTAATAAGTCGACGTCGTATCTCTGCTCCTTCATGGTTGGGCCGAGAACTTTTTGAACACCCCTCGTAGAGCTCTCAGAACGATTTGAACGTTATTTTAGTGAAGCGCTTCGCTAAGTCACTTTTCCTCCAACTGTACGATATGAAGAAATAGATCCGCTTGGCGAACAAAGCTGAAATTTGAAGTTTAACCCGCGCGGGGCTGGGGTCTCCAGCCGAACGCGCGGGGCTGGAGGGGTAAATTTTATCCCCTGTTATCTCCCGAACTAATGGTCCGATTTGGAAAATTCAAACGCCAATCGAAAGATCTCATCACGAACAACTACAAACATGTACTTAATTTAAAGTTTGAGGTCAAGGCAAGGTCAGGTCAAGGGTACAAATTGCAAGTTTCTACAGTATCGGCCTTGCACCTTATGTAGTTGCCGAACAATGGAGTCATGGACTGAGACTGATTGCCCAAAACGTGTTCTTAGGCTACCAAGACAATATTCGTTGCATACAATATCATTCAGAGGTCAAGGTCAAGGTCAGGTCAGGTCAGGTCACCAAAAAATAAAATATAGAAAAGGGCATGTGCGACACATGTTTTATGGGTCATTTTACTCATAGAATTCAATAGGCACACTCAATAAGTGATATAGACCACCTCTGGATGAATTTCAGGTCGAGGTCAGGTCAAGGTCAGGTCAAGTGAGGTCAAATTTTGAAGTTGGTTGTTAAGGCCTAAAAAGGTGTCTATCTGATGCAGTTTTTCACGGCGAATCGAATGGTGGTATTTTCGTTTCCGTACGAGATCTAGAACTTCCAAAAAAATCATTTTTCAAAATTTTTGTGTGTCGTGACGTCATAAAATTTTCAATAAATCCCACATTTTTGAACCGATTCTTCTAAAAATTGGTATGTAGGTGCACATAGACCACTTCTCTGACATATATTCTGGGTTTTTTGATACACTCAAAATTTTAGATTTTATAATTATTTTCCCAAAAAAGTCAGTTTTTTTAAAAAATGTGGGCCAAAATCCAAAATTTTCAAAAAACCGAGACAGCCATTTGATAGACAAAGTAGAATTACGTATAACCTTTTTTGTTACGTCTTGATTCCTCTAAAAATGAAGATGCTAGCGGCGTTTGAAATTTTGCCGTTTTTGAGGCGAAAATGGCGAACATGACGTCACTAAAACGTCAATTTCTCAAAAATTTTCCGACGGATTTCGCTCAAATTTTCAGGGAACGTGTCAAATTGATGTAAGAAAAGGTACTGAAAGTTTGGCGTTTTGAGATATCGCAAAAATTCGCGAGGGGGGGGGGGTAAAATTTACCCCCCCCCCCAGCCCCGCGCGGGTTAATCTGCTCAGAGTGAAGTGAATCGTTCACATATAAAGTGCTTTGCTTTGCGTGTGCTTTCCTTTGGTGAAGTTTTAGCCAAAGTTGCGATTAATTTGTAACTTCCGCACATCTAAAATCTTTGCTCACTAAAACCTAATAAAAGAGTTAGCACACATTGACTTTATATAAGTATTCATAGCAAATGCTCTAACAAAATACATTTGAGGTTTACAAACAGCGACTGCAGAGACACTTTTTCGACAGTTTATTATCGAATCAGCCTGACATCAAATAAGATCGGATACGTTACAAAAGATGTGAATTTCAGCGAACCCCTTCCACATACAGTGCTTTATATCGTAAGCGGTACATGCATCTCACACTGAAACATGTCCAACATTCACGAGCGAATAGACTTCGTTTGTACGACACTCTACATGGAAGCAGTTAGATGGTATACACTTTATTTGTATTCACATTTATGTAGCATAGATGATTCCTCTTGAATTGCAGTGATGGATTGACTACTCCAGCAGATTGTCCGTCTTTTTTATTGCCAGTTTTATTGAAATGAAAAATTACTTGCGGGAAATCTGAAATAAAAGATATTGCTTATTAATATATTTGCGAATAGCATTAATGTAGCTATTCCAATTCTGTTTTAGAATAGACATAATCATAGACTACTGTATGATTAGACTACTGATATGGAGTAGTCTACGTGTGTGACAAAATATATTGCAAAATTTGTCATATACTGAAATGCTTGCAATGCACACATGATACTTTCATAACGAACTTAAAATGTAATTTTCACAGGGAAGTGGCAACATGCCTAATAAGCTAAGCCCACCTTGCATTCGTTGGAGACACACTCGCCCTGGCAGCACTTGCCGCTGCAGCAGACGCCGCCAACGCAGCAGGAGCCGCCGCAGCAGATGCCTCCGCAGCACTTCCCTCCGCAGCAGGAGGGGCCGTCGCAGCACGAGCCACCGCAGCACGAGTTAGGACAGGTGCTGCAGCCGGATGAACGCACTGCGACCACGGGGAGGGGGAGGTCAGGTTAGGTCAGGCTATGCACAGCCGGATGATCGCACTGCAACTGCTGGCAAAAGTCAGCTCAGGTCACCTTACGCACAACAGGTGCGGGAAGGCGGGCAGTCAGGTCGGGCAACGTTTACAGGTGGAGCGATGGGATAAAACGGATACAGTACGGACACGAGCCATGAAGCATTAACCTGAGGTCAGCGATAAATGGAGTTGATAAAAACGTAAAACTCAAAACAAAATACAGATAAAGTTAGAGATAAGACGATACATTTGTACAGAATGCTTCAACTTCTTGCATCGGAGGAAGAAAGATGATGACACTTGTCAGATATGTATTGTCTGAGCGTCACAGAGAAAGACGATATTAGCCGTTTTCACGACGGCCATCTGGTACACATTTGGTGCACATCTGGTGCAGATTAGGTGCAGTTTTGGTCAAATTAGGTTCAGTGAGTCTCTTAATAGCTATCAGCTAGGGTTGCACACTAATTGCTTATATGCCTGCTTTGTCATATAACATATTATCAGAGAGCATCATCGATTAAAACACTGAAATAAATTCATAAAGATAATTGCTGTAAAATAGATTAGGTGCAGATTTGGTCAAATTAGGTGCACTCGCCGGATAGCCCGTCGTGAAAACGGCTATAGATGATTGAGCTGTGCATTGGTCACACCAAAACCGAAGGAAGAGAACAATTAGACCAACAAAAAGCAACAGAGCCATGTCGATGTGGATGAATATTTGATCTACTAAGTTGTTACATAAGCAGGATTGATGATTTTTCAATATTAATCATAAAGGATACTCACCGAGCAGGCCGAAGGAATGGAATTGTGCGGTACTGGCTGCTACTGCCGACAAGAAAACCAAAACAAATACGGCCTTCATTTTGTCCTTTTTATAGATATGTCTTCAGACAGATAGCTGGAAACATAAGTTCTGTAATTGCGCGTAAGTTCCGGAAACGGATAGTAATCACTTTATCGATCAGAGCTAGTCAATCTAAAATGCCTATACAGTTCCCCGCCATGTCCCCTGCCTCTGTTGGACGTTTCTTTAGCGGCTCGAGAGAATGCCTCCGATAAGACTTTCCAAGACAAGCTTCATATGGTTTCACGAAAGCCCTCATCATTGCTGGATGATAAGTCCGAAAGTCTTCCAAAAAGGTTTATGCACGACTATGTATGCTGGGGCGGCTTTTTAAAGTTAGGTATCCGAGATTCTCCCCACCTGCACAATCACATGCAAATACCTACGTCACATGCACGTATATGACTCATTTACCCTTTAGGTATACATACGTGCGCAAATCCACTTTGCTTGACACTCTGAATACCTATTTCAACAAGGGTGACTGCACCACTGCACAGCATGCACCACGCGTGAGAAACTGTTTAAGCAACGTTTCGTTCCTCCTTATATAAAGTCATCTTTTATCTCATTAGGCCTTTGTTGCAGTACAACAGTGTCTGGGTGGCAGCGCAACAGTTGCAGCACGCTACCAGTCTTGCTATCAGCAATCTCGCGCCAAAGCTAGCTTCGTTCGCTGGGAAAGTGAACAAACTGGTTGGGCTTGTCGGTTTTGCAGTCCTTATTTAGATCGACAGCGTTTGTCTTCATCTTGTGTGTAGTGTCGCAACTATGCTGAGCGTTGCTTCTTTGTACATATATTGCACTCGTTTACTTTTCACGTGAACAGTTTTTTATACTAACATACCATACGCGTCCTTTGCACACAACGAAAGAACTGTTTGGAAACAACTCTCGATAGCCAAGGAATGGTTATTTGTTGAACTTAAAGGTAGTGTGCCAGCTTTCCTGGAGCATATGGAGTTAATGGCCCAGATAAGGAGAACCGGATTTTTAGAACTTATCCATGCCTTCAAAACTCATGGAAACGTCTTAAATTCTTCAAATTTTGAGTACCCCAGTGCGAAATTCGCCCCGACGGGTTGTCGGTCGTACCCCAACCACATTTCACACCACTATGAACAATAAATGCACACACTGAAATCGCTATTACCGATAGGCTCATCCAATCAAGTTTCGATAAACCCGTTCATCATCATCTCCTGCGGTTTCGAACACGCCTGTTAGGTGGTGCGGTAGACCGCGCCCAAAGCCAGGGCCCCGGTGACGTGAGGTAGCCGAGTCGGGGCAGCGTGCGCTGACCCAAGCCGGGGCCGCGCGTCCTCCCGGTGTCATGTGATAGCCCGGGGCTGCCCGCGGGGATGCGGTAGACCGCGCCCAAAGCCGCGGCCCCGGCTTGGGTCAGCGCACGCTGCCCCGACTCGGCTACCTCACGTTACCGGGGCCCTGGCTTTGGGCGCGGCTTCTGCTCATACCAGGGTTGTGTTCGACTCAAAAAAATTTGCCGACTCGACTCCTCATTCAATTTCAGAAAGCCCTGACTCAACTTTGACTGAAACATGGAGCTGATTTTTCCCTTGACTCGACTCATGACTCAAGCGGCTCTATGAAAATATGAGTTGACTCAAACTTGACTCAAATTTTTTGTTGAGTCAAGTGTGTTGACTCAAAATTGACTCAGATAAAAAGGTTGTTGAGCGTGGGGGGGGGGGTGAAAAAAAAAAATCCGGCAGCAGGGCTAGGCCTAAGTCGTTAAGCGGGGGGAGAATGAAAAGCTTATATATATATATATATATATATATATATATATATATATATATATATATATATATATATATATATATATATATAGTTTCTAAAAAGATGAGTCAGCTGACTCATGTTCCTAAATGTTTTTGACTCAACTAAATGTCAAAAGATATTTTACTGACTCAACTCTGACTCAACTCAACACCTTAATATTTTTGTCCGACTCAACTCTGACTCAACTCAACAGCTCAACATTTTATCCGACTCGACTCAAACCTGACTCATTTGAGTCAGAGTTGAGTCAAATTTCTGACTCGACTCATGAGTCAAGCACAACCCTGGCTCATACTTTGTGGTGCGGTGGTGGTGCGTCGGGCCGCGCGCTCTGACTTCGGCCAAGAAAAATGCGTCAGCTGATCATTGTCATTTCTGCCACATTCATGTGGTGAGATGGGGTCATAACTTTAAAGACGGCTGTTTCATATCAATTATTTTACATAAAATAATATTTCAAACCATAAATTAATGTTTGACAGCCAAATAAAAGAAACAATACCAATACAGGCTTACAGTTTAAGGCTCGACATTGTGTTGTCTACGATTAGACAGCTGATAACTCATTCCCGTACGTCGTAACTCTATAATGACCTTTGCTTATTGTCACATGTGCGCCGCATTCGCGATTGTTGCCGACGCTTGTTTGCAGGCCAGCCCACTACAGTTGTTATACATATCGAAAAACCGATAAACTTTTAGGCGAAAAAGGCACTATTCCAGGCCCATTTTTCATTTTTTTGCGATATTAGGTAAAAACAGAAGCTTCTTATCCTAGGAAAAATAAAATGGGAAATCTTTTAAAGGTGGCACACTACCTTTAAGCCTATCGCCACACTGGGTGGAAGTTAGGTCCATGATGCCGGTTCACTACAAATAAGGAGTAGGTATTGCGCTTCGGTGTGTTATAATTTTCACATGGCTGCTGACATCGTCTTTGGGCTATTGTCACTTCGTCCGATTAAAGGAAAAGGGCCACCTTTAACATGGGGATTGAAACTGAGATAGCCATCTTGTAGCCCGTGTCCTAAAACCTACCTGTTTACCTCCTTACGGCTGATTTCGGCCTCCATTCGTAGTTATCGGCAATTTTAAAAGAAAATACGCCAGGAATGCGTCCTTATCCCAGGAATGCGTTCTTATCCGACAATACAGCCACCCGCGGCGAGGCTTTGGTTTTCTACCAATCAGCTCCAACCAGCTCAGCTTTAACCAATCAGCTTATCTGACACAATCCGACGAGTCTGTCTTCTGAACGCTGATTGGCTTGAGTGTGACGTCATCGCTATGCCATCATACAGTAGGTGCCGTAGAGAGTATCAACATAGTACCAATATGTTAAATAGTTTTAAATACTTTTTCGCGAATTGTGCACTTCTGGCACCAGTTTTAAAAAGAAAATGAAAAATAATAATGTCAAAATGAAAAACAACGATATCTTCATATTTCACGAAGGTGGCCCTTTTCCTTTAATAATATTTTACCGCACAATGAAACAAGAGCTGCACATATGTAGTACATTGACCGCGTGGTGACCTCACCTTGACACTGAACTGACGTGCAGACAGCTGACCTGCCGCTACCAACACACCGCTCAGTCTCCAGGTCAGTAGCACACGGTCGAGTGTGGGACCACCGTCCAGGAGCTGGGGTTTTGTGGCTCCTCCTCTGGTCCACATTCGGCCTCGTACCGGTCAGTAGGGTAGAGGTGAACAACCGGGACTGGTAACAGGGCGCTATCAGATCTCACCGGCATGCGGCAGCCATGGACGACCGAAATGATGGTCGATTATATCAAGTTTATGGGATGGGTGAAGCTGGATGTGCTTTAACAAGGGATGATTTCCACGTTGACAATCAGAATCCGATTGTTGTGTTGTGCATTGTGCATCACATGCGTGTGCGTCCAGTGCAGATTTTTTTTTTCTCTCTCTCTCTCTCTCTCTCTCTCTCTCTCTCTCTCTCTCTCTCTCTCTCTCTCTCTCTCTCTCTCTCTCTCTCTCTCTCTCTCTCTCTATCTCTCTCTCTCGCTCTTTCACTCGCTCTCTTCGCCCTTACCTAAATAAAGCACACAGGTCGGAGCACTGTCGCAAATACTGCATCTCGTCTTCGCGCTCGGCAGCTGATTCCTGCATTGAACTTGTGTCATGGTGCACGGTGGACGGCGGTGATGGTTCGATGACCTCTACCGCTTTCGCCATTCCTGTTGCAGCACAGGCAAGTGGTCCATGCCGCTGGGTCTGGCGAATTTGGTTGCCAATTATCTACTCTGTCGAGTCGCGATTTCCAGCCCATCACGGCCTCCACTGAGCCACAATCGTTAGAGGCTGTCTCTGTCTGGCAATGGCCAATGTGAGCCTGCACCAACTAAACCGGTCTCAGATCAACGCCGAATCTGACTTCAATCTTGCCTCTGCGTCTGCACAGTGAACAATGATGTTTTGTTTTGGTGTACTGACGAGAATATGCAAACCAACCTTGCACAGCGCATGCATACAATTTGATTTTGTTTAACAATTTGTTCGAATTTGAGTTATGGGGATGTAACGCTACCGTCTAGGCGTTAAGCACAAGTTAAGAAAGCGACAACCGGTGACCTCGTTCGAGGTCACTGATCAAAAGCGCTAAGGCCGGGTGCAATTTCGCGAAAGAAACGTCGTACGATATCGGCCCCAACTCGTTTATCGTGCTCCAACTGCCAACACATCAAGTGGTTAACATATTGTGCTCGGAAAGGGCAATGAGAAGTGGAAAGCGCCCATCTGTCGCAGCGAATGTCACGATTTGTGTGTTAGGCTTGCGATAGTCTTACTCGTTTCCCAATTAAACGTATTTCTCACCAGCTCAGGGAACTGGCCCATGCTTTTTTATGTATTTGTGCGGGCCATTGTGCCTTCAGAATTTGTCTATATTCACGGAACTTCTGTGTCAATGTCTACTGATCAAAGATGAAATTCCCAGACCAGACCAGTGCTTTTTGCGATACCTAACTAATTTTCGGACCTGCGATAACGATAAAACGATAAAACAGGTTTGGGGTAACGATAAACGATAAACGATATAAAAAAATCAAAAAATAACAGCGATAGCGATAAAACGATAACGATATTTGTTTTTAACAGCTCGATAACGAAACAATAGACGATAAAACGATAACGACGCAACGAGCACGTTCTTATTTCGGGAGTAGCCAAAGACGGAAACCTGAGCCAAGAATTGGCGTAGCTTTTTAAGCTGAGTTTGACTTTCTGGAGCAAGTTCATTTATGTTCACTCCCCCAGATATGCGGGAGTGGACATAGGCGGCGGAACGGGGAGGGCACCGGGGCACCGTGCCCCCCTTTGATTTGGGCATTTTTAACATTAGCCCTATGGGCGTTGCATGGAAAGAATGGGACCAAAAGTCGTCAGTGCCCCCCCCCCCCTTAATTGAAGGTGTTCCGCCGATACTGGGAGTGGACTTCCCTGTGGCTGACCTCTGCCCGGTCCGCCGCGCAAATTTATACCACCCGTCGGCCGTCTGACAGGTCTGTACACTTAGCAGATGGCAACAGGTTGTGCACACCTACTGTCGCGCAGCATACGCTGTCGATCGTCTTCCATTTTTCCATCATCCCGTTTTACATTTTATCGTTTATCGTTCATAATTTTTGTAACTTGCGATAAGTGGATGAGCGATAATTTTGAAAATTTAGCAGTACCTACCTAAACGACAACGATAACCGATTTACTTAACAGCTATAATTATCGTTTATCGTTTATCGCTCATCCTATCGCATGCGGAAACCGCTGCCCCTGTCCACTGGTGTTACGGTACCTAATGCGAGAGCAAGAAAGAGTGTAGTGAGTAGTCACACTCACGACTACGAGTATATGTAGAGTACCTAACTTGGAGTCATCAAGTTTGGACAGCTTTTTACTGTTCTTAGGACCTTGTTACTGGTAAAGTCAAGTCAGACTGCTCAGGCAACTGGCAAGCCCAGAAGCAGGCCACATCAAGCCTCATAACAGCCACCTAACTGAGTTGCCTGTTGGCATTGATTTGATATTGATATCCTGTTGTTTGGAATTGACGACAAATGACGTCATCATACCGACTTATTTTGTATTTAGCATATGCTTACTTTAGTCCCATCCTTGATTGACAATCTTATACAATTGTGGTGCGTCATTTCACCGAGTGTCTTTTTTATTTTATCAAGATTTTATTTTATGGGCCTGTTCCAGCGCCTCCAGAAACCTCCAGAAAGCTCCAGAAAGCTCTAGAATCCTCCAGAGAGCGTTCCAGCGCCTCCAGAAAGCTCCAGAAAGCTCTCGCCAAAGCTCCAGAAACCTCCAGTAGCCTCCAGAGAGTTGAGAGGTCCAAATTTCTCTGGAGGCTCTGGTCTACAATTATGGTGCACATGTGACAATCACGAATGTAAACAAAGGACATTTGACTGATTATTTTACAACTTGAATGTAAAGAAAATTACATTGCTATAATTTTATTTATCTTTTTAACTAAAATTGAAAACAAATTTTGCGTTTCAAGAGAGAACAATCGTCATTCTTTTGGTATCTATGACGCCAATCTCCAGAAATCTCCAGATTGCGTTCCAGCGCCTCCAGTAAAACCTCTGGTAGAGCCTCCAGTCAAGAATTTCTTCTGGAGGCGCTGGAACAGCATATTTACGTCTGGACAACGAGTTGCGTTGGAGAGGCCGGAAATAGTGGCGATTTCTGGACCGCAAGAATGGACCGTCATTGGAATGATTCTTTTTCAAACCGTGCACTGTTTTTAGCCGGAATTTAATAGTTACTACAAAATATTTTTGTCATTACATTTGGCTAAGAATGAATGCCATCAGGGAAGGTTTTACTGCCGCTGCATTTTGTCCAGAAACATATAGTGCTGTTATATTGCAGTTTTTGCGCTTTTGTTACAAAATATGAAGCGAACATGCATCAGGCTCTCGTCCATCCACTAAGAAGTTATTAAATATTTTGTTTTGTGTATTCCAAGAGGAGAGGAAACTATTTTATTTGTGCCTTCATTGAGAATTGAAGATCGATCATTAAATTTTCAAGGCAGTTAATCAATCAAACCAAGCATTTAGTCATTCTCGTATAGCAGTGGCTATAAGAAGAAAAGGTTGATAAATACTGAAGTTCAGTCATCTTACTTCAACTTGGCAGCAAGATCCCAGAGGATAAAGGATATAAAAAGTATACCTATCCTGTAAATCAAAGCATTTTGGTGCCTGCAAAGGCTTGCGTTATTTGTGGTGTGCTCGCGGAGTGAGGCTTTGGGCGTTTTTGTTGTGTTTATGTGGAGATTGAATATAACTGTGACCCTGTGTTTGTTTGTGTATTTACAGGGGCGCGGGAACTACTTTCCGACTGGGGGGGCACACCATAATAGAGATTAACCTAGGGTACCCCCAAATCTAGTTTTCTCACCGGTTTTAGGCCACTTATTTTTCACCCCTCGGCTTTTTCAACAAAAAAAAGAAAACATTTGCAAAAAAAGTGTGGTATTCCGTCTCAAAGCTGTGGGGGCACCGCCCCCACGGCCCCAGAGTTGGGGGGGCAAGCTGCCCCCACTGCCCCCCGGCTCCCGCGCCTATGTGTATTTACTACAGTCAAACATCACATTCACATAAAATACTCACCTAGCTCATAGGTGTACCCTGCAGAATTTGTACTTGTTGATGTCTGGAGCATGAACAAAGCACTAAAGTATCTCAATTATCATTTCCCACATTTTCTGAGCATCTAACATGGCAATACAGCAGTGCAGAGCAGCTTCAGAGAAGAAACACTTTCAATGCACAGACTGACACCAGCCACCCAATGAGCCAGTTCCTCATTTGGCTGTTTCCATGGATGCGGCTTGGCAAAGGTGAGCTAACTTGGCAACGGCTTGACGCGAGCTGTTTTTAAGTTGTTAGCAGGTAAGATTGAGTCATGGTGAGTATCTATCATATAACTGGGTGCTTCTGCTATGAGTAGATTGCAAATATGTGTGATGATTGAGGTTAGGTTAGGTTAGTCAGGGCCCTGTTTCACCAGTGATAGCAGCACGCTGCTTATACACGTGTCAAATTGGGTTTCCATGGAAACATCAACAGGCCCATTGCTCCAACACTACCACAAGTGTGACGTCAGTTCGTGCAATTGGATAGCAGCGTGGTAGCAGCATCCCGTGAAACACCGCCCTGGTCACATTTTTTATGGACACCTGGCAAATTAACTAAAAACTAGCATAACCTAATCTAACCTGACCAAACTAAACCTACACAACTACTAACTATAGGCACTAAGCACCTAAGTTCTTGTGCCTACATCTCATACCAACTCAAAATAAAGTTCCTTGCTGGAAGATAACCCTCCAGTACATTTTATAACATCCCTGTGAAGAAGACTAATACTTCTAAATCCTGAGTCACACTTCTGGCCATCCACAGAAAGAAGCGCTGAGAGCTTTGCTATTGTATATTGGACCAAAGATCATTGTCACGAATGACTATTAACACGTATTATATGATCATATCGTTGCATGGCTTGTCACATTCACAATTTTACTGAAATCCTTTTTCAAGAAATGCAAAGTTTCATTTGCCAGACACTTGAGTAATGCACATTACCATCTGCATAGCAAAGTAAAGCTGCCTGAGTTCGCTCATTCTAGATTTTTTCACTTCATAGTCAGCGCTTCATAGTTATAATCTTGCTGTTATAAGTTATAATTAATTATTCATCCCAATACATCAATAGACAATATGCAATCATCATCAGCAAACATTTTCTGGCTTGATACTGCTCGGCGTACTCTTCAGTATTGATCTCCTGCAATAATATGGCTTGTTTTTAGCCAATAAGCTCTTTTAATTTTACTTTTATTGCTGATAAGTGAGCCAGATCAACCTGCGTTTATCAACCAACATTTCATAACTTCAACTTGATCTTGCTCAGGACGATCAGGACCTCTCTTAGCCTCCTCCTGGATACTTGGGATTGTTTTCAGTCAACATGCTTCTTTAATATGCTATAAGTCAATCACAAGAGATTTAAGACATCCAACAAAACGTACACGAGTACACGAGTACGAAAACCTCCAGATGAACTCGAAAAAGGCCTTGGAACAGAGCCAAGTGGTGCTCCGTTTGTTTGTTTACAATAATAGTAGTACTGATGTATTGTTTTAGGACTCTAACGTTCGGCTTATAAAAATTGAAACATTTTTACAAAATCTGTAAGGCAAGTAATATTTCTCTGAAAGAACTAAAATATTCAAAAGCCAAACACTATGAAATACAGGAATCGGAGCGAAAAAGTAACCCAAAAAACCAGCCTAATCACCGACTCCTAAAACTGCGACAAAATCAGCACTTTTCCCCGCAACTCGTTGTCCAGACGTAAATATGCGCTGGAACAGGCCCTATTTTTTGTTTTGAATGACTAGTGAATGACTAGTGAATTTGAATGACTAGTGACTAGAGTAGTAAAGTAATCTTGAGTGAATAGGTGCGTATTTTTTCAGTACCATTATTATTCTGTTTAAATTGTTCCTTTTTTTTGTTTTGTAAGGAGACGATCAGGTCAAGGTGGTCGATGTTTTTTAATTTCAGGGGTTGTGGGCTGGTCATTTATTTTTGATGTCTCATTGACTATGGACAATTATTTATTGTGACTAAATTCAATTTCAAGGTAGGTTAGTTAAATATTCATTTTTTATAATCGTCAAGCAGGTGTTACACATTTTTTGCAACCAAGAAGAGGTGCTAAACCCAGAGATTGAGATGCTTTCTAATCAAACCAAACCAAACCAAACCTAACCAAACCTGACTTAACCTTACCTTGACCTATAACCTACAACCTAAAACCTACCACCTGAAACGTATAACCTACAGCCTAACCTACAACACCTCTCCTTGGTTGTTAAAAACAAGTGTGACGCCTGCTTACCTACTACGGGCTACCACTGTTTTGTTATTTATTTCTTGCTCATTAATTTTTCTTTGTTGCAAGTGTTCTCTCTTCTTTACAATGCCCAAATATATTTCTCTTTTTGCCATTTCAGCTATTGCAAGTTTAAGAACTTGAAATGTTCAGCTCATTCAGGGACAGATTGAAAGCAGTCCAAAATGATGTAATTCTTGGGTAAGTACCTACTTGTATATCTTCTTTCATATGTTTGTAAATCACCTATATAGATTTATTATACATTTTTCAATTTATGAATTTAGGCTTTTGAAATCATGTGTAAATTCTGACATAACCTGATCTAGCCTTACACTAAATGAAATTATTATTTTTTGTCCAAATTTATTTTCACAAGGGCAGAGCCCCCGCTAAGTGAAGCTTGTTGTATTGGTCCTGCCCGCTGCCCTCTGAGGCTGATCACGCAATTCCCGGTCATTGTCAAAATTTAGGCAAACACCTATACCCTTAACCCTCACCCGCACATGGGGGGGTGGTTGCCACCCCCCCAGGCAGTCTTTCTGCTCTGCACTCCACATTTTTAAAGCTAGAAGGCTGATTTTTCGTATAGCTGCTCGTCTATCCTTTCTTGATGTCCACTGAAAATTTCAAGTTTCTGTGATTTTTGGTTTCGGAGATATGACCTTGTTTTTCAGGTCATGTCATGACCCAAATGGCCAATTCTCAACATCTTGCGTTTGCCATGGGCCTTGTGAGCTTTTGACACCCTGATTTCGGCCTTTTTTGCCAGTCTTACCTCCCACCTATCATGGAACATGTTGTTCGACGATGTACAGGGGTCAAGGTCAGGGTCAAGGTCAACCTAGGTCATCTAAGATAATTGTGTTTTAGGCAAGCTGAATTTACTTTTTGTGAAGTTTTTTGACTGCATTTTTGGTAAAAGCTTCTCAGATCATGATTTCATGTGATATGGACCCAAGAACAATCGGTGCACACATCAGTATACACACAGACACACACAGACATACAAACACATATGATTGACCTTGACCTAACTTGACCTGAATGACCTCAGCAGCAAAATTCTGGTCGGATAGTGTGACAAAGAGGTTCTAGCTGGCTTGGCACCAGAAAACAGCATCGTCATCGGTATTTGATAAGCAGCGCACTTGATATCCAACGGTGACCCAAAACAGCAACATTTTTTAGTTTGACCTGACCTGGAAGGTCAATGACTGACCTGAGAAGGTAAAACTGGGTATCATTGGATTCGTCTCTTCCCAAAGAATCTTTTTGGTCTTTACTGCTAAGCTCTATCTCCAACAGGAACGAAATGGCGCGGGGGGGTGGCAACCACCCCCCCCCCCCATGTGCGTTCTAGGATGGGAAAATGGCATGTGCGGGCGAGGGTTAAGTCTGTAAACACCTATTCTCACAATTTCTCAGAGCCTTATATCAGCAGAGAGCTGAAAGCTTGTGTATCTGACATTTGAAAGAAGTGAGATCTTGTGGCCCCATCCAAATATTTAGGTCAGGCTGCTTACTGACCTATAAAATCACAAGTAAACTGTCATCTATGTAGTGCTAAAATGTCTCCACTCAGTGCCAGGCAATCTTTTGCAACTAGATCAAACCTGCATGTTGTAAGTGCATTGTCACAACACAACTTCATAGAATCAGATGGTCAGTCTTGGCCTGACCTTGATCTTAGGTCATTACACTTATTTGACCTTTCCCACTCAAGGACCTGACACATCTGAGAATGATGAACACAAATTTACTAAAATAAGAAATATGTGACCGTTGTTGGCAGAGCTATCCACAAAAACTTTTAGGTATCTTGGGGCGTTTCATTCGACCTCACAGCCAAGAGCTGCCCTGAAATATTAAACTTAGGTATCTACCTACCATGCCTGCCAGCTGCTGTGTCTCATGTAATGGGCACAGACAGTTTTTTGTAGAGCTCTAGCTCGGTTGGGGGCGAAGTGGTTGAGGGGTTCCTTGAGGCTTGAAGTCCCCCTTTGAGTGGGGGACTTCAACGAAAAGTTAAACTCTTATTGTTACAATAAGTTACTGTTGAATTGTCAGCAGACACAAAGTGTGCACTGGTAGGTCTATCGGGTTCATCTGGAGAACGGAGCCATTTTGTTCAACCAAATTACATGGCGTCAAACTGGGTGACATTTGGCTTAAGAAAAGATAATATTTAGCAACCAATGTGAGCACATAATGCTTGACCTAAGAGAAACGAATTTTGCTTGGCCTGCACTTATTAATATATTTAATTCAGTTGAAATTATCGGTGAAGATACACAGGAAAAGTGGGCAGGCTGCTCTGTGGAGTCATTCGCAACATTTGCTGCTTTGTGTGGCTGCCAGGTCTGTAATCCTTCACTCAGTCCTTTACACAATATTGCTACAAAGCCTGCATTGACATTACACGTTATCTGTTTGAGGCATTTCACTGACACATTTTTGGCCGTTTTGCGGCAGACTGCAGCGCCTGACGGCCGCGGAGCCCCAGCGGACCGGCTCTCCAACTGCCGACGATGATGTCGCAGCTGTGGCGGGAGCTCGGCTACTGTCCCTGTACCAGGACCAGTGGAGCCAGATGCACACCAACTCGGAGCGCGCCGTCACGGCCGTGGATGTGAGTTTGTGTCAGAAAGATCACAGCTAAAATGCGACACATTGGAAAAAAATACAGATCGTTGAAAGTTTTTATTTGATGATCAATAAAAAAGCAAAATAAGATTTTTTCGGCCATTACCCAATGTCATGGCTCCTTGAAGAATGTGGGTAGTGTGATGTTTCATGTCACTTTTGCTAATATAGGTATTTAATGTTTCTGGGGAAGAATTACCTCAATGCTGGGTGTTACCTACTTCCTCAGTATCAGCAACCCACACTATCTGACAGCCGTTTTCGCTCCCCCTGCACCCCGCAGAAGTTGAACACGCACGTTGTCGCGGTGCGCCGCCGGTGTCAGACGGAGCACGCTGGTATGGTGGAGCTGCACCGGCGACTCACTGCCCTACCGGAGATGGCCGCCAAGGTGCACGGCATGCTGGCCACCGTCGGTGAGTCCGACCGAGGGTGACCTGGGACTCGTTGAGGGTGTGGTCGTCATTGCCATTAGCGTAGAAAATATTAGTTCGATAGTGATGAGTTGGTTTGACAGGGCTCACCAGCACCGACTGAGGTTGTATCGAATATTATGTTGAAGACTATCATCTATGAATATCTAACACTTCACCAAAATATTTCTACTTTAGTGTAGCAAATCAATCTATCGTCCGCGAATGACCTCACCCTACCTTTTCTTCCCCCATGGCCTCGTCCAGCGTCTCTACAGGCCGAGTTCGCCGAGGCGGAGACGCAGCTGGCGGAGCTGGAGCACCAGGCTGCAATGGAGCGCCTCGAGGACAGGAAGATGCGCGAGCGAGCCAAGCTGGAGGCGTACCGACGCGCGCGGCAACGCCAGCTGGACGAACTGAAGAGTGGGTGTCGTAATTTACTAGAGTATCAAATTGGATCAAGCTTTGATGCCTAATGCAATGACGTGAGACATGATAAATTCTTATGCAGTATGATCATGACCTGTTTATTATGACTGGGTTTGATTCATTCTTTGACAAACATGAGGTATGTCACATACTCATTATGTGGCAGCATTTGTGTTTTCCTCTGCTTACAGTGATATCTATACAATCACCATTTGTCCTCGTCTGCAGTTTCGGTGGCCCAGGAGCACCTGGACCGGGTCTCTGAGCTGGAGCGTCGTCGCCGCTCCGAGCAGGCCGAGCGCTACTCCACGTTTGACCAGCTGGCGCACCAGGAGCTGGAACACTTCAGGAGACACCACTCACTGGATGGTGAGGAAAGAATGCTGCTTCTGAACCACGAGCTACGTTACACATGTAGAACCACGGGCAACTATGTAGAACAATCACTAATTAAATACTGCGTTGTTACTGCTGACATATCACTTTTGCTTACTTCGAACAACATACTTTCTTTTCTTTGGGGTTTGTCTATGGTATATGGCTTTCGTACCGATCGTGAATTCGCGTTACTGACTCCCCCTGGTGGCGACTGCCCGGCAGTGGTGCGGCCAGTCTCGGGCCGCCCCGCTCAGCAACTATCTCTGGAAGACGTGGACATCAGCCGGGAGGCCGATGCCGCCGCGCTCGCCGAGTTTTTAGCCGACACCGAGCTTGATCCCGAGGACCCGGCCGCAGAGCTCGACTCGAATCCAGAGGATCCGGCCAGAGACATCGACTCGAACCCCGAGGATCCCGCCGGGGAGGAGGAGCCCAGCGCGGTGAACCCAGCCGGAGACATAGATTACAGTCCAGAAGATCCTGCCATGAACATTTACCTGAGTCCGAGGAAGTCTTCGATTAGATCAGGCAGAACGAAAGAGGGGCGGACGGAGGCGGAGGAATCTGCGTCTTCAGACACCACCGCGGGAGACACGTTGTAGTCGGGATGGTGACAGCGTGTAGCGCATAATCTTCTGTATCGTAACATTCAGGGAAACAACATAATAGATATGCAAGGCAATAGCTTGATTTGATAGCTGGCTTGTGCCACAGACCTCCAGCTGGGCAGTCTCTAAAAGTGGCAGCGGGAGCGTCCCGGAGCTCGGGTTCAGTATCGACGCGAGGGCCAGTGTGCTTTGAATATGGTGTTGCTCTGTGATGCTTGCCGTGATACTGTGATGGGTTGGAGACGGAAATATTGTTATTTCACTGGTGAAACTAGCTAGGGGAAAGCCGTGCATGGAGCAGAAGTGTTCGTTGCCTAGGCTCGTGCCTGTCAAACATACAGGATGTAGACGTCTTCCATAAGGCGTGAGTGACTTGCATGCATTCTAGTCTAATGAAATGCCTAGCAGCGTGGCTGCGGTATTTCCATCTAAATACGTAGGTACTTAGTGCTTGCTTTGACGCATTCCACTGTAGCGTGTATGGCAGTGCCATTATCAGTGCTTGTATTGAATTAGCATCTATTGTGCAGTATCAAGGAATATATTTTATTACGCTTATTTATAATTCAGTGAGGGAGTTGACGTGCTTGATTAAAATTTCATAAAAAATGCGGGCTTTCCTACTTTTATTGCTTGACGAGTCAGTAAATGTCGCCTGGGGGTGGCTGTTACACGTTGATTTCCAAGTCTGAGCCTGACGCTTGGCTCGGTGAGTTCTGCGACAGAGTGAACCGGTTTCGGGTTTGTAGCAGAGCTGAGGGCGGATAACTTTTCAATCCGTTTGGTTTGCTCCTTCCACTTGAATGTTGTTTCCACAGGAAATGGTTCGAAAATACTTTTGAAATTGTTGCTGATGTTTGGGTCATGGGTGAGTATAAACACGCGACGCAACTGGGCACATTGTGCCCGACTGCTCTACCGATGTTTAGTAAGCATAGAAACAAAATAAAGGCTATAAGTATGTGATTGCTCATTTTTATGTAGGGTATTAGATGCTTTACAAGACCTCTATTCCAAATAATGCTAAATAAATATATATGAGTCAGAATGAACGGATAGACGGTACATACCCATTGCCCGTAGGACACAATGCGAACAAAACTGCAATTGTAAGCCAATGACGTAATTTCAGCTCTTTGCGCAGCTAAAGTTTTTTTTCGGTTGTGGTTTATTCATAAGCGCAACCTTGAGTGGCTTGTGCTCCGTGTTGTCGGGTGATCGGAGTCGCAGGTATTTATGCTCCCAGTGGTTCCGGAAATTCTCTTGTGAAGCTAAGTAAATGTACGTGAAGGACCTGAACTGAAAGTGAAACGTTTCAATAATTTTCATCAGCGTTCATATGGTGCAAAATTCCGTGTTTTCTAAGTATGTCTTTGGTGAGGCGTATGTGGCGCAAAGTCGTATGTTGTTAATTCATTGTATTATATCATCAACTATATGTGTATTTTACAATTATACTGCTTAAGAATTTGTCATGTTTATTTTAGGATTTCTGCCCTGTCAGTAATTAGTAGCCAGACATGCCAGACTATAGATGGATTGTGGGTACCCTTTGCTACTAAACTGACACTGTCTCTACCAATTTTGTCTCCAGAGTCATGCTCAGTTATTCTGTGCCAACTGCCAGACTGGCAGTAGTTGTACCTACCCTGTGTGAAATTCTGAGTTTTGTAACTACAAATGCTGTGCTTACTGCTTAGGCATATTTTGAATGGCTGATTAGGGCATAATTGGCCTTATTATGGCATTCACGGTCAGGAAAGACTTCTTGGAGTGAGGCAGAGATCAGGGCAGCTTTTGTAGGAGCAAGTTCAAGGCATAAAAATATTGAAAGTTCTGCATTGTTTTTTTGCATCAGGTCAATTTCAAATTCTATTTAAAAGCACTTATGAGATTACATTAACTGTGAAAACTTTTGTATAGAAATGACCATTTAAATATTGCATGAAGTGGTGACATTTCTGTTAGCTACTATCAGCAATCTGGAGTACTTTTTTGGCATCAGGTTCTCTTGATACTTCCCAGACCAATCAGAAAAAGCTTGCCTGATATTCATGGGCTTACATTTTAGTGATGTGTCCCAATCTGGGTCCTGGGACTTGGGAGTCAAAGTGTTTCATCTACCTTGCAGCAATTTGTGCAGTTCCATTTCAGTCTAAGACCACATTGTAATGTAATTGGCCTAGTTTGTAAATAATTACCATTTATGAAAGTAGCCACTATTATTCCTGTCATATTATTCAATTTATGACTTATTTATTGACAGTGATGCAGGGGAAAAGGTTTGCTGGTGGGTCCTCACTCCCACTTGGAGCCATCACCATGGTAACATGGGGCAGTTTAGGTCCCCAACTGTGTCGTCATCATCAAATGTGGCAATTGGTTTAACATGAACACTGTTTTGTTTAAAAGGCATTGTTGATGAAGGTGTATTCTATTGTAAAATTGTCTTAGTCTTATCACAGTAACTGACATAAATGTTTGTTCAGGTAGGATATCGATGTGTGGGATTTTCACCCTATACATGATACATTTAAGACATCATCTAAGCTGCCTAGAGGTCAACTGCCCCATTTGGGCAGGATTCTCTTATTCTGGCTGTCCCAAACACCTCATCAAGCTATCTGCCACATTTTTTAGATAGGGTTCTGTGGACTGTGGTAGTGCCACGATTTTGACCTGCTGGTGCTACCTAGCTTCTCATTGCTAAAAAGTTATGTGGATTGTGTGATGTGTTGCTCGCCATTAAGTGGCTGAGAGATTCTAACAAAGACTTTCATGTTTGGTAGATATGGCAGTCTGTATATAACATGGCAGTCATATAACAACACTGTGTTGTTATATGAATCAGGCACAAAACATTGAAGACGAAAAACGGCAGCTGTTGTCAGCTCATTTGTAGAGAATCAGAAGCTTGTAGGTACCTACTCAAGCTTGGCTTGTGCTATGATTATTAAATGTGGATTTTTTTCATTTACATTAGACCAAGGCCACATTAGATCATACCTATTTTAGAGTTCATTTTGCTAGGTTGCTACAATTTCTTTTTAACATTGAATTGTATTGAATTGAAATAAGTGTTTCATATATTTCAATTTTGAGCCTAATCAGAATTAGCTATGCATAATCAGGACTATTTTGCAACTAGTTTTGCTCATGAATACTCAGAATGACCAGTGTAATTAAATAAAGTTCATTTAACATGTTGAATGTTATACCTGTATTGAGCGTATATGTGGTTGTGTCATTGGTAAAATATCAAGAAAATGGAAGGATACCAATCATTTCTACATATTTGAATGTTTTGCCTGGACAAGTGTTTGCAGTCAATCAGAAGAAAACTAGGAATGCAACCAACTCGGCCACGTGGTGTTCCTTCGAGTACCGCCGGCGGTCGGAGAAAGTCAGTGTTCGCAGAAGCCTATAATCCCGAGGATGATGACGATGACGATACCCAAAAGGTGATGCACCCCAAGTCCGACATCCAGCGGGCGCGGCTGGCAGCGGCAGTCAAAAACATCTTCCTGTTTCGCTCACTGGACGTGTTCCAGATGCAGGAAGTGCTGGACGCGATGTTTGAGCGGAAGGTGACGCCCGGAGAAAGTGTCATCGAACAGGGCGACGATGGCGACAACTTTTACGTCATCGAGAGTGGTCAGTACAGCATTTACGTGCAGCCCGACGGCGCGGCGGCTCCCAAGAAGGTCGGCGGCTACGATTCGAGCGGCAGTTTCGGGGAGCTGGCACTGATGTATAACATGCCCCGGGCTGCCACTATCCAGGCTGACACAAATGGTTCGCTGTGGGCGATGGACCGACAAACTTTCAGGCGAATCATACTCAAAAACGCCTTCAAGAAGCGAAAAATGTACGAGAAGCTGCTAGAATCGGTACCAATGCTGAAAACACTTGAGCCGTACGAGCGGATGAACTTGGCCGACGCTCTGGTACCCCAGACGTTCAACAACGGTGAGATCATCATCGAGCAGGGCGACGATGCCGACGGCATGTACTTCGTCGAGGAGGGTACCGTGCGCATCATGCGCGCCGAGCACAACCAGGAGGAGCGTCAGGTGAGCACAGTGACCAAAGGCGGCTACCTGGGTGAGCTGGCTCTGCTGACCAACCGGCCGCGCGCCGCCTCCGCTTACGCTGTCGGAGAAGTGCGGCTCGCCTTCCTCGACCGCGAGGCGTTCGAGCGGCTGCTCGGACCCTGCATGGACGTGATGAAGCGAGAGATGCAACAGTACGAGCAGGAGCTGCGGAAGGTGTTCGGGACGGATGTCCACATCGATGATCTTAAATAGCTCCCCTATCGCTGGGGACTGGAGCAGAAGATCAATAAGAGAGCGAATCCCAGGCGGCGTCAGCCACTGCTCGAGGGCCCAGCACGTGATCTTTGACGAGCGAACTGAGAGGGCCAAGCTACATACATGTTCGTTTATTATGAACGTCATTTACTTGAGCCGATGACTTCTGAACTCGACTCTGCAGTGGCTCGTAGAAACGCTGCCCCGGCAGAAGCAATAGCGTCAAGAGCGCGGCTGAGCAGTTCTGAACGATATTACTTTGACGGCGCGACCACCGAACAGCTTCATACCACTGTGTATTTGAGGCGCATTTACCATAATAAATTTGTTTTTCATTCAATACATTTGTCTTGGAGCGCCAGCGTGCACTGCACAAGACACGCAAACAAATGTATGGTTTGTCAGCAGCGCTTAACTGATTTTTTTTCTGTCGCAGTGCCCTGCAAAGACAATCGCCAGTTTTTGGGCCAGTTGTTGTTTGACGTCGCTTCCCCTAAGATTGGGTGCGCTATATGCGCCAACAGTTGGCTTGTGGCGTACCAGTCATAGCCAGTTGCTGGGCTGCCGCTGCCCGCTGGCCAGCTGCCGCTATGCAGGAAATCTGCTGCTGGTTTGATAATGATGAAGGGCAGTCACATCCCAAGAGCAGTTTGCAGCATGTCTGTCACCCATTACTTACATCCTGCTCATGTTCCTATTCAGCTGCACCAGATGAAGACGTCCTGCAGTCATGCCTTCTGATCCTGGCTCGCCCAAGTCCCATTTCCCGCTCCTGGGTGCCAGGGACCGAGCATCGCTGGCCCATCCTGTCTCCTGGAGAGATCCCGTCAGGTACTTTTCAGCAGCACGGGACTTTGGGTACGGGCGCAGAAGGGCTGGTGAAAACAATTTCATTTTGTCTAAATGCCAGTGCTTTTTTTCGGCTACTTTGTGGTTGCTCTAAAGCACATTGCCTTGCAAAGCTGACCCTTTTCTCAAGGGACCTATTTGGAAGTAAAATACCCAAGTATGTATTTTAAACATGGAGAGGAATTTATACAAGCTTGGCTGAGTAGATTGTTAGAAGTTGCATGATATCGACATGCTTTGAAAGGAAAGCGTGCAAATTTAATAAGTCATGCACGGGTCGATCATCATACACCATACTGAGTGAGTTGTCTCGTTTGTTTCAGGGATCCATCAGTCACCATGGACGCCTACCAGAACGGCGAGGGGGCCAAGGAAGCCGAGTTCCAGCGCATCGCACAGAACATATCAACCAACATCCAGAAAATCTCACAAAATGGTATGTTTTTCATATTTTATTAGAATTAGGTTAATTTCCTAATTCATTAGCCAACTTATTAAACACAACAGTGTCTCTTTGCAGTGCTGCCCTTTTCTGGCTGTGCAGCTATCTTTCGTGCGCGGTATTGTGCGTAATATTTCCGATGGTGTACCATTGTGTTGCATCATCTTGAATACTGCGTAACGTCATTTCTGCGTGTTCGGCAGTGTCGTCGATGCAGCGGATGGTGCGTCAGCTGGGGACGCCGCAGGACACGGCCGACCTGCGCGCTCAGCTGTGAGTACCCACGCACCGCGCGGCCTCTGACGTCACCCAGACGGGCCACCTGGGGCGGTGACGTCACACCCACCCGATAGTGCGGTCACACTGATTGAGACGGTGGGGTGGGACGGCGGAGACGCTGAAATAAGCAACAAAATTCTTAGGGGTGGAGTAAAGGGTGGCTGAATGAAACGGGAAAATCGTAAAAGAAAAAACTAAATAGAGTAAATAGGCATATACCGAGATTCGCTGGAACAAAATGATGACTATGACATGATAATGAGACGATGTTTGGGTGGGAGGGGGGGGGGGGGGGGTTGGATGCAAACAATATCTAATGAAGGATGAAAAGGCCTGCGTTCATTACTCATACCTATGCTGATTGGATATTTTATGGGCAAGTGTATTGTTTCTCGCTACCTGCAGTAAGTGCATATCCCGTGCTCAACCGTGTCACGCTACTTAATTTGGGGAAAAATTGGTCTTAGTATCAGCATCCCCTATTCCCCAGTTGTTGTTCTGCCCGGCATTGTTAAGTGGTATTCTAACTCCCTACCACCTCTTGTACCGACAGCCACCAGATCCAGCACTACACCAACCAGCTGGCCAAGGACACGCACCGCAGCCGCAAGGACCTGGACCTGCTGCCGGCGCCGCTGTCGCCGTCCACACAGCGTCAGTGGAAGCTGCAGCGAGAGCGGCTCACCAACGACTTCACCACGGCGCTGAGCAGCTTCCAGAACGTGCAGCGCCAGGCGGCAGAGCAGGAGCGCGAGGAGGTGAAGCGCGCGCGTGCCGAGAGCGGCACCGGCTTCTTCACAGAGTCGGAGGGTGGCCGGCACGACCCGCTGGTCCAGCTGGGCGGCCACCAGAGCCAGACGCAGGCGGTGATGGAGGAGGAGGAGCGGATGCAGGAGCTCCGCGAGCGGGAGACGGCCGTCCGACAGCTGGAGGTGAGAGCGGCGCGACGGGGGGAGTCTGGTGAGGGAGCTGGGGGAGAGTTTGTGTGGACATGGCGACACCGGTTACATGACGGATGATGTACTGAATGTTTTTACTGTCGTGTTTTGGGGTTGTTATGTGGAACTTGAACTTTTGCTGTGAAATGTAGAATTGTGTTCAGCAACCATTCAGTGTTCATCTGATGGGTTTTTACATGAGCATTCTTAATGTCCCTAAATGCTGAGTCTGACCGCTCTTCTATCTCGCATCATCGCAGTCGGACATCATGGACGTAAACCAGATCTTCAAGGACCTGGCCACCATGGTGCACGAGCAGGGCGAGGTCATTGACTCGATCGAGGCTAATGTGGAGAGTACCCACATGAACGTGGGCCAGGGCGTGCAGCAGCTGGCCAAGGCCTCCGACTACCAGGTGAGTGGACGGCCGCCTCGGTGTCTGCCCCTCCCGATCTTCCGTCTCTTGTGCTCTCTTTAGTACCTCGGTGGCCAGTTAATAAATTTATGTGCTCACTGCTCAAAACGGTGTGGGTAACTGGTAAGACGTTGGATGGATTCACGAGGGTGGCTATAAACTCGCGAAAATTTACTTGGGGTGTAAACTTATGCGGCAACCAAGATAAGATGGGTTCCTCCGTTCATGTTGTCAGTGTTGTATCTGTGGATGTTTAGACCTGTCGTAGCTCTGAGCACCAGCGTAGCTAACTCCGTACACTGCCGCTGTTCCTCTTAGATACCAGTAGGTATGAATGTCCATTGTGTTAGCGGTTAATAGTTCCGGCTCCTTTTTAACTGGTATTTTTTATTCAGTTCAGTCATGGTATCTCGTTTGTTTTAGATGTATACCAATGAGTTTCCCTTCTATTGAAGAGCTCTTCCGTTCTGATCACCCCGCAATACTTATTTCATTCTGTTGGACATTTTGTTCTAGCCTTTTCCCATCCTTAGACGGTCATGTGTTCATAGCTTAGAATTCGATCAATGCCACCGGTCCTTTTATTTTGTATTATTTCGCCTTTCTATTCCATTTGCAATTGCGCCGTGAAATCATGAGCCATTTAGTTGCCGCAAATAGGATGTGCCATCCGAAGTTCCCACGAATCTACGAACGCGTCGGCTTATTTACGACTTGTTTGAATCTATTCTTACTATTTTTAACGCCGATTTTTTTGCGATAACTCCATCTAAAGCACATCTACCACTTCATTTAGTCCGTGGACGGCCTCTCTTCGTTCGTAGGTTCGCGGCAGCGGCTCTACCCTTCCCCATGGACCCTCCGTCGGATGCATGGCTTGTTGACTCTCAATGGCCGGTATCTGTGCGGGCGTTGATCTGTTGTGACTGTGTGGGAAGAGGGCCTCCGAATGCCCTCCCCCGCCGGGGAGCCGCGCTGCCTCGGAATGATGTATGGATGGCCGTAGTCAGTGGGCAGCGCTGCTAGCTGTGTGTGAATCGGTGTTGCAGCTGTCGCAATCCTTCCTGTTTATATCCCATCCGACCGGCTTTGGTAGTTTTGGGTCCTGAACGGTTCATTTGTTTGTTTCAATCTTCCACACGATTTATTATGTGTTCAATATCTGTTCTGTTATTTGTTGGGATCATTTTATGAACTATGTTTTACAGGATATTTAAAGGTTATTATTATTGTTTTCTCTTAGGATTTATGTTTTTCTTAAACGTTAAGCAACTATCCAGCCTTCATCTTCAATTCATTGCTTTGGACTTGCATCATATCTTAGTTATTGCTATTTTGTTGTCACTTTAAGACTTGAACATCCGTACTGTCTATCGCGTAGATTCTTGATTTGATTTACCATGAGTTGCTATGTGCGACTTTCATCTCTGACATTGACTTTTCTTTCCTGCCGACGCATAGAACAAAGCTCGTAGGAAGAAGTTTTGCCTGTTTGTGTTCTTGGTGATCGTTCTCATCATTGTTATCTCCGTCATTGCCTACGAGTCGTCTTAAATCGGGTAAGTACAAAGTCCTACTTCCTAAAACAGCGGTATCTCTGTGTGCCAATGTGCAGTTTTTCATTTTGTTGGATAATTTGGTAACGTTTGCTTTCAGCGCTTGCGACAGTATAGTTACTTAGTTGTCTAGTTCGAAAGGAACCAGTTTCACAGCCGCATTTTAACTGCGCTTAGCTGTTTTGAACGATAGCAGCTGTCACTTCCTAGATATATCTGCGGACTTTGGTCTATTTCTGTGCTATCCAGGGACGCGTTATCTTGGCACTATCTTGTTTATGAAAACAGCCCTTTTGGCATGCTCGGCTAGCTCAGGGGTCGGCAACCTCCGTTCCATAGCGGACCAGATCAGGCAGCGATTGTTGAGACATTCGTTCGGGCCGCTAACCGGTTTCTGCAAGCTTCATGAGATCCGCACCCAAAAAGGTTGCCAACCTCTGAGTTAGCCCAATATGCTCTTTATATTATCAGCTAAAATTAATTTAGCACGCTTTAACAGCAAGATGGATTCTGTCGCTACGTCATGTATAACGAACCTGAATTTCCTCATGCCAATGTCCTTCTCAACCATTAATTTTCTGCTTCTCAAATTTCAACCATGGCGATACTATTTGCTTATCGGCGTCATAGAAATGGGCCCAGTGACGTGTACAGTTGTTTTATTCATTATCCTCACTGTATGTGATTTCCACCACCATCTTCAAATAATCAAAGTGTCTCTCGCACCCTCTCGCTTTCCTGTCATCTCCGTCTCGTGTTTCCACTGACGCCTGTCGGACCGACAGAGCTGGACCCGCAAGCAGACGGTGACTCTGCTGGCCGTGTTCCTGTTCACGGCGCTCGTGATCGGCCTGATTCTGCGCGCCCGCTGGCGGCACTGAGCGCCCCGCCGCGCTCCGTGACGCCCCGTCACGTGACTCGCGTGACTGACGGCGTCACGCCCGGCCGACCGCCATCGGCAGCTGCCGCTAACCACAGTGGCGGCGGAAGATTGTAACGCACCAGCGGGCGCCCTGGCGAGGAAGAATCATTGCAGAAATTTACGTCGCCGGTGGACGGCGACCGGAGAGGTTTTCCGAGAGACAGAAGCCGCGTTAGCTGCCCTGTTTAGCGTTCTGGGCGGCAGTGACAGTGTGCTGGCGGCACACCCAGCCGCGCCAGTCGACGTCGTAGAGCTTGGTGTGGGGCGTGAGACCACGGACCCGACTAGTAGCCGTCGTGGCGCGATATGTTTACCCCTGTATCGTGGCCGGGTGGGCGCTGAGACAGAGCCCCGCGCGACTCCCGAGTGGATCCAGTAAGCCAAGGTAGCGCTCAGCCGCGGCGATCAATTGCGGGTGGGATGATCCGCGCTCGGAGGCGCCGATCGAACCGACCCCCGGCGGCTGGAGCGCTGGCTGCGTGTTGTGTATATCGCGGGACCGCGAGACAGCGGTGAGTAACGCTGCGGAATGTATTCGCTGTATATTCAGGCTGGTCACCTGCGGCCCTCCGCGACCGGCGGCTCTTGAGAACAAGTTAGGTTCGCTGTGATATCCGGCAAACGGCCGGGGACGGGCGCCGCCGCCGGAACGTTTGTGTTGCCGCTTCTCTGCAGCGAGCCCTATCCCTCCCTTATCTGGGTATTTTGGTTTACTGAGGTGTTATCTTGGTTCGGCTTGCACGCTCGGCAGCAGTTGATGCGGACATGAACTGAGCCCATGTTTATGGCGCCGTCTCATTTGCGTCTTTGGGGAGGACAGAACACAACTGTACGGGATTGCACGGTACGAATAATGACCGCGTGCATGGGGCCACTGGAGGTGCGGTAGGTGACACTGTGCGTCCAGATATATTCTATTTATTCATTGCCGTGTGTTGATTATATCTGCGTCGCGTTGTATTACATATATGCCTGTACCCACATACACACTCACTCGAGATGCATATGTTGATTGTACGCTAGCGCTCGCTGTTCTGTTTTAACCTACATTCGGTTTAGGCTTCCGAACAGCATTCGCGGTGAATTGTTGTCTAATAAACGATATAATTAGGTGATAAACTGATTGTTTGATGCTGATTTGGAGTGACTTGTCCACCAAGGTGGGCTGGTTTACTCAGCTCAGATCTAAACATCTGCTCAAAGTTTTCGTAAACCAGTGGCGCCACCTTGACCAACATTTTACCGACTCTGATTCACTGCAAGCCATTGTAATGCTCTATGAACCTGAGTCAATCTTATCCGAAACGTAGCACCGGTTTTATTGCACAATAGCCCTCGCATGTTGCTCTCAAGCGGATCTGGTATCAATGGTTCCTTCACAACGGACCCTCAGCCATGCCCATGTCACACCATTGCACCATTTAACAAACTGAAACCACAAAAATATATTTTCACGCACACGAATGTTTGCAGCCGTAAAACACAGAGTTGCGACTCGCAAAATATTACAACAGTACCATTGGACTCGAGGATATGCAACATGCGTATACAACGTCACCTCATAATAATTACACAGTGCTCATATCCGCTCTCAAGCGACCACATAATGATGCAAAACAGAATGATGTGTGCCATAAGCTGACGGTAGCTGTGAGACATACCTATTTAAAAGAAGGTAGCATAACAAAAAAAGGTCAAGGGGTGTGCCAGAGGCTCAAGCTCTGACTGAAAACAAAGCAATCACGTTTTCCAAAGTATTGGAAGGCTACAAGTTACAGCTAAGGCGCCTAATCTCATGATTGCTCCCTAGAATTTAAGCGTAGGTATGTTCCGAGCAAATAAATTTATACGTAACCTGCAAAAGCAAAAGCAACAATGCAAAGCGATTCCATCTCAGCGCATTTCCATGACTGTTTCAACAAAAATTTGTGGCAATTTTTTAGATTGAGGGATTGACCTGCTAAAAGTACTGTCCTCACAAAAAATGACGTGTTCCTTCATCACCTTGGGTTACGAATGCATGTCAAGACATGAAGTGTGCAATGAAATATAATTAGGTGTGCGACCCTGCATTTAGTCAATAAACAGGGCTATGCAGCCAGCTTTTGAAATGCTACGTATGACATTGAACGTATGAAACTGAAATGTTTGAAACGTAACCTTTCACATTTACCTTTTTGTATCTGACCTGTACCAATGCTGGCACAGCTTATCTACATAGGGATGACAAATCATAACGCTTCGCTCAAAACTAGGCTATACCTGCCCTATACCTTCTTGTCATAAATGACAAAAGGCATAACCTGCCACCAAAAAGCACCGCTTTCTTTTGGAGCTCCTAGCAAAGCACCTGAAACTAAACATTAAAAACGTCTGAACTCTAAAAGCATCCGACCAAGTGGGCACAATGCATGAAACGCCACAACGTTTACGTTCAATTTATAATTCACTGGTGATCGACCTCGTGAATTATCCCTAAACCATACCGATATATTTCGCAAGCATATCCACTGGGTGGGCGTTACGCGTATTTACACAAGCCTGAACGTCCAGCTTGTCGATTCCTCCCGCAAAGGAGGACCTACGTCAATGTCCAGTAAGATATTCGCTACACAACACGTATCGTCGGTTAACAAACGCTTACCAACAGGACTAGAATGACACCAGGGGCACCGGCGTGCGGTGCCCATCTAACAGCCTGCTCAGCTCGAACGGTCATCGACTTTGGTATCCACCGCGCTACACGAGCGCTCTAGTAAACAACCGCGGACGCGGATGTTGTTTCTACGGCCTCGCCGTGTGTCTAGACTGATAACAAAGAGAGCAGCTCGCGATGGTGGCGAGAACTTTCTACAAACACCGCCGGAATGGGCGCTGGGTTGAGACTAGCATCGGTGGCGCTGCTGCCGGCGTCATATACACGAGGTGTCATACACAAACACACACACACACGCCCAGTGTTTGGCATCGAGCATCCGCGTCCCCTCATACACGACCTTGTGAGAAACCCAGTGGGTATGTTTCGCTCATCGAACCCGTGTCCGAAGTTCCCATCGTGGATTTTAGGGTAGTTCCTGGACCACACACCTTTACATTTTGGAGATGGTATGTTGGGATTTGTGCCCGGGGATGGACGCTTTTGGATTCTGAGGCCTCCGATGGTGAACCATCGTTTCAGTTAGTGAAGATTGAACTTTGAAGACCACCTGATGATCGTCCAGCCCTCATTCCAATACAGGCCGCTACCAAAGCCCACTACACAAGAAACACTCGCACCTAGATTCATCCATACCCTGGCATTGGACCTCCCTACGCACGTACAGCCCCTACCACAGCTCAGGAAGCAGCTGCGCATTTTATCGTTCCTCATGCCGCTGGGACTATCCCATCCTCTCGTCCGAAGCTACTTTGCTCCCGCCTACCCTACGGCGTTGCGCCTTCCACTCGCATGGCATGACCATCCCTGCCTCTTGGCCGTCACTCTCCGACGCTAGCCGTACCTCCTTCCTGGCCGCTCACCAGACCTGGCACTTGCTGTTCGGGTTCATGTTCGACCCGAGCGGGCAGCGGTACTCTCGGGCGAAGTCCTCAGAGTTTGAGAGCGTGCCGATGACGCGGTACCGGGCCGGCGCGTGGCCGTCGTTCAGGGCCGTGACCCGCTCCGCCTCCGGGGTCGCCGCCGAGCACCACACCTGAGGCAGCTCGGGCAGGTCAGCGTGGCGTGAAGTTGTGCCTAGATTGAATCTATCATCTGTACGAAACTGGGAGCGGTAGGCATATCAGCTCCAATCCACTTGCTGGACGGGGCCTTCCATCTCGTCCTTTCGATAACTATGAATATATGAACCTTTACGTCGTTTCTTTATCAAACTGACAGTCACAAACTGACAGTCACAGCACGGATCGTTGTTTATCTAATCGGCGAAGCTTCGAACAACATCAATTCAGCTGGCCTGTATGAGACCTGTTAGAATCTGACCTGTGAGAAGCTGAGGAAGAAGAGCTGCGAGTGCGTGAGGTTGACGCCGGGCAGTGGCACCTCCTCTCCGTGGGCCTTGCGGTACAGCCGGTACGCGTCAAACGACGCCTTCAAACCGCCGTTGTCCGCGATGTTTTCACCTGCGGAAGAGCGGCGAGTTCATTTGTGCCGTTTGGTTTTACGTGAATGCAGGGAGGGAGATGACTGAGTGATAATCTTGCGTTCGCTTTATACGCATGGTTTTAGTGACCTGTTCGATGTAACGTACTATTTATCAATCAATGCAACAAATTATCTCGTTTGCGTACTAAGCATTAGAACATGCTATGAAACATATACTCGCTCTCATCAAGGTCCCAATCAACCACCACCTCCTTCTCATTACATTCCTCCTTTGACGCCTCAGAGAGTCGGTGCGGCTCACCTAGCGTCTGGCGTCCGTTGACCGTGAGGTTGCCGATCTTGTACTGCGAGTACTGCTCCACCATGCACTTGGTGCGCTCCTTGAAGCGGTTGATGGTCGCGTTGTTCCACCACTGGTTCATGTTGCCGTACTTGTCATACTCTCGACCTGCAGAGGACAATCGGAAGGCGTTCGAAGATAGTTGGGTCTTAACCCGCGCGGGGCTGGGGGGGGGTAAATTTTACCCCCCCTCGCGAATTTTTGCGATATCTCAGAAACGGCGGCGCGCAGCGCCGCCAAACTTTCAGTACCTTTTCTTACATCAATTTGACACGTTCCCTGAAAATTTGAGCGAAATCCGTCGGAAAATTTTTGAGAAATTGACGTTTTAGTGACGTCATGTTCGCCATTTTCGCCTCAAAAACGGCAAAAGTTCAAACGCCGCTAACATCTTCATTTTTAAAGGAATCAAGACGTAACAAAAAAGGTTATACGTAATTTTACTTTGTCTATCAAATGGCTATCTCGGTTTTTGAAAATTTTGGATTTTGGCCTAAATTTTTTCAAAAAACTGACTTTTTGGGGAAAATCATTATAAAATCCAAAATTTTGAGTCTATCGAAAAAACCGGAATATATGTCAGAGAAGTGGTCTATGTGCACCTACATACCAAATTTTAGAAGAATCGGTTCAAAAATGTGGGAGTTATTCAAAATTTTATGACGTCACGACACACAAAAATTTTTGAAAAATGACTTTTTTGGAAGTTCTAGAACTCGTACGGAAACAAAAATAGCACCATTCGATTTGCCGTGAAAAACTGCATCAGATAGACACCTTTTTAGGCCTTAACAACCAACTTCAAAATTTGACCTCACTTGACCTGACCTTGACCTGACCTCGACCTGAAATTCATCCAGAGGTGGTCCATATCACTTATTGAGTGTGCCTATTGAATTATATGAGTAAAATGACCCATAAAACATGTGTCGCACATGCCCTTTTCTATATTTTGTTTTTTGGTGACCTGACCTGACCTGACCTGACCTTGACCTTGACCTCTGAATGATATTGTATGCAACGAATATTGTCTTGGTAGCCTAAGAACACGTTTTGGGCGATCAGTCTCAGTCCATGACTCCATTCTTCGGCAACTACGGTGCAAGGCCGATACTGTAGAAACTTGCAATTTGTACCCTTGACCTGACCTTGACCTTGACCTCAAACTTTAAATTAAGTACATGTTTTTAGTAGTTCGTGATGAGAGCTTTCGATTGGCGTTTGAATTTTCCAAATCGGACCATTAGTTCGGGAGATAACAGGGGGGGGGGGTAAAATTTACCCCCCCCCCCAGCCCCGCGCGTTCGGCTGGAGACCCCAGCCCCGCGCGGGTTAAAGCACTGCAGGCACGCAATTTTCAAGTCATGATGTCAGAGGCCCGCTCTCCGTTGTGTGTTAACCCGCGCCCTGCTGGGGGGGAGTGTTTGAACACCCCCCCCCCTTGTGGTTTTTGCGAATATCTCAAAAACGGCGGCGCGGAGCGCCGCCGTTTTTGGTACACCTTATCATACATCAATTCTACACATGTTGTGAAAATTTCAGACCAAGGTCATTCAAGGTCAGGTCACCAGGTCACTTGAAGTGACCTCAGCTCATAAAAAGTTTCAATGTCTGTCATAGCTACACCGAGTGACCGATCGCTTTGAAACTTTCAGCGATTGCTAAGAGCAATAGCATGTACAAAATGTATATCTCAGAATTTTGATATCGATGACCTAAGGTCAGGTCAATTTTGCGACCTCCCCATTATAAGTCAATGGGAGAAAATTGAAATGCGCCTCTTTTGGACGAAAGACATTATAAACACTCCTAAACACCGAATTACAAGTGTTTTAGACACACTGAACAAGAAAATGGTGTCCGTGACCCTTGTTTATGCCCTGAGGTCATCTTAGGTCACGAATGGTATCTAACAGTTTTTCGCAAATAACTTTTGATAGAGGCATGCTAGAGCGATGAAAACGCCTTAGATGTGTTCAGATCGACGATACGGATCGACTGATATGCAACATGACCCTTTCCGGTCAGGTCATGACCTTGACCTGAGGTCAAATTTTCAAGTTGACCTTTCAAGGTCAAGTTATAGTTCATTCGATGCGTCTTGACGAGAGGAACACGATGCCGGTAAAAGTAAGCTCGTACATGGCTGGGGTCAAAAGTTATTGCAGAAAAACTGTTTCCGAAAAAATCGGCTATTTTTGCAGTTTTTGCCCCCTGCAGGCAAAACCGTTGACGTTAGGTCAAATCTGAGAGAATTACTCAGAAAGGGCGTTAATAGGGCTATCGAATGCGCTTTTCCGCGGCGCTGTAGCTCTATTGGTTCCCGAGTTATGCGTTGGCTTCTTGGAAATTTTCGACATTAGACCTGGAAATCGGCGAAATTTTGCCTTCAATGACCTCTGGTGACCTGACCTTTGACCTGACCAAAAATTGACCGAAGTGATTTCGTCATTATTTTTGACGCTCTTTCGAACGCCGCCTTCCGCGTATCGCTACGTGGCCCAGGAGCCGAGTTACAAGGGGGGGGGGGGGTGTTCAAACACCCCCCCCCCCCCCCCCCAGCAGGGCGTGGAAATCCAGGACCCCCAGCCGGGCGCGGGTTAAACAGCATTCCCATTCCCAGCCCAACAACAATTGTTTTGAGTACCCACAGCATAGACCCAATTGTTTTGAGTACCCACAACAAAGACGACCCACGCCTCCTTCCCCACCTCACCCTGGTCGTCAAAGGCGTGCGTCAGCTCGTGGCCCATGACGACGCCCATGGCTCCGAAGTTGAGCGACCTCGGGTACTGAGGGTCGTAGAAGGGCGCCTGAAGGATGCCCGCCGGGAACACGATCATGTTGTGTGACGCAGAGTAGTAGGCGTTCACCGAAGGCGGCGTCATGTCCCACCTGAGGTCATGGGAGGTCATCAGGTCATTACTGAACAGTGAACCATTAATATTAGGTAAGCATGATGAGCGCTCAGCTGTTTTATGAAAGCTGACAGTTGCTCGTTCAATATTTTGTTTAGTTTTCTTCGCATTTATACGAAAGAAGTGGCATGTTTGTTCGCGAGAAAAAGATAATGAATAATTGAGCTATAAAGTTTCAAGTGCAGACCTGGATGCCGCTTACCTTGTTTTATTTACGGGCTGTCCGTATTTCATTAGATTTTTTATCAGTGCAAACTTGCTGAACCGTATATTGTTCTCAAAGTATTCGTTTTCTTTGACCTCCAGCAGGGCGTACTTGTCATTCAGATAGTCAGAGTCCAATATTTCCGGTGGAAAACCTGTGGGCATCGACGAGATCCGTTTTAGTAGATCATAGATGTGAAATTTGCACAAATGATTGAACGCTTCTCATTGGTTGAAAAAGTCTTTGAAGTGCCTTTGATGACTAACCAACGGTTCCTACAGTAGTAGTAATGTGCGACTTACCCATCATCTTCGTTATGGCCTCTGCTTTATCCTCTGCCTTTCTCCTCGTCTCCTCATCCATCCAATGAAGCTTTTTGGTGTTTTCAATGAAAGCAGTACGCACGTCTTCAATCATCTCTTCTGCCTGCAGAGAGAAAAGAAGACGCTTGTAAGAAATTAAAGCAGCGTCGCAGCATGAATTTTTGTACTGGAAACTCCTAGGTCCTTTCACATGCAACGAAAAATGAAAATACCTTTCTGAGATCGGTGCTCTTAAAGGACATCTCCGTACCGAGGCAAATAAGTGCTCCATCTCATCAGCCGAGTTTACATCACGAAGCTCAGGTCTTGCATCTGACTTACCAGCTGCTTGGAGGCGCTTTTGAAGTTTTGTCGCACAAACATGGCGCCGGACGCGAAGCCGAGCACGGCGTTGGTGTCGTCGACGCAATAGTGCCAGGTCTCCTCGTCCTCGTCAGTGCCGACCAACGCCTTACGCAGCATCTTGTAGGCGTCGCGGAACGCCTTGCTGAGACAGCGCACCAGACCGCCGCCCGACTTGCTCATCATGTAGTTGTTGAGGATGCTGCCCCACAGACACGGAGAAGTAAACGTCAGCGGGGCTCAGAAAAGCTCATGAGGGTGTCGTGGAAGGGGGTTCAATTTCAGCTACGACATAAGCTCAGTGAGTGGCACCCGCTGTGGAGTGTGGGTTTAACGTTTAAAGTTACGTAAGTGGGAAGCTTTAGGAGTGTTACGCCTACAGTATCGCACGTCGACGGTCGAACCAAAGTCCTACATATAGGAATTTGGTTCGACATTATACACTCCACAGCGGAGTGTATAATGTTGATACACTCCGCTGTGTATCAACATTATACACAGCGGAGTAATAAATGCGACATATACACATGCGACATATACACATTCATCGGTGTACGAGGTGATAGGTGGTCATAGGTGATTCATAGGTGTACGATTCATAGGTGTACTCCCGTCCAGAAATTAAATCTCATGGACGCGTCCCCCTGGCCTCCGCAGCCGCGTTGGCACCAGGAGCGGATCCAGGAAAACTCCAAGGGGAAGATCATGAATCGAAGTAGTGCCCCTACCTATACCTTAAATTAAAACCTCAACTGAGTTCGGCCACTTAATTTTGGTGGTGCCCTATTTTCATTTTTTATTTATTTGTTTTTGCCCTGGCAGGCCTGTGGTGCCCCTGGCGGGCCTGTGGTGCCCCTGCTAGGCCGCAGGTGCCCCTGGCAGGTTTGTGGTGCCCCTGGAAGGACTGTGGTGCTCCTTACGAGCCTGAAGTGCCAGCGACAGGCCCATGGTGCCTCTGCGAGGCCGGTGGTGCCCCTGCGAGGCCGGTGGTGCCCCTGCGAGGCCGTGGTGCCCCTGCTAGGTCGCTGGTGCCCCTGGGCCCTGACAGGACTGTGGTGCTCCTGACATGCCTGAAGTGTCCCTGACAGGAACGTGATGCCACTGACAGTCCCAAGGTGCCCCTGCGAGGCCAGTGGGTGCCCCTGGCAAGCCTGTGGTGCCCCTGGCAGGTCTGTGGTGTCCCTGGCAGACCTGTAGTGCCCCTGCTAGGCTTCTGGTGCCCCTGACAGGCCTGTGGTGCTCCTGAAAGGACTGTGGTGCCCCTGGGCCCTGACAAGCCTGAGGTGCCCCTGACAGGCCCAAGGTGCCCCTGCGAGGCCGGTGGTGCCCCTGGAAGGGCCTTTGGTGCCCCTGGGAGACCTGTGGTGCCCCTGACAGGTCTGTGGTGCCCCTGGCAGACCAGTGGTGCTCTTGCTAGGCCGATGGTGCTCCTGACAGGCCGGTGGTGCCCCGTCAGGTCTGTGGTGCCCCTGATAGGTCGGTGGTGCCCCTGGTAGGCCTGTGGTGCCCCCGGGCCCCAAGGGGGCATGACCCATGTGACCCCACCTTGGATCCGCCACTGGTTGGCACCCATGCGAATTCCAGAAGCACCCAAAAACATTTTTTATTACGAGCGAGCGTGAAACGTGAGAAGTGAAAAGTCGGCAAAAGGTGTGTGTGTGGGGGGGGGGACATTTAACATTGCTGGCCCCCATTCGAAAGTGGGGGACCATTGCCCCCTGCCCCCTGTTCTTACGCCTATGCCAGTAACCGATCAACTAATGCAAGGCCGCCTAACATAAATTGTTAGTTTATGCCGTTTACGCATTCTGCTGCGCCAGTATTGTCTCTCTTTGCAACGTGCGCTGCCCCTAAGCTGCCACTTATTGCTTCTGACAAAGCTACCTTTCATTGGGTGGAGGAAAATTGCACTCAATAACGATGAAGCACAAATGGAAATCTTCATGGAAGGGCAGGCCAAAGAACCTTCAAGTTTGTTCTTCGGGGTGATACCTACAAATACATTAAAAAGTTCGGCAAAAAGTGGGGGGGGGGGCAGTTAACATTACTGCCCCCCCCCCACTATGAAAAGTGGGGGGCCACCGCCCCCCCCCGTCCCCCCCGTTCCTACACCTATGTACACATTGGCTTCTACATTATACATACGTAGATACTCTCAGTGAGTATGCTATCGTTCGTCTGGGGCCTAGGCAATAGGCATCAAAGAGTGAATGGATATTTTGTTATAAGGCGATTAAAAGCTGCTCAAGCGCACTGACCGCTGACGCTGGGTGCCTTTCTTGAAACTTATATGTCAACAGCTTCTTCTCCTGAATTCAGGGTGTCAAATGTCGCCACATGAAAGACTTAAGAGTCGATGTGTGTTTTGAATAGGCTGCGCGTAGGCGTCAATGACACTCAAACCTGTGTATAGGGTGCTCACACTTTTCCTCGCAGCGTTGACAAGTACTTCTCCTTGAGTAAGTCGCACAGCTTGGAGAGGTACTCGGGTGCGTACACGACCACTTGAAGGTTGTGAGGTAGTGTCACATTCACCTGGCTGAAGGCGTCTTGGAAGAAAACAAACCAGTCCACCTGAGGAAAAGATCGATACATGTAGGAGTGCATATTGGATGCTTAAATGCAAAGAGCTAATTGTTAAGCTAAATTGAGCACATAAACACGATGTGCAATATAAAGCTCTTTTAACTTTCAACACCGACTCACCGACCATACAAAATACAAAGGACTTCTTATTACGTAGTGCACGTCGCTCCAGTCCTACTCTCAAAGCACCATCGACCATGACTACGTCAGCAGCCATTGGCGCCCGGATCCGCTCAAGCTCATTGAAAGCGCGCCTGTATATCGGACGCCTCCCGGTTCCCATCTCCCAAGCCCTCGCTTCTCCCCTCCCCCGGCCTCCAACAGCGGTAACACATCATCACATCCATACATCACGGTGGCCGGTGTCGGCTGCCGCTCACCAGCGGCGCCGTCTCCTGCAGTTCGGCAATGGTCATCTTGTGATAGATGGCCTCCTCGTCGCGACGCTCATCGGACGGCGTTATGATCTCGGCCAGCTCCGTCTCCAGACGGATGACGTCATTGGCCTGACGCCGCACCTCCTCCTCGTTACCACCCAGCAGCACGGCAACCTGTGAACGACGTGTGACGCTTTGTTTCTGCGAGTGTGAAAATGACGTCATTGGTCAAACAAAACAACTCGTAGCTCGTCGCTGCTCTCCAGTGTGACCACCTGTGAACGATGCGTGTCTGTTTATTTCTGGGAGGATACAAGTGACGTCATCGGTCTTATGAGTCACTTCACGGATGTTATACTTCGCCAAGAGAAAAATAATCATTCTGATTCCTATGTTTTCCAATTATAATCACTGTTAGGGTCTCCGAGAAACATTTCCAACCAAGCAGCGTGCGTTCCGGTTCGATCCGATAGATTTAGCAGCGCTGTGGCGCCAGGGTTTGTTTTCCGAGTTTCGTCAAATCAGTGTCACTTTGATGGAGCTGTTCAACATGCTGGGATCGTTCGGGACGGCTCGGTTCGACCGAATCAGGTCACTCTGACTCGACTGGCGTCCCGTTTTAGCAGACGGCGCCGTCGCAGGCCACTGGGATGGAAGGGGCCATCAACTGGTCTTGTTTTGAGACTTGGACGAATCGAATGGGCTCAGTGTGATAGTATTGGAGTGAACGGAGCCGAAAACTTATTATTGGTGTATGAATGAGGTGAGGCTTATAAACTTGTTGTTGTCATATGCGAAGCTTGTCACCTGGATCACTGGACACTTAATTTCCTTTGTCTTATTGTGAGCATCCGTGCAGCATGATAACAGATTCACTCGCTATTGCTAATCGCGTTCTTCCTAATCAGCAACACATTCACACTATCGCTATCGCAGCCGAACCGCCTCGAGCCTCCCTCGGCCATAAACACCACTACAGTTGCACCAACTCCGCCAACCCCTCTGTCATCAGCCATACTCGTCCCCCACTGACCTCCTACGCCATTCCACAGACATGCTGACCTTTGTGATGTAGTCTAGGTAGGCAGCCAGCACGTGGTCGTCCGCGGTCGTTTTGTTGATGTAGTAGTCCCTCGACGGCAGAGTCAGACGCCCCTGATCCACCTGGCGGCAGACACGGGAACTATCTGTCAGAGCGTGCCAGGCTCAGTTCCCTGCGGCTGTTTCCGTCTTCCTGTGTCTGGAGGTGAGTGAGACTGAGAAAAGTGCACTTCATTGGTCAGCCGGCGCCGACAGCCAGGTCAAGACTAGATTAACCCGGACGAGGGTGGGTGGATAATGCTGCCCGAAAAAATGAGTATCAATCCTGGCCAGCTAAAACCAGTTTTCTCATTTCTGGACATAAATTGCACAAGTTGAAGATTGATTGCCATGAGACAGCGTTACAGCAAGAAATATCGAATTCGAAGGCATACAAGCGTTTAGTTCAGGATCCTATGCCAGATAGTTGATTCAACAGCGAGAGAGTAATGAAGAGCGCCTGTTTTAACGGATGTGGAATTCTTTGTACAACAAAAGCTCGCCGTTTTTAGAACGACTCGCCTTTCGCGCCCGATGGCATTGGCTCGCAGTAGAAACACTGCAGTGTGTTCGCGTAGCCAAGTTTGGCAGGTCATTAATTCCAAAGGCCGATGTCGCAGTGAGCTATATGTTTACGATATTGTCTGAACGGAGCACCTTTAACGGTGACAGATCCGGCACAGACAACTGGCAAACAGACGTCATCTCAGCCCATCCCAGATAATGGGCTCAGCTTAGCTACGGTAATGAGAGCTTAACTCCGCGACAAAGTCGGCGGACTTTGATGTCCTTTTGTTCCTCTCTTTGATGTCTTACCAACATATTCAGCGTATTCCACAAACAAGAGCTGCTCCTCTTCCCCGTATCTCCGCTCTTTTCCTCCACCTACACATCCCCTCTCTCCTCTCCCCTCCCTCTCCCTCCCTTCCCCCACCAGTGACGTCACCTGTATGACGTAGCTGGACGAATTTTTGTCGTCCTCGACCACACTCCAGGTGAAGAGCGGCCCGGCGTTGAACTCGTTGTGCAGACGCTGCAGGGTCCGCTGGAAGTCCCAGCTGCCTGCGCTCCAGTTTGATCCGGTCAGGTTCCAGCCACCGATGCGCTCAATGAGCTCCAGAAGCGGTGTTCCGCCGCGCGCCTCGGCTGTGCCGTTTGAGTCCACACAGGAACGGTAGTAGGTCTGTGCCTTCCGCTCGGCGTCATTGGCCAGCTCTTCGGGTGGTGACTCTGTAGGTCAGGGCAAGGGTCAGCTCAGACTTTTGGTCAGGTAACAGTGCGAGTCAGATAATGGTGCGAGTCAGGTCAGGGCGTGAGTTATGGCACATATGGTCACTGCGATATTGCAAATTTTCATAAGTCACATCCACAGTCCACACGGCACTGATATTCTTTGTGTGACTATCATATGACGGTACCGGCTGTGACATTCAAAAACTAAGCGACAGTGAACGGCGTCGTAGCGGTTGTGCCATATTGACGGTTGAAATTGTTGGCAGAGTGGCCAGTTGGGCGTGGGCTTTGAGTCTCACGGAAAGCCTACCGCAACATTTGTATCACGGTGGCATTTTTCATTGTACGGGAGTTGTCTCGCTCGGCAAGGAGATACCTACATAGTCTACAGTGGATCAGCGATGTATTGTATACTGCCCTGGTGGGCGATCGCCATTTCTCAGGATAGTTACCGTCTGTTGTCTGTTTGTCGTCTGTCTGTGTGTGTGTGGGGGGGGGGGGGAGGGGAGAGATGGGCAGGAAATTAGCGTGTCAGCCTGTAATTGCTTCCCGGTGTCGCGTGCCTGCCAGTGAAGGGGTCGGGGTCTGCAGGGTGTCTCGCGATCGGCGATTGGCATGTCGATCGGTCAGTATTGACAGAAGTTCGGCGACCTCTAACGAACTATTGATTTGTATGTTGCTAAGGCTTGTTTGAAAACGCGATGGCCATAGCAACAATTTATTTATATATATATATATATATATATATATATATATATATATATATATATATATATATATATATATATATATATATATATATATATATATATATATATATATATAAATTTAGTCCGAACCTTTTGATGGGAAGGATTCACAAGGACATAGCCACCGCTAAGCGAAGCTTGTTGCGATGACCCTGCCCTCTACCCTCCGATCGCGCAATTCCGATTCTATGGCAGAATTTAGAGTCCAAAATTTTTTAGAGTCCAAAAACTTTGCGCACAAAGCCGCGCACGGCCGGTCCCCTCGCTGACTTCGCCTGGCTACGGCCTGCCACCAACCGCAACCATACCTGTCAGGAGGCCCATAAATGTCGAGCGCTCGTCGCGCTTCGAACCCGGACTGTCAGAACCGGGAACGCGTGCTCTCACCACGCGGAGTCCAACGCTCTAACCAACTGAGCTACGGGACCGGCACAAATTACTTGTGATGTTTAAAATTAATTAATTTGCTAAACTCTGTTGTTGGTATGCAGAGGTTCTTTTGCTTTTAAAAGTATAACATCGACCCATGTAAAGCGACGATCAATGTCTCAAAGCTTGAAGTTTGAAATTTGACGGTAACTGAGTTATGAGTACGCTGTCGGTTCTAAATCAAAATGTCTACGGCGCCAACCGTTGCACGTTGCACCGGCAGCTAGGAATCTATCCGCCTCTGCTTCAGCGACGCTAGATTCGGTCCACGTCACATCGCTGCATAAGGCTCACTGCATATGCTGAGGTCTATCATTCATAGCGACGTCATGACACCATTCGACCTATGACATCCGATTGGGAACGTATGTCTGGAGCCTGGGTTGATAAACAACACACGTCCAAGAAGTATCCATTGACTTCAAATTTCAAAATGCGTTCTTGCATTAGGGTACTAATGGCTGTTTTAAATATCATTCTCGAAAGATACGAAATTATGTTACATTTACTTAAAAATATCAACCTAATAAAGTCTGCAGTAGAGGCATTCAATCACACAAATTTGATTGCATGTTTGATACAGGACTTCAAAGAAACTAACACATATCATCGATGGCGAGGTCCCTTTGCAGCTAAATAAACGAATTTTTCGGCCGGGTCATCTCAGCTCGAAATAGCAGCGTGTCTGCTTACTGAATTCGTGATGCCTTGGTGCTTGCATTGTTCGACAGCGAGTGGGCATATCGATTTATTGAAGAGCCGATTGGACTGTAATGGCCTGTTGTTGGGGCCTGATGGTGAAGCACCAGCACAATGCAATATTCAGGGAGTAATTGGGGAAGAACATTGCCGGGATGCGAGCGTCGTGCTTGGAATAGGTGCGCTTGAATTAGCAAACACCTAAAGCTACTGTACTTCTGAAGGCGATTCACGGTGAAAATGTTGGCAACGGCTTACATTTATATGTAAAATTTGTGTGTCATTTGGGGAAATTAGTTTAAAAATTGGCAAGGATTGGCAATTGGCAATTTGCAAATGCTTCAGACAGGACTTTTTCAAACAATTGTTTAGGCTGCTGCTGTTATGGTCCTCAGGCTATCTGTGCTTCAAATTTTGTTTCGTATTTAGATTATGCCGTGTTTCAGAGTATCTCTAAAATACATACTTCTGGATTCATTTACATTTTCATACTTGGAGATAAGGTCCCAAGAAAATAATATGGTTATAAAACCGCATCTAATGCCTTTTCCAGCAGACAGCCAGCGCAGATAATAAGTATTCAAAGAAATCGCCAGACACAAATAACCTAGGCAATAAGGCCGGCCATCGGAATGGGAATAGCCGTTTTAGACTGCACTTTCAGATAAGTGGTCTCTGCGTTACAGTTTCTAGTCTACTGTTTAAAATTGAGGTGCGACGGTTTCATGCACAGTTTCGCTAGGCATTCATGTATTTTGTCTTTGTGGTAGTTTACGCAAAATTTGAGTGTAAAGACTGATGGTGAGCAATGTTTGAGATGCAATATACATAGTCATTTTATATTCGCTCAATATATTATTTAAATAGAAATGCGCATTTAAGTGACGAATTCAGCAGCGAGAAGCTAAAAGAATGCTAGCGTTTTGCAAGACGTGATGCGACTCGCTTTAGAACTACAACATATTGTGCAACTTGTTTCAGTAGTGAATCAATATTCATCCACCGGCGTAACTCTAGGGTTTCAAACTCAAAACTTCTGCATCGCCTGTGTCAATATCCGTTGCACGTCTGCCTGACGCCGCTCGCCGCTGGCAGTAAACAAGCTGCCAACGGCTGGGAGGCGCGCAGTGTCTGAAAACTTTGGCCGCCGGACGCGCCAATCGGGGTCATTGGTGCGCCGCCCCCGCCCCGTCCCGGCGCGGTTCGCACCATGAGCTGACGGCTGACGTAGCTGCCAGTTCCGGCTGGTTACTGCGCGTTCAGCGAGACGGCTGGACTGGTGATAGCGGGATGAAATCGTGGATTAGGTTTAGCGGTAGATCCTGGTCGTCAATACTGAAGAGCTTGTTGGTGTGAGTTAACTAACCTCACATCACCTGTTGATGTGAGGTTACGTCGGTTAGGGTGGTGATTTTATCGTTATACCCAGCGTAACGTTAAATTTGAGGTAATCAGCCAAAAACTGATAGAATATTTTTGCAAAGAAAAATCTTTTAGTTCTTAAAAATAAAAAACCTGAAAGAAACAAACCTTTTAAAAATTTGTCCGACATTTGTTAACATTTCTCACCCTCCCTTAGTTTCACTTCTCACCCTCACCCCACCAATATCCATTGTCTAGTATCCACCCATGCCACTTACCGAGTACGTTTTTGATGACGAGCTGGTTTTGCTGCCACAATTTGCCGAACGTTCCCCACGTGCTCTGACCGTGGGGTATCGGGTTGGCCTTAACCCAGCCGCCGCACGCGTACTGGTAGAAATCTTGGCACGGGTCGGCAGTGAAGTCTGCTGCCGACAGGATAGACGCAGCCACGTCCACACACGCCCGAGACAGGCATACGTCCTCTGCGGGAGGGGAAAAGATAGTGATTTCATCAACAACGGCTAAATATTGGAATTGGGTGCCATCTGACCGGGTCATATCTTTTGGAATTTATCATTTACAAAAAGGTCAGAAGCAATGTAGGTGCACGGGTCAAAATGGAATTCGAAGGCGGTAATCAGGCTGGGTTTCCCTAATACCTAGCTAGAATCGATGGGCATTTGTCAAAGAGCCGAGTCCGCGCAGGAAAAGAAAGCCTTCGTGATATGCTGTTCCGCAAGACACTGGTGCTATCCGGCACAGTCTACCAGGCAAGCGCTCTTCGTGGAAGAGCTACAAAAGTTCCACTGAAGTTCTGAAGCTACTAAGAAAGAAGCACGATTGTAACATTGTCATGATCTTATGCCTACTGCGTACGTACTTTGAGGACACTGAGCAGAAAAGAGAACTTAAAACTCAACCAACAAAAAAGACATAGCGTCATCAGTGTTCGCAGCGCAGTGGTGCTGCTAGAAATGAACGCCACTGTGGCCCAAGACAGCAGCACTATGCACAACAGAACGTTACCGCGGTGTTTTCTCAGCTGTCTCTCAGATCCTTTGTGATCGTTGGCGCTGCGCAGTTCTAACGGCCAGTCGGAGTCTGAGCTGACCAATAGCGTGCCTGTATTTACTGACCGTTGCAGGGGAAGCTGCATGTGAAATATTACTCTGAGGGGTTAGAATTTTTTAATTAGCGCCACTGGCAGTGCAGTACATAACGTAACACTCGACCCTCAATTTCGCCAGTTATTCCACTCAGTCCCGGCTGGATTGGATTCGCTGGTGCCAATTGGATGACATTACGAAGCACAGTTTGCACGCTCGTTACACACAGGGAGTGTAGGACGGCCCCTACTCTTTCGGTTAACGTTTCGTTAGGTTAGCGAAAGCTTGCCCAAACTAGATGAGATCATTTGAAGCTGCCCATAGCAAGGAGCTGCACGGCTTTAACCGTCCTCATTTTGGATAATTTATTGCTTCATATAACAAACGAACAACCACTAGCGACGCAGGCTGGAGCGTGTCGTCGAAATATTTCACTTGTATGAAGCTTCTGCCGTTAAAGGTTTAAAAGAAGAAATAAATTACCTATCTGCATTATATTTTATTTTCGGTGCTCAATCTTATAAACGTCGTGGTGCCGTAATATCCCATGTCGTTCCAGAATTAAGCTCTTGAAGAGTAGAAACGTTTATGTTGTGATGTTTTTTTAGGAAGGAAAAACACATCATTTTCGTAGGAATACAGAGGACTGTCCACGATGAAGCGATAGCAGTGCTGTTTGTTACCGTTTTTTACGTTTTTAATGCATCGCGTTCTGCGTATCTGGATGTTGTCAGACTCCTTGCAGTAGCGGTGGAACACCTTCAATCAAGGGTGCACTGCCGACTTTTGGTCCCATTCTTTCCATGCAACGCCCATCAGGCATAGGGCTAATATTAAAATGTCAAAATCAAAGGGGGCACCCGGTGCCCTCCCCGTTCCGCCGCCTATGACTCCTTGGAATGGAGTCAGCGCTATTGTGGGTGATTACCGGTGCTAGCCTTATAGATAATCCTCTTTTCTCTCTCTCTCTCTCTCTCTCTCTCTCTCTCTCTCTCTCTCTCTCTCTCTCTCTCTCTCTCTCTCTCTCTCTCTCTCTCTCTCTCTCTCTCTCTCTCTCTCTCTCTTTCTCTCTTTTCCGTCGCTCTATTTCTTCGCCGATATTTTTCTTCATTTCTTTCCTATTCAATCATTCATTCCTTCCATTATCTTTCTCATTCGATCATTACGTTTATTTCGGACTATTGTATTCAACACAACATTTCCATACGTATCTGAACAAGGAGCACCTTCTCTGCTCAGTGAGCAGAGCTTCCTGATCGATTTTTTAAACTTCGTGCAATGGCGAAAGCGTTAATTTGATTAATATCAGCCCTTATATATCAACTCAGAACACTGTTAACCACGCCATCATATAATCAAAATCGTTCGCACTGTAGGTGATGAACCTATTCCATTTTACATCGCCATAGCTTTTCCTTCCCACCGCCAGTTTTGCAGCGTGTTGTGTATGGCTGCGAGTGAGGGCCAGGTAACGATAGACCACGCACAAAGAGGCACTGCCACGGAGGCACCCGCGGAGAGGCGAGCATCAACTGAGAGATTCAGACCGACAAACATACAACATCAACCGAGAGATTCAGACTGGTAAACAGGCGTCAGGTCAGCAGAGAATGCCGAGATCATGGCCAAAAGAGAGCTGTTCTTTCCATGGATAGACGGCTGTGAGAAAATGATACTACGAAGTACAAATGTTCCGAGCTAGATTTAGCTGGCATTATATAGGTAGGTATATTTATTACTGATGCATCAGCATGACTTATTTTGAAGTAGCATATTCAATAGTTATATTAACAAACAATAGGACACATGCCTTGTTAGTTAGGCTTAGGACAATCACAATAATATGAAATTCATTTTCAACCTTGCGGACAGTCGCCCCACATAGTGTGCTAATTCAGACTTACAGGGATGACTGATTAACGCTTTTACCCGTTTGTCTATTCCCGACTGCCCTAGTGTGTTTGTGGCTGGAAGTCGGCGGCGCAGTGCATTTCGACAATGATTCGTGACTGAGATGATCCGCCGATATCGTGCGGAAATAACGCACACAGTTTCGCTGTGCGTGTCTTATATTGCACGCCAAGTGGCAATAAACGCGTCAGCGTGAGTGATATGACAAAACATATTGCGCCTACTGAGGTATAGAGTTAGGTACTAACGTTCGAAGCATCGCATCTTGGACAGGTTCTTGTTCTTACCATTGAAATTGATTTTAATGCCTCTATCGTCATCAGTTTTTGATATAGGAAAGCATTCCTAACTTCATTTCGCTATACGAGAAAACACTCCAACCGCCAATTAGAGCCAACAGTTATTTGAATTCAGCTTTGCGCATCCGAGACGAAATGATGGAGATTAAAGAAGATGAGGGCAGACAAGTGAACAACTGAACAAATTGTCTCGTAAGCGACCTCTCCTGACAAAATACTTACAACTCTCGCCGCACTTCTAGAAAGAACACAAGACAACCACCGTCACTGCTAGGCGCCAATGCATATGCCATAACCTCCCAAATGAGTCCGATTACTGTATATCATACCGCATACGGGCACGTCACTACTAAGCCGTCGCGCTCGACACATCTACCATATCGAAGCCCATCGATTAGCTTCCCTGTGAATGTCGTCCTTGAAGCGCCCTCCGAAATCGATCCCAGCGTACTTCGACGAACATCCCAATAACCATTTCGTCCATCCAATGTTAGTGTGAGCCCATACTGAGCCGAGCAATATCCCCGAATATCCACTATAGAGTCCAGGCAGGGCGGTGAATAGCATATGAGGCTTCGGGGCTAGTTGACTTGGGCGGTGGGTGAGTGGACAATATGCCTATTGTTACATACCTACATTTTTATCGTGTTGATATAGTTGCTGAATTTAGAATGCCTATTTTGAAGTACCAGCTAAAAAGGGTTTACCGTAAAATGTTTGCCTTATAATTTACCTGGGACTGTTCTTGTTATGAGTAAAACAGCAACATGAAAACATTCTTTTAAAAACTAGAATAGACAATATGAGATTGAATTTGTATTCAGCATAGGCGAAATATGTGGCAGCATATCAGCTTTTTCCCTTCATCGTCCTGTCTCGCTCGCTCTTAGCTGGCTTCACAGTGCCTGTTGAACGGAACACTGTGTTAAGAATCCAATTTGTGTGGTAACTGACAGCATTTTCCCCGATTGATACGCTGTATAGGAGGTCGAATACAATCACTCTGGCATCGTGCCCATTTCCAAACACGTACTACATTTCATGTGTGTCCTCTGTCGCATCGCAGTGAACCGTAGATCAGCGCTCACTGCTCAGAGAAAGCTCTGGTGAGCTAAGTGTCTGTCTAAATGGACATCTCGGGGCTGTCTAAGTGCCATAGTTCACGCTGCTCGCTGCTCAGTGATTGATGCACCACCACTAAGGTGTTGCTCGTGGGTTCGCCCAGGTGTGGGGAACTACCGGCCTGTCATTAGAGTTTCGACGACATTTCGGGCAGGATGCTCGGAATGTCTGTCCAGCATATGAACCTTGCAGGATCTCATCGCATTAATTTACATGAAAGGTGAAGGATGTAGAGAAGTAAAACGATTCATCCCACTCGATATTAATTACAAGTGATGTAGGTTTGGCTGTTGGTTGGCTTTTTAATCAGTTTTCGTGTTTGGCTGTTGGGAATTGGGATCCCTGGACAATATTTGGTGACTGCTATCGATATAACATAACTTTGTATCGTATGTAGTACATCTATCACGACGTTATGAGAAAAAGGCACAGGAGCGTCGCCTCGTGCATCAAACAACACGGCCCATCCAATTATTTAATTCATGCATTTGTGATGCATACCACCCGATCATATCTGTTCCAACTTTTACGAAATTTAGGCTGGACTCTCCCAGCTGTATCTTAACAACCCAGCGAGTCTTGCCCAAAAGACACTGGATCACGAGGAAGCTCTAACGTTGATCAGCTTTGGTGGATCCTATTATTCTTTAATAGGTTTTCTATATTAAACTTTATGCCGTGGAGAATAGCTGTGGTCGATACTAAGCTGTTTGTGGCCTTTATAAGTGTTGCGTGTACCAAGACAATTCAGTGACAGCCGGTTCGAATCTTTTTCCAACGCATCTACGCCGTGGCATCGCCCACATTCTCTCATTCCGACCCCTGTGACCAGTATCTGACACACCACTCCTCAAATCTGCCATCCCGCGTCGCCTTTCAGTGCTTCCATTGGCGGCCATCGTAAATACCGCCATAAGCACACAAAACCCGGTCTCAAACGGGCCTCTCGCGGCTGGATAAGCCGTTAAGTGCCGCATCGCGACCGCGAAATGGGCCTGTGACGTCATTAGATCTTAGTTTGGTATTTATCCGCGATGATACCGACCCGGGAGCGGCATTCGACAATGGTATTGCGCCAAGAATCTTTGGTTATGTTTTACAATGGAATGGAATGTTAAAAATATACAACCCGCCAACCACGTTAAACGATACCATGGATATAATCAAAGCTTTTGAAGAGAAAATCAGATTGTAAACTGCACCGTCCAGACCATCTAAAGCAGGTGATGTCTTGGGACCAAGTTGAGTACTTCTTATTCGTGACCTTACTGAATATTCATTTGGAAAAGCCGGGTCAAAGGAAAGGGATTTAAGGGGTTTACTGGAAAAGGGATAAAGGGTTTATGGAATTTAAGGAATCAAGGGTATGTGATCGGGTTGGCCATATTAAGCCCATCCACAGACTTAATTGACTGGTCACTCACTGTGATCGTGTGCCATGTCGTGGCCGAGGTGCAGGTACATGATGTTCTGGTCCTGCTTGGCCATCAGCACGACGAGCAGCACGACGATGGCGAGCAGCACCAGACAGAGCACGGCCAGCACCTTCTCCAGCGTGCTCCGGCTCGCCCAGATCGACTTGCCCTGTGGGAGTGTAACGAAATTAGTGCGTGATGTGAACTGGCCTCACGGTCCCTGGTGGTGTTGTAAAAGATATGTGGATGGAAGTTACGTATAGGGAATGATTGACTGGCTTCTTATAGGCATTTCGATTCACCGTGAACTATGCGGTTATCTCTGCTGCTGTTGATAAGGAAGACGGAAGTTCTTTACAATATGCATGGTAATAGACAAAAGGAGAAAAGAGTGATTGTACGATACCGGTTTAACTAGACATCAACAAGCTAGATGTCTTAAATTAAAAGTGAAACTGAGCAGATTTACGGCTGAACTTATTTTGCACGATCTAAAAACTAGAAGTGCAAAGTGAGAAGAGACGGGTGTGAAGCATTGCTATTTGAATTTTAATCTGTGCCGCAAACTGTTTTGACAACTTTGATGTTTAGGCGTATTATTTACATTTTATTTTGTCTTTATGGCTTGAAAAAGATTTATATCGAAACACATGTGTAGCCAACTTAAAGTAATATAACCAAAAACGTTCCCATTGTTTTCCACTTATAATTCAAGCTAGATGCAGTAATTGGAAATACGGCTTTTACCGGCCAACACTCCACGCTCAATTCCAACATCGACAAGTCCGCCGTCCGTCGTTCCCCTACCTTCTCCCGAGTGTAGTGAGCACACTAACGACACTACACAGAGCTCATTAGCGCCCAATCCGAGACCGGCAGGGATCATTACGCGTCTCCGCCCCGTAAAAGACCTCTCATCTCCCATCCATGATTGGGCGAACACAGCGGTGTGGTGACGAACATTGACGTCAGGGATGTCCCGCTGTCTCTATATAGTAGGTCGGAGACTCGTCACTGGGAATGATTGGCGCTGCGTTACCTCCTCTATTGGAAAACATTGCTTCAGGCAAGGTCACAACATCTGGATCAATCCGGTTCGGACCATAAGGAGCGTGATGACGAGCATCGTGCGCTGCGTGCTTACGGGGGAGCATTTTGGTCTATAGGGTAAGATCCGTTCCATACCCGTAGATCCAGACATCTGGGTTCGATCTCGGGGCCAGGCAGGTAATATTACCGCTCCCTGGCCAATTGGAGCGGCGTGAGAGCTCCTGTTACCACTTGATATGACGGTTAATCCTTATTGCATTGCCGTATATGCTTACTAGGGTGTCCCAAATTTCACGAAGTTTTCCAATTCACTTTGGATACACCGGGATCCCGTTCCTTGGTTCATTTGAACATCACACACCAACTTATAGAGTAAACTACCGGTAAACAAGGTTGCCGCAAGTGCTCTGAAGTTTTATTTGCATTTTGGTGTTATATGATAGTGCAGCGTTGTAGTCTCCGAATGCAAAATGGAAAATATGTGTAAGCAACGTAGCAATATTACCTTCTTCGATGCTCAGTGATGCTCAGATCCCACGGACATTGCACAATGATGAAAATCCGGGTTTATGTACGCATACATACGTGTGAAACTTTGTGTGTGCGTGCCCGTATGCCTCTGTGCGTGTGTGTATATGTGTGTGTGTGTGTGCGTGCGCGCGCGCGCGACTGCGTGCGTGCCTACAGGATAGAAGGCAATGCCAGTTTTAATCTTGGTGTGGGTGATTTCATGTGCTGCTGATTTCGTTTAGGAGTAAGAGATCAAATAAAGGTCTCAGGTTAGTGCTTCAAATGTCTCGCTTCAGATCGAACCGTCTGAGGCAATGGCACACCACATAAACGCAGATTGAACAGAATCAAATTTACATTGCAGCTATGGGTATTAAGTTCACCGTACCCTGTCCTGAGACCGTCCACGCGTAACATCACCGTACCCTGCTCCGAGATCCGTCTAAACAAACATCATGCCTTGCTCTGAAAACCGTCTGAAACATCGTACCCTATTCTGAGCTGCGTCTAAAACATCGTACCCCATTCTGAGATCCGTCTTAAACATCGTACACTGCTCTGAGGCCCATTTACACTCTACGGTCTACACGTAACGTCATCGCACTCTGTTTAATATCTGTCTACCACTACAGACCCATGTAACGTCCTTCTTCGTGTGACCGTTAAGCGACCTGTGCCATGCCACCACCTGGGCCAGCGCCTGCAGCTGGTCCTCATCTTTCGTTCTGTACATCATCTCCTGTGCCAGCTTCACTCCGCGATCCGCTCCATCATTCACAACATCATTCACAACGCACTCATCCATATTATGGATGAGTGCCTATGATTCTCATAGCCGGGTGCCCGGTGCTACCATTCGAGGGCGCACTCATCCAGATTCTGGATTAGTGCGCCCTCGAATGGTTGCAAGAGCCTGTCAAAAAATGCAAAAGTGTCTCAGGTTACAACGCAGTTCACAAATACGTCAACAGCCTGGCAGTTGTGAATGATGGAGCGGATCGCGGAGTGAAGCTGGCACAGGAGATGATGGACAGAACGAAAGATGAGGACCAGCTGCAGGCGCTGGCCCAGGTGGTGGCATGGCACAGGTCGCCTTACGGTCACACCAAGAAGGACCACGTGGGTCTGTAGTGGTAGACAGATATTATAGCAAGTTGCGATGACGTTATGTGTAGACTGTAGAGTGTAGCTGGGCCTTAGAACAGTGTAGGATGTTTTAGACGGATCTCAGAGCAGTGTACGATGTTTAAGACGGATCTCAGAATAGGATACGATGTTTTAGACGAATCTCAGAGCTGGGTACGATATTTTAGACGGATCTCATAGCCGGGCACGATGCTGTTGACGGATCTCAGAGCAGTGTATGTTGTTTAAGACGGATCTCAGAATGGGGTACGATGTTTTAGACGCATCTCAGAATAGGGTACGATGTTTCAGACGGTTTTCAGAGCAAGGCATGATGTTTGTTTAGACGGATCTCGGAGCAGGGTACGGTGATGTTACGCGTGGACGGTCTCAGGACAGGGTACGGTGAACTTAATACCCATAGCTGCAATGTAAATTTGATTCTGTTCAATCTGCGGTTATGTGGTGCGCCATTGCCTCAGACTTTTCGAACTGAAGCGAGACATTTGAAGTAACAACCTGATACCTTTATTTGATCACTTACTCCTTAACAAAATCAGCGGCACATGAAGATTAAAAGATCACTCACACCAAGATTAAAACGGGCATTGCCTTCTCTCCAGTAGGCACGCACGTAGTCGCGCGCGCGCGCGCGCACACACACACACACACCTACACACACACACGCACGGAGGCATACGGGCACGCACACACAGTTTCACACGTATGTATGCGTACATACATAAACCCGGATTTTCATCATTGTGCAATGTGCGTGGGATCTAAGCATCATTGAGCATCGGAGAAGGTAATATTGCTACGTTGCTTACACATATTTCCCATTTTACACTCGGAGACTACAACGCTGCACTATCATATAACACCAAAATGCAAATAAAACTTCAGAGCACTAGCGGCAACCTTGTTTACCGGTAGTTTACTCTATAAATTGGTGTGTGAGGTTCAAATGAACCAAGGAACGGGATCCCGGTGTATCCTAAGCGAATTGGAAAACTTCGTTAAATTTGGGACACCCTAATGCTTACCGAGTGGAAGCGGACGTGTGTCCGTCCCGTGTTGACGGGATCCAGCGGACACTCGCCATCCTGATCGTCCGGAAACTCGGTCAGGTTATACTTGATCATCGGGTCCGTCTTGGATGGTTCCTGTGCAGAGAAAACAATAGTTAATGTATAGTGGTCACGAACTTACAAATGTGCATCTCAGCTCCCTCAGCTTTGACTGGTGTTTGGAAATTGTTTACTGTGACAAATATGATGCGCCGTGATTTTCCTATAAAGTTATGAACAAGGCTATAGAAATCCGTTATGAACTTTCTGCGTTCACTGAACATTGCACATGCCCAACTTTAAGAGATTAAGTGCATTATCTACCTCTAACCAGCAACTTCATGTACGACATAGACTGCTCGTCAACAATGTTTATCCAGCATATCATTATGCCTCCAGCTCTACACCAGCTCGGATAATACGAGCATGCATTCATTGAAATTTGTACTTTTTGTACTTGATTGGTAATTCATTCGTTTATTTCCGACCGCTTCGCGTGACAGCTTCTGAGACTTCTTTCGAAGTTTGTTTCTAATTTGTATGCTGTACGTAATCAGATTTCATTAGTTTGGTAATGTGCAGTATTACGTAACTCGCTCGCTTCAGGCTGCATGCATTCGTTTACCATGTGCGACATAGCGGTTTAGCGTTCGGATTGATAGCTTAATTACTAACCAATTGGCATATATTTCACGGAGAGAATGACAAGATGCTCATTTACTGAATGGGATTGTATCAGAAAATGAGTACAGATATAAATGCATTCCTGTTTATACCAGCAAACAACATAAGCTCGCAACTTTCTCAGTTACACAGATGTCTTTCTCTTTTCACGAGTAATTTTCCTTGCCTTTTCTCTGGAACATTTCGACACCTTTTTTTAAACCCCACATCTGTTCTCCGGTGAATTTCCGGGAAGCACGAAAGATCTCTTTTTAGAAGTGTCCAATCGTCCGATCCTGATCAAATTTGTGCGTTCGTAAGCTTGCTCTGGCATTGCTTGATCTGCCAAGACAGACAAACTCGAGAAAAAACGAGTGACTGTACCTTTTTTGAAGGTTTCTAAACAACTTGTCTGAACTTCACGGGAGAACAAATGTGGGGTTTAGAAAAAGGTGTCGATTTGTTGAAAGACATTTCCCTCATTACGTTCTTATTTGTGACTGTTTTTGTACGTTTTATTTTGTAGAGAAATGCAATAGTTATTCCGCAACATAATCCACTGCCTGGCACACGTTCTCATTTTCAAATGGACATCTAACTCTAAGCTCCACTTGGCACTACGACGTCGAACCCAACGAACGACCTCATGACCGCCGCCGGCGGTGTGTCCCCGAGGTCAATGGGCACATCAGGCCGAACTGGGTCAGAGTGTCACGTTCCCAGCTCGCCATCATGGACTACGACTGACGTCCGTACGGCGTCACACCCAGACAAAGCTCCGTCGCGATACGCTGAGCGGACGTTTTCCATCGGTGGCTTGACTTCCATTTGTCGACTCGGCGGGATAATTGAGCACTGCGACATGTCTTGTCTGCGAGGTGGATCCGGGTCAACGTTTCAGCGAACCCTTGGTCTGAGACTGGTTTCAGGAATAGCCAGCTCGCAACAACGCCATAGGCCAGTGTGCTTTTGGCCTCGTATGTATACTGTATACGTCTCGTACAGTACATCGGCATATGCCACCTATTTCCCTACCGAGCTAGTGCGCAGCTTCCTATTTTAGTCCGTAGAGCCTCACCTATTCACTGCACCCGTATGATGAGATATCTGATCCCGGGGGTCGGGAGACGGGAGATATTCAGTTACCTGTACAACAGCACACCAAACATTGTACCTACACAACCAGCGGAATTCGGCACGCACCTCGTCGGCTCAGAACGCAGACGGCAGTTCTGGGGGAATATGGATTTTGATGTTATTTGTGGCCACGGGTAGATGCGTGTTATATGCAGAAAGCTGACAGTAGGTGGGGACATCGGTGTTTACGAGTTATACGACAGGAAGGAACTGATGCATCATACAGATAGCGCATGTGAGGAATGCGGCCTATATCGCTGCATTGTGCGGTGTCTGAAACTGTCACGTCAGTCATCCATCATTATGCCGGTAAATACTCGGCGTGGAATGCGGTCAGATAACCTATAGCAAAAACATATATCTTTGCTTCATAGGCGGCGGAACGGGGAGGGCACCGGGGCACCGTGTCCGTGCCCCCCTTTGATTTTGGCATTTTAACATTAGCCCTATGGGCGTTGCATGGAAAGAATGGGACCCAAAGTCGGCAGTGCCCCCCCCCCCCCCCTTAATTGAAAGTGTTCCGCCGCTACTGCTTTGCTTCTAGTGCTATTATTCTGGGTAACGTTCGGCACAGTCTACACTGTAAGGTGTCTTGCGGCACAGTCTACCCTGCCAGGTGTCGTGTGGCACAGTCTACCAATCACATGTGTCTTACGGCACAGTATGCCTCGTCAGGTGTCTTACGGCACAGTATACCAATCACAGATGTCTTGCGGCACAGTCTACCCTGTCAGGTGTGTTGCGGCACAGTCTACCCTGTTAGGTGTCGTGCGGCACAGTCTACCTGTCAGGTATCTTACGGTACAGTCTACCCCGTCAGGTGTCGTGCGGCACAGTCTACCCTGTCAGGTGTGTTGCGGCACAGTCCACCCGTCAGGTGTCGTGCGGCACAGGCTACCCCGTCAGCAGGGGCTCCGCCACGGTTTTGGGATTGGGGGGGTCCGACCCAAAACACAAAACCTCACTGGCGGATCCAGGGTGGCATTCAAGGGGACGCCACCCTGGCCAGAAATCACCAGGATGCCACCCCCCCCCCCCCCACCGCAGCGCCCGAAATCGACGAAAAATTGCTGTTTTTCTTGAGTACAAAGAAACTTAACAATTTTGTTGGAAGATGTTTGCTTTAAACTGCAAAACAAAGGTTTAGATTGCATAAGGAATCGAAAACCGAGGAGCAGAGCCCTATTGACACCGACATGGCGGCCTCTAAAATTGACGTTCTTGAGGAGTAGAGGCCAGTGTTGCGCGCTCCAAAGGCGGTAGGTATTGGCCATCAGAGAACGCATTGGGCTCTTAGTGACTGGCAAGGGCTTGGGGGACCTACATAGGCCCTCAGGTATCTACGTAGGCTCTAAAGCCAGTGTAGAGCTCTCCTAACTAGGCCGTACTTAAAGGAAAGCTCAGGGCTTTAGCAGTTATTGTAGGGATTTGAAAGCCCTACCCTCATATAGCAACATGGAGTCCTTAGAGACTGACAATTGACATTCAGATTCAGTCTCTGTGATGAGTGTGACCTATCCTGACCTGAAAATGGATATCAAAATGCTCCACTTGCTGTTGGGACTTGGGATTGTGACTTGTAAATGTCCTACCTCAACGAACCTGCATTTAGAGCCCTGTGTAGATTATTGCAGATTAGGTACCTCAGAACGGTGTGAGGATGGTTAGACTAGTATGGTGCTCTGAAAGACCGACATGGACCCCCCCCCCGACACTATAGGATGACCTCACATTGAAAGAGGATTCTCAGATCGATTTGAATTTGGGCATTTGGGCAGGTGTTGTGTCAAGGAGGTGACCTACAAGCTGGACCCCCCTCGCAAAATTATAGCCAAATTCTAGCATACCTAGCTAATCCTAGCCATCTTAAACGCATTCATAGTAATAACAAAATGGTGGAATGATGACACTCCCTCGTAGACCGGTGTCAATGTCGAGCACTTCGTCTGCTATGACATTATAAGGATTCCCTACATCTCTAGATCTTCAGTTCCTTAGCTATACGACTGTTAACACACTCAAAATGCATATAGTGAATGATTTAGTCATTTCTACGCGAAAACAAGCTTATAGGTATCTGGAATATTGGGGGGGTACTGTACCCCCCAGGTAAATTATTGAGGGGGTCCGGACCCCCGCGACCCCCCCTGTGGCGGAGCCCCTGCCCGTCAGGTATCTTACGGTACAGTCTACCCCGTCAGGTGTCGTGCGGCACAGTCTACCCTGTCAACTGTGTTGCGGCACAGTCTACCCTTCAGGTGTCTTACGGCACAATATACCTAGTCAGGTGTCGTGCGGCACAGTCTACCCCGTCAGGTACTGTGCGGTACAGGCCAGCCGAGCACGTAAGTACAAGCTCGCGTCTCTTGTCTGAGGCGTTCTTGTCAATTATTAACTATCACATCCATGCAATTGCACGTGCGCACTTGCAACCACAGTCACACCTTTTCTAGATTGTAGAGGTATTGGTTCATTACCCTGAAGTAATATCGTATCGGAGTTACACGGCATCGGCCTGATCCGAACTGATCGAACCGTTTCTCAGAATTAGGTAAACCGTAAAATACCATAAATTCAGCAAAATTCGCATGATTTCGGGCAGCAGTTCAATCGTTCAATCTAGTTAGCTTATATCACCTCCTATCACTGTCATCAATGAGCGCTCGCCCTGACAATTATCCGTACAAGAGTCCTGGCAGAACGCGCAATTATCCGGGAGGCAAGAGGAGGCTATTACTGAGCTGGCTGCGTTGGGCCTATTACCTATCCGCCTTGTTATTGCAGATATGTCGCCAGGGAGCAATATATTCGTCCCATTATTTTCTGCCGACGAGTGTCAGAACGCGTCACTGGCCAATAGTGAATCGTCATCAGTCATCTGTGATAAGTGGCAATTTGGCACTCTGTGCATCTTCCCAAGAAGTGTCGGAAACACGTAATTGAATTCTTGCGTAACACGAGAGCGTAGATGTCTACGGAGCGTTCTAGTTTCAATCAGGTTAGCCAATCACCATTTCCTGAGATTTACATGACATGACCAATGGCCATTAGTCCCAATGACACAAAGTTGACGACTTGTTCTAATTTAAATTACCTAATTAATTGCCCATCTATCTCTTATAGAGTATCGTAATCATAGTTGACATAGGGTCATCAGAGTTCATTGTTTTAGGACAAGTTAGTCAAGCTACACATCTGAGTTACTGCCTAGGCATGCCTACTGGCAGCGGTAGGCCTTTGCTTTATCACACAAAAAAAAATCATGATTTAAGGCGGTGTTTTATCCCACTTCCGTTCTCTGAGCCTCAACATATCCGTTCTTGTAACCTCGGCGTTATTTACAGAGGCGGTTCAGAAACAAACCAGAAGACCCACTCCAAAACACACTGGGTGCCTTTCCAGTAAACAAACGATAAAAAATGCGTGCCGTGTGGAAATCATCCTTCTGTCAACACTGCGGCTAAGTTCCGAAGTGGGGCCCGCGAGGGCAGTTCGGAGAACATTTCAGCCATGGGTGAGGGGTGGATTGAGACGAGTGGTTTACTGGTTAGTCGTCTCCGCGCAACCATAAGAAGCAGCCATGATTGGATGATAAATCTGCAATGTGCATTGACTCTGGGGCCTTTGGCCTGTGCGAAACATCATAATCACCTAATTGAAATATACCGACACTCATGGTACATACCATTAATTTTTGCATTATCCTGCTCTTTATACATCATTTCGGACAAATTGAGTTGTGATTGGCGCTGCGCTCACGACCAATCAAAATGCATTACTCGTATAAACACACCTTTCGCGGGTTCGAAGATATGAGCGAAATACAATGAGAAACTTTGAGCAGATTATGTAGATGAAAGCATTGTTCTCTCAATCACATTACATTTCGATGTCTTCATGTATGCAGAGATTAGGAGGTGATAAAAAATGAACAAGATTTTTGGTCAGTCAAGTTGGTATTCAGCCGGTAAAATCGATTTAATTTCGCGATTGTGCAGAAATGAAATCAATGCTTTCCAAGGCGGCCGCATATGCAATATGCATAGGTAGGCAGTAGCCAGTAGGCCCTAAATTATAACAAATAGAACAGCCTATCGGTTATCATATGGCCAAGCAATGTATCCAGCGTAGTGGTGTCAATTTCAGAAAACGTATGTCCAAAGGCCGTCCAATGTCCAATGCTTACGTCGATTGTCCGTCCAAAAATGTCCAAGCCAGCCATTTGTCCAAAGATGTCCGACACCTATGCAATAGTTAACACTCAACACTGTTATTTAATTTGCTTTTCATGTACCGTTACAAGCTCAAAAGTGTTAATCATATCGAAAGCTGAGCTTTCTAATAGCCAATCAATGTTAAACACGACTACTTTTTAAAAATGTTGAGGTGCAGCAAGCGATTGTCCAAAGTTGTCCAAAGCCTGCTGCCATTGTCCAACCGAATTCCGAATTGGACATTGGACAAAATCGGAATTCCGAAGATTCAAGTTCCGATTGACACCACTAATCCAGCGCCCACAATTTAGGCTATGCAGACTCAACTCTCCTGTGCTATATTTGTTCCCGTTCTGCACAGGCCCATGCCATGAAAGCTTTCCTGAAATACGACCTAGCCGACGGGCTTTCAGCATGGTTTCAGCCTGCCAACCAGCTCATATGTACCCTCGCGCCGCCACTGGGAACCACCCCTATCCCATATCGCCATCGTTATTCGATAGCCACCACTGAGCCACTCCGATAACCGCCGCGATAGAGGCTCTGATTGCGGCCCAATTTCGATTCCGATAGCGCCCCTCGCCGCGGTGGGGCCATGCCCGGCTGCGTTGATAACTCTGCCGAACACAGCGTCGAAACAGATCAGCCGCGCCGGACGGCCGGCCGGCGCTGTGAAAAGTGTTTACATCCCGTCTGGACTGGCGTCCACACAGCGGGCGGGGTCGGCGGCCGTCCCTTTTGGCCCAGCTGAGACGGACGGCCTCGTCGGGCGGCGCCGGGCCGTGGCTGGCGTAGTGGCCGTGCGGGCGTGGCGGCGTGGCGAGCGAGGAGAGCACGCCCGCTGCCACGGGGAGGTGTATTTTTACCTGGTGTAGCGTCCGGCGCGGAGCGGCGGCCGTCGAGTCAGCGTCGGCGACGACGGCTGCGTTCTTCTCTCTCCAACCTGACCTGGTCACACTAGCACTGAGTACGTGTCAAGGTCACTGTCTGGCCACCGACGGCGACGTACCCATCCCCGCTGACTGCGGCGTCCGCGCAGCGCCGACCGGGCGCGCAGTCGAGACACCTCTGCCGCCGGCCGGCTGGTCCGACCGTCCAGGCAATCAATAGTGAAGCGGCGCGGCGCTGCGCGCGCACAGACCGCGACGGGGCCGCCGCGCGACCCAGAGGGGGTGGGGTGGAGGGGCGAGGGGGAGGGGTGCAGTGTTCTGCCGGGGGGGGGGGTCGGGAGAGGAGGGGGCTGACTGTGACAGTATGTTGGTCAAGGTTAGAAGGTCTAAGAGATACCTGGAGATGACAACTGATACGGGGTTTTATCACGGTTGCAGGCCGTAGATCAGGCTTCCGGGCAGTTATTTCAGCTCGGAGGTTAGATGGAGATAATACAATGGCAGCGAGGTCTTCTTTTACGTTCGTTGTTTTGGAGGGCATGCCCCATTTGCTGTCGGCAAGGGTCCGGCTATTCTGGAAATAAGTATGTTACAGACATGCGATTTTATGGGCGCGTTGCGTGCAACATTTCGACCGTTTATGACAAAGAACCGCATCCAGGTACATGCATATTTTTCCGTCGAGCTGAAGAAACGTGTTTCCAAAATATCACGAAAATGGCCAAAAATTAAAAAAAGTCTTTCTGGAGCTTCCAATGGTCAAACCATTGAGCCTATATAAACTGAACATATTATTGAAAGTTGCTATATAGCTAACCATCCGACATATGGGCAGCGTGACGCCGTGATTCGAACTTTGCATAATGAGGAATGGGGGTAAGGACACTATGCTACTCCACCTAGGTAGGTATATTTTCCTACAATGACCTTTGGCAATTAGTTAGGCCCGAATGGGTGGGTTGGTAGCTCAAGCAGTCTAGCACGGACCCTGCTATGAAGAGCTCGTCTCGTGGCAACACAGACCCATCCAAGACGGCCCTACCTCGATGTGATTCGACGGCAGCTGGAGCTGGTTTCGATCTCGGAGTGACTGGCTGGATCCTCGACGGTCGCCGTCATGGCCGGGATAGACAATCGACACTGGGTTTAGCGCCGGTTGACGAAGCTGCTCTCAGCAGTCGGTTAGGTTACCCCCGCGGGTAAGAAGTGAGAGGTATGTGTATTGTGTGGTGTATTGTGTGCCCGACGCCCGCGGTACCTAATGCCTATGCAGTATGCAGTAGCAGTCAATGCAGTGCTTCCAGCTGGCCGTCCAGCGCCCTCTAGGAGTTTCACCGGAGGTGTGGGAGAGTTTCGCGCATAGATGACGCCACAAAAGGATTTGACGCTCGCTGTCGTGCACTATTTACCTTGACTTTGCTTGGATGCCGCTTCGCAAAGCGAGGCTAACTAAACAAACTAAACTGCCATTTGACGTTAGAACGGCACAGGAGTCGATATAGGTTAATGTTGTTTATTCAGTGCTGAATTATTTGATGTGAAATGTGCAAGTCACAAACGCCGGCAGACCCAAAAAATGGCTTGGAGCATTGTGGTTACCCCCGAACCCAATTGCGACTCGCTGACGAAGTTTTGTAAATACAATTCGAAAGCTCCAACCCGAACGATTTCTTGTGGAGTTAAGTCCTCATTCACTTAGCACATTATGACCTTAGTTATTTTTTTCTTACCTTTCTATATCTAGAGGCGGTTGCAGTCTACAGATCCCTATGTTCCCACAGAGTTTCATCCTTTTCCTTTAAAAATAACCGAGAAACCCCCTCCAATTGTCACTGTGACCACAAAGTTCATCCAGTACCGTACATCGTGTTCTCAATAATGAGATTCTTGCTGCACGAGTACGTAGGTGTTGTTCGACATTTAGGTGAAAGTCCTGTTGCGGAATACGCGCTCGGTAAACTTTGTGTGAGAGCTATTTCTGCAGGAACTGCGTGGGCGTCGTTTTTCGTGTCTACTGATCTACCGAACAAGGCCGTTATCGTTTTAACGGTGATTTGCTGATAAAATCACAGCCGTGGTTAACCCGCGCCCCGTAGGGCTACCGGCGGACCCTACCACCCGTAGGGGGGGGGGCCGTTTCGGCCCCCCCCCCCTAAGATCTCGGAAAGTTACCGGCCGATTTTCAAAATTCAAACGGCGTTTGATAGCCCTACCCGGGAACTACCTTGTGACCAAATTTCATTGACCTAGGTCAAACCGATGACGTCACAGGTCAGGTCAAAGGTCGGATTTTCACCGTTCACAGGCAATTCAAGAAATGTGCTGTGAAATCGAGTAAATTGGTAATTTATTGAAAACCATCGGTTGTATAATGTTCGTCAAACACATACTTTGCTATCTGAGGTCACTGATACCAGGTCAGGTCACAGCGAGGTCAGGTCACCGGGGGTCACAATATGAATGTGTCGTGTGATACATGTTTTATGGTTCATTTTACATGACAAATGCGATTATGTGGGTTAGGCAGCCTTTGGGGCCAGCCTAGGTCACGTTTTGGTGAAGGTCAGGTCAAGGTCAGGTCAAATTAGGTCAAATTTCAAAGTTGATATTTTTGCATAAAATGGGTTTTCATTCGATGCAGCTCGTCACGGGGAGTCTAATGGTGGTCTTTGTTTTGCTCTACGAGTTCTAGAATTGCCAAAAATTGAGTTTGAAAATTTGACGTCATCATTTTTGAACAGTTTTTTTTCGCTATAACTTGGCCAAAAAACGAGGTATCGATCTGAAATTTGGTATGTAGATAGAAGACGGTAGGTACTATCACATATATTCCGGTTTTTTCGAAACTCAAAAAACTTTTTGGAATTTTTGGCAAATATATCAAAAAATGCTTTTTTGATTTTTGGGGATCAAAACTCAAAAATTTCAAAAATCCGAGATAGCAGTTTTGTAGCCCTGTCAATTCTACACCTTTTATGTTCTTATCATTTTTCTGTATCTTCAAAGCTGTAGGCCTGACAGGTCTTCTCGCGAAGGTCTTTTTTCGGTCGAAAATGACAGAACATGACGTCACTCTGACGTCATTTGTGGCCAACCTATCACAGCCTCTGGAAAAAAATTTTGGTCACAATGTGTAAAATTGATGCCCGGAGGGGTCCTGAAAGTTTGGTGGCGATATCTCCAGCCGTTTAGGAGATATCGACCGAAAAGGACAGGGGGGGGCCGTTTCGGCCCCCCCCCCTACGGGGCGCGGGTTAAGAACGCAAATGTTGGTGCATTGGTATGTGGTGTGCGGCATGCTTGATGCTTTCCTGTGGATGCCACCGTTAACTATATTGCTATCTTAATTGAGACATTTTGGGGCATTCGTCTCTACCGAAAAACGTGTAAAAACCAATACTTAATACAACATCTTTGTAGCACCCTGAATGACACCGCCGACGCAAAAATGTTCACTCGTTCTCCGAAAACTAAATGTCACATTACTATCACATCAGCATGTGGTCCGGCCTCAACCCAAATAATCTTCACACTTATTATCCCACAACCTCTCAGTCCCCTGGATGTACGTTTTATGTACCCTCCATCGCACTTTTGTGGCACCGAAAAGCCGCATGACATCAGCGTGGGGAAATTCAGCCGAGGCTGCCGCGGCACGCAGACCGACCCCGACACCGTGCGGATCAAACGGGGGACGGCACTGGCCGGATCATACCATACGAACCGGATACAGTAGAGCGGATGCGACTCCCGGATATATCCACCCACGCTGTACCTGACCTGTGGGGGGCAGGTGGACTGACCGGGGCGTCAGAGGGTAGCGGGAGGTCGAGGAGGAGTGGTCTGTCCCGGGTAACCGGGAAAGTTCGATGGTAAGAGGGGAAAATAGTAAAGCTCCTAAGCTCGAGCGGGCCTTAGGGTGTGAAAGTGGTTGAGAGGGGAGCTTTGACGTCATGCGTGGAAGAGGATGCCGATTGCCGGGCCTTGCGAGCGTTTTGCCGGTAATGCTTTAAGAAACGGCATGTTTTATGCTCCAAGAAACGGGAGGTGTACCAAACTGAATTGAAACTAAAAACACCCAACAGAATTGAACTCATTTGGGCAACGTTTCGTTATGCTGCTAAATCCTGGTGATGCTGAATGATCCTGATGCCGCTCGCCTGTATATGGCATTTCGTTCGTCGCTATGTTGTGGCTAGCGAATGGCTCAAACATCCGTATATGTAGCTAAACATGTCCAATGCGTATACGAATTTGAAACTACATCGTGGGTACCTATAAAGTATACCTTACAAAACACACACACACATATGCCATATTGACATACACACGTGGTGGTCAGACGAGAATAGGTGCAACGTCATCTGTTTCACTGGAAAATGACGTAACTCCATTCTACTTTACGAGATGATGTAAGAATATGTTTGTAATTGCATGTAAAGCTGGCCCTAATCTCAGCTAGGTGTGAAGAAGATGTGGTAGATCGTTGGATTACTATAACAGTGCCGATGACAGAATGGGTGTTCATTATCATTCACAAAGTGAGGGATGCTCACATAAGTGACGCGTGTGAAACGTGGAGAGTGTTGGCGTCGGGCCAAAATCATCATTCAAAATCAGACAGAGAAGCGTTCTAACTCCGGAAACTGCACTTTTAAAAAATGCAGTCATAACATAACAGCATGTTAAGTCAGTTTTGCTTACTCTCAAATCACAATTTACAAAAAAAATTCTTTGTTTGATTCTGGAAGCTTTCGTTCTTCTTTTTTTTTTTAGTTTCTTAATTACAGGCACGAAAATGTAGCTGCACTCCTAAGGCTTCAATAAACACCTGTAGAGTGTAGACTTCAAAATAATGACAAAAAGGTGACGAGTAACTATGTATAGGCTTTCAACCATGATGGTTTGTTAATTGTCTGCAGAACGCGTATGATCCGTTGAAATTCTGCAAGCGTAATGTTTCACTCGAGCCGGATCTTTTGACACAAACCGTGGTTTCAGGTCAGGTCAGGACATCAACATGACTTCATAACTTAATCTTCCCCTGTTTTAAAAATGTCGCAACTCAACGCAAAGATATGTAAACTGGTCCCTATATACATACATAAACATTCAAACCCATACGCAGGTGATGCATTTCAATTAACAGCATTGATGGTTTGATGCGGGGTCACTGGCTGCAGTCATCATCAGTTCATCAATAAGTGCTGGCCACACCGGTCAAGTAGGTACTATCATGGATGAGATAATAATGTTATCTCATTATCTCATCCATGGTATCATCCATCATTATCTCATCCATGGTGTTATCTCATCCATGGATTTTTAGGCTCACCTATGGCTACCGTGCCGTTGACCTGCGTTTGTTTATTGCCATAGCTGATTCAATGCTAGTTTTATGCTGAGTCAAGGCTCGAGATCGTGTCAGAAATATTGCTAGGTTATTAGAAACCTTTATCGACCAAGATTATTCAATATTCATCATTCGCAGCTCATGCTGAAGTGTATGCGAGCGTTCCGCAGGTACAGGTGGAATTGGCTTACCAATGCCGTCTCTTGTTGCAGCATTTTCCTCATCGCATGGTGCTTCCCCATGCAGCCCTTCAACAAAGTCGAACAAATGATACAATCAATATTCGCGGTGCGCATCTTAGGGTCATCGACATTAATCAGGACCATCAGCATTGTGCAAGTCGCTCGGCTGTGGTGGGGGCTCCCCCGCTCCATCAAGCTACCGCACGCACATTAAGCACAAAATGCGAGCAAATACAGGCCATGAGAACGAACGAGTGTTACCAACGTGAGTCACCATCTGTGCCTTTTTAGCACCGGTGTTTCTGTGCTCAAACTTTCTTGGGTTGTCGGCTAGCACGGCCAGCATCTCAAGAGGAGCGGCTGCGCGAGGGTCGAGCTGCCAGGCGGTCCCGCGATCCGTTCCCGTACGACTGCTGGAACACGTCGTTGTCGCTCATGCGAGGTCGCGACTGCACTCGCAGACGTGCCCCCGGCTCCCTGTCGCAGTCCATCGAGCGCGAGCGGTGCCGCTGGTTGTACGGCGAGTTCTCGTTGCCGGCAGCGTAGCGCGGCGGCGTGGACCGCGGACTGGCACCCGTGCCCGCTTTTCGGCCCTGACTGAGACCGGCCGCGGAACTCTGTGACAGCACGTCGAGGGCGGACTTCCGCGAGGAGCTGGGCGGAGCCGGGAACTGCATCGCCTTGCGGAAGTCGTCCAGATCGGTGTCAACATCCATGTCCTTGACCATCCGGTACGCACGGGAGTAGAGCTCGATGTTACGTGCATGGTAGTTCAGCATGGCGTGGCAGAACTCGAGAAGGAATCGCCGGAGGTCACGTAGCTTCTTCATCTCAAAGTACTCCATGCTTTCTTCCAGAGCTGCGTGCGTACGAGCGACGTCGATGGCTGCTCGCTGCAGCTCAGTTTCAGCCAGGGCAATCTGCCTGTAGTTCGCTGGTCCAGTAGCCCGCATAGCTTCAAGTTTATGACTGGTTTGAATCTCTCTTGCTTGCGCCTTGAACGTAGATGCAAGATCTCCCTTTGCATATCTACAGGCATCCCTATAGGTAGAGAATCCTCCCACTATTTTCATTTCCAATTTCTCAACTAGCACCTGTTGGACGTCGGCAATACCGCACATGAGATCGGCTAGCTGAGTAACTTGATTTCGCATCGATACATTTAAGGTTTCCGTGTCAGTATATGCCACAATCACTCTTGCCAGATCGTCCATTGCATCTCTGCATTTGGCATGCTTTCTTGCAATGAGCGCTGTGCCTCTACACATGAGACCAAAATACCGTTCAACATTCTGGATTCTGTCACTTATAAAATTGGCTTGCGTTTCGCTAACGGTGTGTATGTTGTCTGCTGGACTCATGCCTGAGATTCCCGGCAATCCTTGCGGGCCTCCCATTCCTCCCATTCCCGCACCTGCCACTCCGCCCCCCATGCCTGTCATTCCCGGTCGTTGCATCATAGATGGAGCTCGCTCGATCACTAAACGAGATTCTAAATAAATTTAAATTGGAATTGAAATAATCGAACAGAAACTCATCAGTGCGATCGATTCCGGCCGAAAGACATAATTTGTCAGTTGATTTTATGTCCCACGAGGCAAGGTAGAGGCTTTCTACACTTGCAATTAGAGGAAGCGGCGATTCATTTTTATTTTTAAAACGCTACGCCGCGCAGTTTTGATGTATTTTTGCGTTCAATGGCTACGCTCCATCCCAATCAAACGTTTTTTCGCATTGTCGCCTGGCTGTTGTAAATATTCATATATCATGGAATGTTTTTGGGACAGTACGAAAACGTTAGGAAAACTTTTGTCGCGTCAACTAAAGGCATTTAATTCACACAAAACCTAATGCAGCATAGGTATATGCTGAATGTGCTCTTAAAGACAAAAATAGAAAGCGAGCAAAACTATACGAGACTCTCCACAAACATCTGTTCCTGATGGTGGGCATGAACCAGTACCTATATTTTTCGATTTAGTTCTTCATACGTTATGCCAAAGCCTATAAAATTTAAACAAGTTTGACTTTCCAGATAAAGTTCACCTCTTTTTAATTTGCTTCATCTCCGAATCCTCAATTTGTAATTGACTAAGTGTCAGTCAGTTGGTTATGCGTTATCGCTGTTAACTCGCTGAATCCTGGATATAATCCGCTTTAGCTGCCCTGTAGGCAAAAAAGTGACACGACGGAACTGCAGTAGGATTTCAACTACTCACCTGGAGCCGTCCGAGAGTCTCATAGACCACGTCATCACTAACGTGCCCGATCTGGACGCTGACGTCTTGCCGCCGGCTGACGCCGTGGCCGACCACCTCACTGTGACTGTGCGTGTGCCGTTCCGTCGGGAGAGCCGCCGGCCCGCCCCGTTTACCGCGCGCTCCTGGCGTAAGGTGAACTGGGACGCCGTGTGCCTTGATTTTCTGCGGGCGGACTGGAGCGCGGTATACAGTGCCGCTGACCTGGACAATAAGGTCGGTGAGTTTATGCGTCTTTGGTGGGGCGTGATAGACAGCCACTGCCCGCTGAGAAAAGTGACCCCTCGCCGTCCGCGCTGTCCGTGGCTCGACGACAGCCCGGAGCTGCAGCGCCTGCTACAGGAGAGAGACGAGGCCTACCGAGTGTGGCGGCACTCCGGCGCTGACAGCGACAGAAACAGCTACCGGCGACTCAGAAACCGAGTGAAATCGTGCCTGGCGGAATGTAAGCGTGCTTTTCTGTGTGACGGTATGCTGTCGGACCGCCGTGGTTTCTGGCGAAACGTACGCGAGTTCGCCTTGCGTCCGGGGAGGGGCGGGGGTGGTAACTCCCGCGAGGGCCTGTCGCCGGCCCGGGCGGATGAGTTCAACCGGCACTTCGCGACAGTCGGTCCGCGTATTGCCGCTGAACTGGCAGCCGGCAACCCCCCGCCACTCCCGCCGAGGCCGCCCTGTGTCACCACGGCCAGCATGTGTCTGCGGCCGGCGACACTTCCGGAGTTGTCTGTGGCCCTGCGGCAGTTGTCCTCCCGTGCGGTGGGACATGACGGTGTACCATTGTTTGCTATTCGCCAGTGTTTTCCTGTGATTGGACCCCACATTCTCCATCTAGTCAATGCCTCATTTTCTTTACGTACGTTTCCCTCATCTTGGTAGCTTGCTTCTGTCGTGCCGCTTCATAAGTCTGGTTCCCGTGACAGCGCTGTGAATTTTAGACCTATATCAATTTTACCAGTGTTATCGAAAGTATGTGAAAAGGTGGTTTGCAATCAGAGGCCTCTTGCACCAAACTACCTAGCTAGGTAAAATCGAAAAACCGGTTTCAGAATAAGCTAATCTAAAGGTGGTAAATTTGTTTGCAATAGCCCAATACATAATCCTACATGTGTTTGCTAAATTTTGCACGCAAATTGTTACATTTGAGACTTGGACTGGGTATACGATGCAAAATAATCCAAGCATTGGTGCAAGAGGATTTTGGTGCAAGAGGCCTCAGCTCGCTTCTTATCTTGATACGTCCTCTATTTTATCACCATCTCAGTATGCGTACCGCCGATATCACTCAACGGAGGATGCTCTCACCGACGCTGTTGAGTGGGTGACGCGCCGCGTCGACAAGGGTCACATTGTTGCCATCACGTCGGTGGACCTCAGTCGCGCCTTTGATAGTGTTGAACATGGTATTTTATTGTCCAAGTTGAGCTGGTACGGTGTTGACCCCGGGTGGTTCGCGAGTTACCTCGGTGGCCGGCGGCAGGTGGTGAGAGGCGGCTCCCTATCCCTTCCTATGTCCCATGGCGTTCCGCAGGGCTCCCTGGTCGGCCCAATCCTCTTCAGCATCTTCACAAATGACCTACCTTCCTACCTTCCTCATGGACGGCTCATTTCCTATGCAGACGATACCCAACTCCTCGATTCCGCTCTTCCCACTCACTTACCTGTCCTTAAAAAACAACAGGAAGACACCTTGCTCGCTGTCCAGTCCTATTACACATCCAATTCCTTGAAAATGAATCCTAGTAAGACCACCTTGCTTCTTGTGGGTACTGGCCAGAACCTCAAGAAAGCCTCATCCTTTTCCCTTACCATATCCGGTCACACACTACAACCATCCCCTTTTGTGAAGATGCTGGGAGTGACCGTGACGGTCGACTCAACCCTATCCTGGGAAAAGCACATTTCAAATGTTGTCAAAAAGTGCAATTCCATCCTTCTATGTTTGTATAAAATTCGTCATCATCTTACCCCCGAGACCCGTAAGCTCCTTATCCAGTGCCATGTTTTCCCCCACATCCTTTACTGCCTCTCCGTCTGGGGCGGGGCCGCTCGCTGTCATTTACATAAGGTGCAGAAGATCCTGAATTTTGGTGCTAGGGTCGTCTCCGGAGTGCGGGTTTCTGAACATATTTCACCGGTGTTGAGAGCCCTCGGCTGGCATGACATTGCTGATCTTGTCGTCCACCGTGACTGCTCCACTGTGTTCAGGGCGCTGAGTGACCCTTGCGCTCCGGAGGCGATCCGCTCCCTATTCACTCGGCGAGCCGCTGTATCGCAGCGCTCAACGCGGGCAACGTGTGCCGGTTTACTGGAGCTGCCGGCTTACCGGCTGTCTATGTCGCGCCGGGCCTTGTCGTACCGAGCGGCCTCGTCCTGGAATCGCCTGCCGCCTGCCACCACCGGCTCTCGAACTAGAGCAGAGTTTTTACGACTTTTAAACTCGACAAGTGACTAGCGTTTTGGTATTTTAGTACAATGTGTATGCGTGTGTGTGCTTGTGTTTTATATGTTTTTACTATTGTCATTGACTAGAAGCTGACACTAATCCATCATTGGAATGCTTCGCTAATACAATATACATACATACAATATACATACATACAACCTAAAAATACAAAACGTAATTGAATATGCTTGACATTTGCCAAGCTCAAAAAATTGGTGGTGGCTATAAATTGTGATGTCCACTTGTGAGAATTGGATAAGTCATTCTAGCAGGCATATGGCATGTGTCACTCAGCAGTCGAGCACTGTGCGCTTGTTATATAGGTACAAGTGGTGCAACATTTTTAAATGTCTTGTCATTTCACTATCATCATCGTGTCCGGGTCCCATTTAGTAACTATGCAGGTAACTAAACTATGCATTCAAGAAGCCGTTGAAGCCAGCAGCCGGAACTGTTCGTTTTCTTGTGGTCAAGGTCGGTCTGATTAAAACGGTTTCCATTTATCGTGACAGCCGATTTCCGATCACACCCACACTGTGTAGGCCGGGTCGGCGGCGGTTGGTGAGCGGATATATGTGGCGTACTGTAGCTGTTCCGTTAGTGTCCAGTACTGCCTTAATGTTGATTAGGGTTCACCAAGCAAGGCTGTGTCAGATCTATCATGAGGCTACAAGGCTGCTCTGTGACATCGTTTTCGAATGTTTACCCGAGTTGTAATTTTGGTGGACGCACTTGGTCACTTGACTCACAGCTGCTGTGTTGTTTTTCATGTCACAGCTACTGGTTCTTGAATTAGAAACATAACGATGTTTTTTATGCCCTTTTACAAAATGGTCTCTGAACAGGAAAACCCAGCAGCAAATCGAACAAGCGCAGCTAATTTCGTCGCGTGAACCCGTCGTGAGCGTCGCATGCGCCGCTTCGTGGCACGGTCTACAGTAGCGGCTCTTTTCCTCTGACTAATAACGAAGGCGTGAACTGTCGCCTGTCGGCGCATTGTGTCAGGATATTACCCGTGCACGACTTACTTACTGTGCCACTATATAGGTATAGAGGAGGTTTACCGCCTCAGTGACTGCCACTCTGAACTGACCAGGCTCAATCGACGCCCGACGCGGGTTGTGCCTGACGCTTGGACAGCTAGCTACGGGTTAACTGACTTTCCCAGCTAACCCCCTGGTTTCTCGGACATAACATATTTTCCCTTTAGTCTGTGTGGTTTTGCAAATAATGGGCAGGCATCTATGATACGCTTCTACTGCTCTGAAAGGAAAATAAAACACAATATATTGGGAGTCCTCCGCCTCGATAGTCTGATAATCAGCTGCCCGTATCTGAAATATGCATTATGAAATTGCACGGCTAAGAAAAAATGGCAACTTTATCAGTCCATTGCGGTGTTATGTAATAGCTCCAAGCTATGACGTCACATAATATCATGTCATCTTGAGAGAACACTGTGCTGTGAGATCACACTAGCCAGCTGCTCGTAGGTAACTTTGCAATGCATATTTCTTTATATTCGCACTGGTTATCGGGTGGTAAATGGCTTCTTATATGCATAGCAGCATACGTACTGCATAGAAGCACATCCAAAAATAACGTCCCACGTCCAAAAATGATGCAAGTAGTTACATAAGACGTTTACATAGATCGCCGATCAATTCATTCAGCCGTCAATGGAAACTAAAATGAAGCACACAACTTATGTAGTGGTAGTCATGAGAATATTATCGTTTGTACTGACTTTCGCACATCAGATTCAGAGTCACTACGGATAGCATACCCTCTTCTAAAAAATAATTTAGTTAGACAAATAAGACGTGAAAACCAAAGCTCACCTTAGTCAATCACAGCACATGAAAAATTAAC